GAGTTTTGAATAAGACTGCTAGGATTTAACCGAATCTGCTTAAATGCATGTACTCTATATCGTGACCAAGACTTTAGTAAAAATTTATATTATTTGATCGGTAAGCTAAAGGATATTGGAATCGGTCGAAGATAAATCATTTTCTTTTGTTGGGAACTAGACGAACGGATATAACGAATGATTATGAACTGTCTAGAATCCATAACCGTCCTTCTTCTATATGTTTTTAAATATCAACTGTTACTACCCAAACATGATATCAGACTATCAATGAGCTTCTGTAGTCGGTTTTTGCGTGTGTTGAACATACCGATCTCCAAATTTCACTTGAGTGTATAAAGACGTTCTCTCTGGCCTAAACTGGTTGGCTAATTAATAGACTCAATGAGCATTTTATATTAATAATATAGTTTTGTATAACGTAAATTATATTAAACTACGACTAGTAAAAACGAAACATTAGTTATCTACTAATTACTAAACCAACTTGTTAACGTCAGTCGTAAATACACTCTATTTATTCATGATGTTTTTTTATAACGATATATGTACCAGTCGCTACTATATATACTATATATACTAGTATATATTGTTACATTTAAAACAAAACAAAAACATATAAAAAGCATGCGAAGGATTTGTATATTGGCTGATTATTGTATATTTCCTTGGATGCTTCCTCATTCCTTAACTTTGAATTCAAAGAACTAAATAAGTCATCGTTTGTGGAAAATGGAAAATTATTGCATAGTACATGTATAAGAATATATCTCATCCACATATTTGGTTAGTGATAGTCTGATAGATAAAGACTCGCATAATTTATTCCATCTAGATATCAGTGATCTCTTCTTTTGTTATAAACCATCAATATGATATGAGATCATATGAAACAAGCAACCACCGGTCCATACAAATCATACAATACATAAACATATTATATATGGTCAAATAATGTTAATTGCATGATCGTTGTTCAAGTTAAATAATACGTCTTTTATGATTTGGACCTGTATTATATATTTCACGTCCAAACATATGATAAATAAACACCAGTATAGTTTAGAAAGAAATTTGTCAATAATCACTCATATTCTATATAGTAATTTTTAAAAATGATTTTCTTTGTCACTCTTAAAACGTAACTCAAGACAGAATTTTACTTTTCTTTAACATTAGTTGTGTTATATGTTTATGGAAACAACAATTGAGTGATTCCAAAAATCTTCCGAGGAATGGATATGATGAAGGATGGGTTAGAAAATCAAATTATCAAAAAGAGATGTATTACTTGTTAGAATTCCTTTCACGTTTACGATAAGTCTTTCCTACTCCTTTTAAAAGTATATGTTGCCTTTATACATAGTCTTTTTCCTTATACCCTATTTTCGCTCCAAACGTTATTTATACGAAAAGAAAAACAGTGACATCGTATATTCCAGTAGAAAGAGCTAATAGATATATATATAAAAAGTAATTGTTTATCAGTTTTCTTTATAATATCAATTACGTTGTAAGAACATACATAACTGGCAGAAGAATAGATCAATGCGTGTTTGATATATATATGAAAATGGCTAAAACACAAGAAGGAAACATTTCAAATTTATGGTGCAAAAATCAACCTATACACTAATACACAATAAAACTATTTCTTGTTTTTTTAATTTTCTTCATTGTTGACTTGAAATTTATGTTTGATCGTCTACATAGTTATATTTGTTTATTTATGTTTTTCCCCGCAACAAAAAAACAAACAAATAATATTCCATAAAAGCAATATGGAATAGAGTCCAAATCGGGGCCTGGCTTCCATCCGTTTGGCAACCAATGAGGTGGTCTCGCGCGTAAAAAAAGGACACGTGGGATTCGTCATGTGCATCACCAACTTGGTCCAACTCTATCTGTTTCAACTGCCACGTGGTCGGACCAGAGCAAGTTAACGGTTCCAAGACATTTTCCACGTGGCAAGACAGCTGGAACGCTGATTGGCTTTCACGTTTATCTTCGCCGCTGATTAATCCATTTGGATGGGCCCTCACCAACTACCTTTATTTTATTTATTTCTTGTTTATTTTACCTCTTGTCACTATCACATAATTCACATAATCACCACTTTTACCACCCAAAAAGAATGTTTGAAATGAACCGACTAAATTTAATGAAAAATGAATTTAGTTTTCTTTTTTGAATTCATAAGTTCTAGTTGTATTTTTTTTTCAAATACTACAAGTGACATCTTTTCTTTGTGTTGATCAAATTTATTTTTCAGTATTTGTTTTTACCAAAAAATTGAAACTGAGCTAAGAATAAAACATTATAATTTCGGAAGGTCTGAAAAAAACATTTACCATAGACCAAAATTCTCTAAATCCATTGAAAAGTGGGTTTGTCAGTGTTGTTAAAAATTGATCAAGTGCGTAAGTTGTAGTATCTTTGTGTTTAGGGAATGACACATTTGTATTCTTTTCTTCATAGGATTCGTTCTAATAATAAAAAAAAAGTTGGATAGTATAAATACTTAATATTAATTGTGTATATTGGGCAAATAATGGGTTTGGTTGTGTGACCTTGTTTGTGGATAAGCTCATGATTATAGTTATGAATATTAGAACAAATATAATAAAAGAGTTGGAGGAGAGTCAACAAAGGTTGAGCTATCAAAAAAACAGGTTTCCTGGGAATGAAGCATGTTTCCGGCCGCATTATCCGACCATTATCCACTCTTCTCTTTCTTTCTTTTCTTGCTTTAGTTTTCTTTTTAAATCAAGAAACGAAGTAACTTAAAATGATTAACAATAATTGATTTGGATATATATCTGAAAAAAATGGTTGTAGGCCTGTAGCCTTGTAGTTGTAGGTACTCCAATAGATAAAACTTACACCAAACCAAAATCTTCAGTTTTCGTTTTAGGTGAGCCTCAACTAAACATCATTTGTCTACGCTCTAATAGTTTAATTTTTTTTTTAAAAACAGACAACGATAAGTGAACAATCAAATTTCATTGATAATTTTATTAACTTCTAGTACCTTTGTGTCTTTTTAGTTATTTAAGTTATATTGATGGCATGATTTGGATAAAATTTGATATGGGAGCACATCACACTGCCTAATGCCTCAATAAATGCCGGAGAGGAGAAGACATTATTATATTTGCATGTGAATGGGATCTAACGCCAATAAACATACCTATTCTTCGATGTGACATTCTTAATTTTTCTAATTTTCCTTACCTCTATAAGCCTCTCTTTTATCTTCTTCATCTTCTCATTTTTTATTTATTTAACGTAGGCACTTGCTTTGGACTTGCATGTAACCATATTTCATCGGTGCATGTGAATATGTGATCTCTTCATCATAGTTATTAAAAAAACTGTGAAAAATCTCGTAATGAACTATGACGATTGAGGAGGATGTAATAGTTAAATATTGAGAGAAAAAAAGTCGTAGCAATTTGATGTATATCCGTTGTGGAACATGGAAACATATTCTACTTTCTTCTGCTATGTCGGACTCTTTTTTTGACTTTTACTTGGACAAAGAAAATGGATGCAACTTGGAAATTATAGTAATATAATTGATGTCACCACAAAACGGCATCGCAGAGCAAGTCCTTATCCACCAAAAGCCCTTCTTAAACTTACAATTTTTCTTCTTTTTTCAAAAATATATATACAAAAGCGAATTAAATTGGCGATAATCAAGCACCACATCCCTCTTTTTTTTTTCTTTTTTTCTAGTTTTATTCTGATTACATTATTAGTGGCACGACATGTTCCTCTTTTAACTCCGCAACTCCCACGCTTATGTTCCTTCCTCTCATGGGAATGCCTAGGATGAGTCTGATCCATTTTTCTTTATCTCTTCTTTTTTCCTAAAACAATTACCAACAAAAGCATGCTCGTGCTTCAATTAGAGAAAAAGGCGTGCTTATCCCCTTTAATTCTTCTTAAACAGCACGTAAAATTTTGATACAAAATTAATTTATAATCTTATCATGCAATCTTGCAAGATTCTTTTTAAATATTTGATGCTATATTCAGGACACCGTGATGTTTGAATAATACACCAAAAATTGTAATAAGGTTTTGGGTACTTTAACCATAACCTGATAACGATAAATCTGCGACCCTAAACAAAGACCTAAACACCAACTGTAATTAAATGAAAAAACCTCAAATTCTAAATCACTCAATCTTCAAATACGAATCATTTATCAGACCTCTTCATATTTTTCAAGCAGTGCCCAAACATAAACAGCAAAAAATATATTGTAAATATAATATAATGCCCGATTTGACGACCACAGAAATTTCATCACGTATTAACGTGCAATAATGAAAATGAAAATGTTAAACCAATATAATTGGGCTCAGGTGGGCTCAGGATAATATCTACACGGAGAGAAATTTAAATCCAAAAGCAAACTTTGATAGATAAAGCAAAAATATCCATAACGTGCAACAATGAAATTCTGAAAGAGACGATTAATTAAAAAAGGTTCGACTTTAAATTGATAAATCATAAAGATAAAAGGGCAAAAGCTAAGACGGCGTAGTTAAGCAAATCATAAAGATCTCAACCGTACCTTTGTTGATTTTGGTTGGAATGTTAAGGACCTGGAAGAAAGAGGTCTGCGACGGGTCGAGACCCATAAAATTATTTTGTTTCCAAAGTTTGAATATTTTGTCAAAAGTTCTTATCAAAACTTTACCAGACTTCCCACATATTGGAATCGGTAGTCCATTTACAGAGCAACTTATTTTGTTTCAAAAAATACTTCTGATTGGTCCTTTGCAGCTGTACACAACATCCATTCGATTTCCATCTATAATTCGGAATTCCAAGAGAACTTGGGACTTCTAGTAATTAATACCATTAATTAATATCTCTCATCCATTTTTCCAATGTCTTGGAAAACGAAGTAAGTAAAGAGACATTTTGACTGCCGTGTATGGGGTTTCTCTCTATATAACTCACCATCGTTTACGTAATCAGCTTCAAGTTAACAGTTATGGCAGCGCAGAGCAACCTAGAAATTTACATGGGCGGATTTGCAAAGGTCCTTAACGAACAATGGCAAGTCGATCTACGGCTCAAAGCTGGGGGCAGTAAAAATGGTGCAGTTATCTCCGCCCACAAACTTGTTCTGGTGTCTAATGTTTTTCCTCTCTTATCTCCTGTTCATTCATCATTCGACCTAAGTAACAATTTCGGAGTAATGCATGTAATTAACAAAGTTTTGGGTCTCACTTAGAATTGCTTTTCACTGTTATTGCTATTACCTCAAATCTTAACAGGCGGCACGATCAGAAGTGTTTAAGAAGATGCTGGAACCAGACAACCTAAAGGCTTCAGTTGGGAAGGTCGAGACAGTAACTCTCTCTGAGATGAAACAAGAAGAGTTAGAAGCGTTCGTTGAGTTCATCTACAGCAACCGCTCCGTGCTTTCTGCAAACGAGAAGAAACATGTTCAATCACTTTATCTAGCAGCCGACAAATATGAGATCCCGCATTTACGGGATCTATGCAGAAACGAGCTTATATCATCTCTTAACTCGTCGAATGCTCTTAACGTCTTGGAGCTTTCCTTGATTCCTGTTGACAAAGCACTCATTGGCCCTGCTGCCAAATTTATCGTGAGGAATTTGAAGACGATCTGTAACTCTGTTGAGTTCAAGTTGTTCGTTGGCAGGAATCCCGATCTTAGCGTTGCGATAATGAAGGCTTCTCTGACTAGGTTGTGGAATGGTCATCATGTCTAGCTTCTTGAAGAACCATATTGTATCTTTCGTTGTTTCACTGTTATGTCTCGGATTCTCCGATTTTAGGGTTATGTATCGCTTGTATGTATCAAACTGGTTGCTGAGAAAATTCAAAAACTCAGAAAATTAAAACTCAGGTTAGATTTCTTGCTTTGCAAGAAAAAGCTTATCTGCCGCAAATAAAGAGGATCAACTTGCGGCTCCGCCACTTATCAGGCCCATGTCCAATGCTGAAACCCGCTATTTAGAAGGGAACCCAAAAAAAAAAGGAAAAATCAGCGAGTGGCGGTTCAAGAGAACCTTCCAAGTTCCAAGACACATATATGTCTATTGCTTTTACTTTGATTCAACATTGGTTTTAGTTTTAAAACTTTCTCAATTTCTTCTCACACGGCCGCAGCGTTCGTCTCCTCAAATCAATCGCAAACCAGTCTCCACGAACTCAAAATCTCTCTGTACGTCGTCTCGTGACTATCCTCTCTTCAAGATTAGTCATCACGAAAATATTGCTTTTTCTTTTGTCGCAACCGTATTAGGTGAGGTAAACTTGTGTATTCTGAGGACACTTAATATTTAGGAACTCGCTTTTACTTCCGTCTTTCATATCTGTTTGATATCTGATCCTTCGATTCCTCTGCATCTTCTCCGGTTTGAAATCACTTTGCAATAAGCAATTTAATACTATGTTCTAGTGGATGCATTGTGCTAAAAGATGACATTCTGTTTTTCAGAATATGGAGAAAGAAGCTGCAAACAAGATGGAATTCTTTGGGGGGCTTATGAACGCCTTTAAAGAAAAAATGCAATTCGATATATGGCTCAAGTCAGGAGATCAAACCGATGCAATCCCCGCCCACAAACTTATTTTGGTATATTTGTTTCTTCTTCTATTTATTCGCTTTTAGAATTGCGTATTGGTTTGTGTTTTTACTTCTTCTAACTATTGAGATTTTTCTGAAAATATAATATGATATTTAGGCGGCAAGATCGAAGGTGTTTAGAGACATATTGGAATTCGATGATTGCAAAGGTTTGTCGATGTCGAAGGAGACAGTCACTCTTTCAGAGATGACACATGATGAGCTCGAGACGTTTCTTGAGTTCATGTACAACGGTTTGCTTCCTGATACAAAACTGGCGAAGTACGTTCGTAGTCTCTATCTAGCTGCACACAAGTACAAGATTCCATACCTCCAAGATCTCTGCAGAAACCAGCTCATCACCTCCATGAACTCATCAAATGTATTTGATGACCTCGAGCTTGCACAGATTTACTCGGACAAGATCCTAGAGGATGCTGTCTCTAAGTTTATGGCATCTCACATGGAAGAGATTGCGTCCTCGAGTAAGTTCATGTCGTTTGTGGAGAGTAATCCGGCTCTTACGGTTCAAACGATTTTTAAGATTTTTAAAAATTATATACCATTCAACCCCAAAATAATATTCAGACTCTCATGATTATAGTTTTGAATATTAATTAAAAACGTAGAATAAGAAAATTGGAGGAGAGTCAGCAAAGGTTGATCTACAAAAGAAGACAGGTTTCCTATAAATGGTGTTTAGTTTAAAAATCATGGGAGAGTTTTAATAATTCAGCGCAGTGGTGTTTAAATAATACACCAAATATTGTCTAGACTGAAATCGATAATTCTGCGACCTTAGACAAAGACCTAAACACCTACTCTAATTAAATAAGAAAAGGCACAAGTTCTATATCACTGAATCTTAGAATTACAATCAATATTGTCCGGTCTCTTGACATTTCTCAGTATTTACGTGCAACAATGAAAATGTTAACTAATATAATTGGGCTCGGGAACTAACATAATTGGGGTCGACACAAACAAATTAATACAATTGGGCGTAGATATATATCAAAATGGAGAGAAAAGCGAATTTTGATAGATATCCTTAACGTGCAACAGAGAAATTGTGAAAGTGAAAAGGTTCGACTTTAAATTGATAAATCATAAAGATAGAATGGCAAAAGCTAAGACGGCGTAGTTTTTAGCCGAACAGATCGAATCCCATGTCCCCATCAGACTCTTCCGCAGCTTCTTCCTCCACAGCCACCGCCGCAGGAGCTCCGCCAGTTTCTCCTGCAACCGGTGAAGTCGCCACCGCAGCCGCAAACTTGCTTGGATCCTGAACCATATAACCCACAGTTAGAAGAGAAAAAACGTTTTTATGACGCATCATAAAGTCCGAAACTCAAAAGAAAGGACCAACCTTGAGGAACTCCTTCACATTGTCAGCCTGAGGGAAAGAATACTCAGTAGCCAAGGCAACAGCAAGAACATTCTTGTACGCGTTGATGAACATGTGAGGCGCAGCTGCTAATGTTGGGTAAGAGATCGCAAGAGAGAGCGCTGTGATCAGCGAGACACCAGCTGCAAACTTTTCAACAAGGTCGTCCTCGGTGAGGTCAAGCACCTCCGGGTCAAACACAGAGCCATTGTCGTAGACTGACTCAACGACGAGACCGTAAGAGAAGGGCCTGATTCCAAGTTTGGCTAGAAGTGCAGCCTCGGATGAACCAACCTTGTCGCCTTTCTTGATGAGCTCCACAGGGGTAATGATCTCAACCGTACCTTTGTTGATTTTGGTTGGAATGTTAAGGACCTGGAAGAAAGAGGTCTGCGACGGGTCGAGACCCGTGTTCCCTGGTTGCACAACCACATCTATTGGAGCCACTAAGCCCACACGAGCCGGAGCTCCAACCTGTAACAAAGAATAGGACATGGAGAGTTCTCATCAATGATCATCAATCAATCAAAACACTAGAGGGAAGCAACGGAATGTGAAATTTTAAAACTTGGGATACTCTCAAATTTCAAATATTGAATGTGGCAACGTTTCAAAACAGAACACAGGACACATTGAACATTTGAAAAAAGATGCAAACTTTTTCAGCTTCATTAATCACATTAAGCATTACGTTTAAGAAAATCATAACTACACAAATCAACGATCAACAGTAAGCTGAGTTATAAATCAATCAATCGATACTAGAAGTTTAAAAGGATCAAACGTAGTATCATGGTGACTCAGTGAACCTAAGGATGAACTATATAACATAGAAGATAAATAAAGAACCTTGTATTTGGCAACCTCCTCGCTGACTTCCTTCAGATCACCCTTGGTGAAGATGAGCCCAACATTCCCCTATCACAAGGACATTCAACGACAAAAACTAATCAAAATTTTCTCCACAGAACAAAATCAAAAAGTTTCCATAGAAGCAAAACCTCACAGATCAATAGAAAGAAGAGAAATGAACCTGGAGGAGAGGAAGGAGGTTGAGGAAAGCATTGTTGCCGGTTTTATCGGCGTGAAGCCTCACGGATCTCTTCATCATTGTGTTCTTCCCCATGAGAACGACGGAATCGCCGCGTAGACCTTTCCGGATGTTCTGAAGCTGAGTGGATCCGACGTTATCAGCTGCAACGATAAGGATCTGAGGGTACTCATTCAGAAGCTGGCAAAGCTTGGAGTCGTACACGACCTTCTTCTCCGCCTTTGTTGCTTTCACCGCCATTGTTAACTCAACAAAAAGTTCGAATTAAGAAAATGAAATCTAGAAAAGGGGTAAGAAAACCGAGGGCCTAGACGAAGCTCGAGCTCGTACAAGGCGGACAGCGAATTGGCGCCGTCGCTTTAACCTCTGCAACTGTTTTCTGAGTTAGTGGAGGAAAAAACCTAAAAAAAAAGCTGCGAAGGATTATTGGAAAATGTTGAAAGGAAATGACTTGGGGTTTATATAGTTACCCGGGTAAGAAAGGAATAACGGTTAGGGTTTCTGGGATGACCTAGATCCAACGGTTCATATTTGCTGTATCTGTACCAATACGATCATCTCTAAGTTGGGCTTGAGATATGGCCCGAAGGAGCTATGGCCCATATATACCATTAAAAATGATTTGGAATTCACTACATAATTGAAAATAGCTGATTTGTCAACACTACAATCAAAGTTAGTGCTTTTAATTGATGACATGTCAAACTTCCTAATATAAATGAAATTTTTTGATTGGTTGAACTAAAATTAAAAAACTTGTAGAATTAAAACATAAAAACACTAGATTATACTTATAACACTAAAACTAACAAATTTAAATTAATAGAAAATAATTATTATTATGATTTCAATGTTCTACATATATTCATAATTTCATAAAATATAATAAAAAAATGTTTTCAAAAAAAATATATATATATTTCATATAAAATCGAAAAAATCATATTAAGTTATCCAATAGAATAGTAAAGATTCTATATATTAATAATGTTTGAAGTATTATATATTTTTTTGGAAAGTTATTAATTTACAAAATATAGTAAAAACATCTGAACAAGTTTTAAATAAATAAATTATTAAATAATACAATTTTAAATAAAATTCAATCATGATAAAAATAATTTAAAGAATAAAATGTTAAAAATAATATTAATAGAACTATATATTTTTTATAAAACTTTTATCACCATTTTATTGTTTTTTTCTAAAATATACATAATTTATGTTGCCATCTCATCTTATCTCTTATGGTATTTTAAATTAATACATTTTTATCATATTCATATATATATATATATATATATATTCATAATTTTTTTTATTGTATATCAAAAATTTAAGATCATAAATGAAATGAAAAATAATCGAACAAAATAATAAATTAAAATATGATGAAATAAATATGAATAAGAATTAAAAAAATAGAAGTGTATAAAAATAAATGTCTCGCACTTTGTTTTACAAAGTCACTTAAAAACTTTTTAACATGTAAGAGTCATATTTCGACTTTTTTACAAATACCCATACAAACATAAATATTAATTGTGTATTAGTAGAAGTCACATGAACTTTTTTCGTGCATGTTAGTATTTGTTAAGCTTGATGACAGTCTAATATATATTTTAATTTTTATAGTACAATTTATTTTTTAATTTTTTTTTTATCTATTATAAGTGTAGTGAGGTGGTTGGTACGCTCACACATGGATGTCAACCATCTATCTGCTATTAGGATAAGTAAAAATGGTAAAAACTATTTCAGTTTAATTTGCAATAAATAAAGAAAAATATATATTTAAAAATATATTATATACGTATTTCAAATTCATATTATGTAAGACGTAAAAAAATATTGTAGATTGTGTAAAGATAAATAAAACATATTATAAATAATATTCAAAAAATATTATAAGAATTTAATTATTATTTAATATAACTTTTATATTTTTGATTATATATTATTACAAATATCATAAAAATAAAAAGTTTTATAATACATTAGTTTCAGAAACAAGTTGTGAAATACTAAAACAATATATATATATATACAAACATACTAATGTTTTAACTATGTATGTGCGGGCCAACCACCTAGTATTTGTATTAAGAGGTGGGTTAATCTTCTAGTTTAATCAATACTTTTGTTGGCCAACAAAAACATTAGAAAAACATGTTAGACTATTTATTAGATTTGGTTTGAATTGTCATTTAAAAAAGGGGTATTTTTTCAATTGTTAAAAATTAGATTCGCAGAAAATAATTTGCCCTCTTAAAAAAATAAGAACAGTCGAATTCGGAAAGATCCTGCAGAAATTTTCGTCTACAAGGAAAAGACGTATTGGGTGAGAGCTCTGTTCCTTTAGTGAAATTTTGTTTTTGTTATTGATGTGATGTCGATAAAACTCCGATAAAGTGACGATCTAGTTTTAGGGTTGATGGAATCGAGTGCATAATTACAGTTATAGTTTCTAAATTTTGGGAATTTTGATTGATTATAATTCTGAATGTGTTATTTTTTATGTGTTTCTTTCGATTATCAGGAAAAGCCCTCAGGGATGGAATCAACATCGCCATCCGGTGTTATCCGTCGTGAGGCGCTGTCGTTCAGATTCTGTCCATACGCTACAGGGTCAGTGATGTTACTCTGAGTGGTTTGCTTAACCTTAAGCTTGCTCAAAGTTATAAAGTTTGTGACTTTACATTTTGTTATTTGCAGGAACGCTCACTTAAATGTTTGTTGTCGCTGGAACGCTTGCTGTCGCTGGAACGACTCATTGCAACCAAGAAAACAAAAGTGTGGGTGAGACATGTTCTTGTTCCTTCTTATTCTTAGTGTCCTTGTAACTGACAATGAGTTTGATATATCTCAGACAGCAAAAAAATTTGGGGTGACAGTGTTAGTTGAAGGCAAGAGGAGATTTCAAGACTATTTCACATGATATCAAAGACTAAACCAATACTTCACATGGTCAATGTTTTGCAAAAACTGTAGAATTTGAATCAGATTAACGAGCACTTTCTTTATTCCATCCTATTCATATCCTAAGATTAAGAACACAACATAAATGAAGCCAAACAAATCTTGTACGAGTTTTGAACAATTAAACTTTAATGTAAACCAAATATGCAAAATCTTTCATTTTCCAGTTAATCATCTAGGGCGATAGGCTAAAATAAATCTTAATTAACCAAATCATCGATAACAATAGGCGGTAAGTTATAAATCAAACAATAAAACAAGCTTCATAATTGTCAATTTTCACAAGCTCTAGTTAAAATTATACTAACTAGTTTTAAAGTAGGTACAATATTATTTAATAACGATATGATTTTGTTAAATGAAAAATTATGAGAAAGTATATTTGTATATATTTATTTTTATGATTAGTTTTACTGTATAATGTTCTATAAACACTTAGATATCCCCATATATGGAGGATATGAGTGTTTAAGGAAAGATAATTATTCACATAATATTCTTTTTGTAATTACTTCAAGATCTTATCTTCACATCTATATAAATTGTACTCTCCATATTCAATAATATACAACATTCATATTCGCATAGAGATAATTCTGAATGGGGTGTGATGAATTGTTAGTGGCTTCTTTTGAGGCACTGGAACTATTTTGCGGAGATTGTTCATGTGCCCAGAGATCCCATAGCATGCCTAATTTCCATTTCGGCAATAAAAAATCCATTAAGAAACTTTAAATTAACCTGTGTCATAATTAGCAAATTCAAAACATTAAATTTGATATAATAAAAAATTTAGGATATATATCTTTTAATAGCCAACCAAACTCAAATATAGCTATCAATTTAATATATTGCACCTAAATATATAAAAAACAGTTTAATCATATATATTTTATGTGTAATGACTTCTAGTAGAGTCTCATGATCCTTTAATTTACTGTGTATCCATTTTATAATTTTAACTATAAATATCAAACTAGATATAGTTACCAATACTATACCTTTTTTTATAGCACATACCATATCAAAACATCAAAAAAGAAAATTTATTTATTTTTCTCTTTTTTGTATAGTAATTTTTTTCGCGGATTTTACCATCCACTAATATTTATTTTGTATTCAGTTTATTTTGTTTATTTTATACTAATATCAAATTTGAATATAGCTAGCAATCCAATATATCATACCAAATCAATTCTAAAACATTGTGTCATCATATTTTAATTTTTTTTATTAATGATTTTTCCCACATTTTTGTGATCTGTTAATTTTTTATTTTATATTTAATTTATTTTTTATAAATAACAAATTCAAATAGAACTAACAATCTAATATATTATATGGAAAATGAAAAAAAAAATAGTCTTACTTTGTTTGTTTGTGTAACAACTTTTCTCTAATTTTATAATCCAATTAAGTTTTATTTTGTATTTGATTTAACTTTTTTAAAATATAAAAATTAAACTTTTATAATTACATATCCAATATTTAAAGTTATAATCAAATTTAAAAAATATAATCGTATTTTTAAATTTTTGAATAACAATTTTTTCGCAAATTTTTGTGATTGGTTAATTTATATTTTGTTAAGGTTGAGACCTATTTTTATATACATATTTCCTCTATTTTTAGTCATTGCATTTATCCCTAAGTGCATCTAAAGAGAAAAGAAACCACATTGATTCATTTGCTTATCAAATAAAATGAAAACCTTTTTCCCCTTTTGCATGCAGTGGGTTTTAGTTTAGAGGCTGAAACCGAAGAAGAAAGGATTCTGGGAGAAAAGCATTGACACTACAATAAATAGTCTCAAAGTCTCTCTCTTTGAAGGAGAAGTCCGCCATTTGCGCTTTCACTCTCACCACACTCTCTTCACTCAGATTCTCCCTCTTTTCACCTGCAAAAACCCTTGTTACTCGTTGTTTGATTTCGTCTCCAGTTCAGTAATCAAACGGGCCAAACAAGCTGCTGGACGGAGAAATCCTCCGTCGATTCTTAGGTATTTCGTCTGACCCAACTCTATTTTTCGATGTTTTAGGAGGAAAAAACATGTCGATCACGACTTAGGCCGCCGTGTTTCTGGGGTTTTTCTCCGTACTGGGTTTATTGTTGTGGTCTCAAATGTAGGTTTCTATCGGTTTGAAATCTAAGACATTTCGCTTTATTTTGTGTATACGAGCATAAAAATCGTTTCTTTCGCAGTTTTTTGGTGGAAACGAGCATAAAAAGCGTTCCTTTCTTTCGATTTTGGTGGAAACGAGCATAAAAATTGTTCCTTTCGCAGTTTTTGGAAGTTTTTCTTCCGACTCTTCAACTTTTTTCAGAAACTGGGCTTCTCTTAGGAAATTTTCAGTGTTTTCTGCTTTCGATTTTGTGTAAATCAGCAGAAAAATTGTTCCTTTCTCAGGTTTTGTAACTTTTTCTTCCGACTTCCGATTTTTTTTTTTTCTTTCAAAAACTGGGTTTCTCTTTGGGGTTTGGTCAAATTAGTGAACTCGAATGTCTCCGTTTCTCTGTATCTTTGATCTTCTAAGTGCTAACGCCGTCTCGCTATTATCTGGTTTCGATTTTAGGGTTTGGTCATGGAGGAAGCATCTTCATCAGGGGTTCTAGAAGCAGAGATTGTTGGAATCACATTCGGTCTTGCTACTCACCATCAAATCGTAAGTTCAAAGAGTTATCCTCTCTGCACTATATCATTTTGTGTGGCATCTCCACTATAGTTGATCAAAAGTTGTGTACTAGAATGTTCATCATGAGTTCTACAGGGGAAGTAAGGATTACGAATAGTCAAAACCCTCTATTTGGTTTAAGTTTGGCTCCAAGTTTCTGAATTTCAGTATATCAGCTCTCTATAGTGCTAGAACTAGAGTGCTGTGTTCAGTTCTGTGATATATCCTCTTCTATCTCTCACTGGGCTATAATTCTTTCCTGCAGTGTATAGCATCAAATAGTGACGCTGCGATCAATCATGCTAGCCAACTGTCTAACTCTTTCTTAGGCCTACCTCTGGAGTTTGGCAAATGTGAGTCTTGCGGTGCGACAGAAGTAGATAAATGTGAAGGTAAAACCAGCTCCCGTTTCTTCTATATTTTATTGTTCTTACATTGTTTGCCGGAATTTCAAATATGGATGATGTTTGTTTCTTTGTTTTCAGGTCATTTTGGGTATATTGATCTGCCAGTGCCAATATACCATCCTGCACATGTTAGTGAGCTGAAGCAGATGCTGAGCCTTCTGTGCTTGAAATGCCTGAAGATAAAGAAGGTCAAGGTATTACCCTCATTGAGTTTTCGTAAATTCCATCTTATAATTTGATAAACCATAAAAGATATCGACCAATTTTTTTTCATCCTTTTGATTACAGAGTTCAAGTGGTGGGCTTGCGGAGCAATTATTAAATGTCTGTTGTGAGGTGAGTAATGCCATACAGATTACAGATTCTGATTGGTTGCTTTCACCTGAAAAGCAAGTTGATAGATGTTTCTTATTGGATCCGGGTTCCGCATTTAGTTAGTTGACTAAGTTTTCCTTTAATTAGTTGCATGTTAGAAAGCGTACTAATCTAGAATATCTATTATGCGTTTGCTGATCTATTCAATGAGTGTAACACTAATCGATGCTTTGTGAAGTACGCTATTGGGACAATCACTGCTTATATGTGCTTTTGGATGATATTATTGCTGAACTTCTTGGATTTTCTAACTACTGTATTACTATGCCAGGATGCATCGAACGTCTCAATCAGAGAAAAAGTATCAGATGGTGCCTCATATCTAGAATTGAAGCTCCCATCTAGGTCAAGGTTGCATGCGGGTTGCTGGAGTTTCCTGGAAAGATATGGTTATCGCTATGGAAGCGATTATACACGGCCCCTGCTGGCAAGAGAGGTCGTTACTTTCTTCTGCATGCTTATGTTTCTGTTTCTTTCGTAGAATGTTTACTTTCCCTATCAGTGATACTGATGATTACGTTCTTTGCATGACCTTTTCCATATGCTGGGAAAACAAACAGGTAAAGAATATTTTAAAACGGATTCCCAAAGAAACAAGGAAGAAACTCACAGCAAAGGGACATATTCCTCAAGAAGGATACATAATAGAATATCTTCCAGTCCCGCCTAACTGTTTGTCAGTGCCAGATGTTTCTGATGGTTCCAGCTCCATGTCAGTGGTAAGCCAGTTGAAACTAAAAATCCTGCTTTTGAGTTTATTGAATGCTTTTGGCTTGAGTTTTAGTAAATAACCCCTGCATCTATGTCATTCTTATTTCAGGATCCTTCCAGAATTGAGCTCAAAGATGTACTTAGGAAAGTGATATCCATAAACAACTCTAGGTCTGGCGAGACAAACTTTGAGTCGCATAAGGCTGAAGCCAACGACATCTTTAGAGTGGTGGATAACTACCTGCGGGTGAGGGGAACTGCCAAAGCTACAAGGAATATCGATATGAGATACGGGGTGTCTAAGATCTCAGACAGTTCCTCTTCAAAAGCTTGGATAGAAAAGATGAGAACTCTTTTCATTCGAAAGGGGTCAGGCTTCTCTTCTCGCAGCGTCATCACTGGGGATGCTTACAGAAATGTGAATGAGGTTGGGATCCCTATGGAAATTGCACATAGAATCACATTTGAGGAGAGGGTTAGCGTGCACAATATAGGTTATCTACAAGTGTTAGTGGACAACAAGATGTGCTTGAGCTATACTCAAGGTTCTACAACCTATTCTCTAAGGGATGGTTCCAAGGGGCACACTGTGCTTAAACCCGGGCAGATTGTTCATCGCAGGGTCATGGATGGGGATGTAGTGTTTATCAACCGACCCCCGACAACACATAAGCATTCTCTGCAAGCACTTCGGGTGTATGTGCATGAAGACAACACAGTGAAGATCAACCCTCTGATGTGTGCCCCCCTCAGTGCTGATTTTGATGGTGATTGTGTCCATCTGTTCTACCCACAGTCACTTACCGCTAAGGCAGAGGTTATGGAACTCTTCTCTGTGGATAAGCAACTGCGTAGCTCACATACTGGGCAGCTGATTTTGCAGATGGGTTGTGATTCTTTGCTGTCTCTGAGGGTTATGATGGAGCAGGTGTTTTTGGACAAGGCAACTGCTCAACAGTTAGCTATGTATGGCGCTCTGTCTCTGCCACCACCAGCACTAAGAAAGTCCAGTAAATCTAGCCCGACTTGGACAGTTTTCCAAATTCTACAGCTTGCCTTTCCTGAGCGTCTGAGTTGCAAAGGGGCCAGGTTCATGGTCGGTGGAAGTGATTTGCTGTGCTTTGATTTTGGAGCTGATGCGATGGCTTCTATCATGAATGGAATCGTAACTGCCATCATGCTGGAGAAGGGTCCAAAGGCGGCACTGGGATTTTTTGATTCGCTGCAACCTCTTTTGATGGAACATCTCTCTGCTCAGGGATTCAGTGTAAGTTTGGAGGACTTATCCATGTCTAGGGAAGACATGAATGTTATTCACACTCTTATCACCGAGGAGATTTCTCCTATGGTGTCTCGTTTGAGATTGTCGTACGAAGATGAACTGCAACTGGAGAACAGCATCCATAAAGTGAAGGAAGTGGCTGCTAACTTCATGCTGAAGTCATATTCCATACGGAATTTGATTGACATCAAGAGCAACTCAGCAATAAACAAGCTGGTGCAGCAGATAGGTTTCCTGGGTCTTCAGCTTTCTGACAAGAAGAAGTTCTACACAAAGACTCTGGTGGATGACATGGCTCAGTTTTGTAAGAAAAAGTATGGTAGGATTTCTTCTTCATCTGGAGATTTTGGAATTGTGAAGGGCTGCTTTTTTCACGGGCTGGATCCCTATGAAGAAATGGCTCATTCAATTGCGGCAAGGGAGGTCATTGTTCGCTCTTCGAGAGGGTTATCTGAGCCTGGGACACTCTTCAAGAATCTGATGGCTGTTCTCCGGGACATTGTGATTACTTACGATGGAACCGTAAGAAACACATGCAGTAACTCGATAGTCCAGTTCAACTATGAAGTGGATTCTGACAATGGGCATCAAGGTTTGTTTGAAGCGGGAGAACCTGTTGGAGTATTGGCAGCTACTGCCATGTCAAATCCTGCCTATAAAGCAGTGCTTGATTCCTCTGCAAGTAGCAATTCATCATGGGAGCTAATGAAGGTAGAGCGTTCTCGATGCTGCCTCCTCAATAGAGCGTTGATCTTCTGTATTAATGTATGCTAATACTTTTTTCTGTTTTTGTCCTTCTCCCAGGAAGTTCTACTCTGCAAAGTCAACTTCCAAAACACTGCCAATGATCGGCGTGTGATTCTGTATTTGAATGAATGCCGCTGTGGGGAAAAGTTTTGCCAGGAAAATGCTGCTTACACAGTTAGGAACAAGCTGAAGAAAGTTAGCCTTAAAGATACTGCTGTGGAGTTTCTAGTCGAGTAAGTAATGGTTTTTAGTAACTTCTGTTTTTCTCTTTTACTTTTTCCTTATCCTCGTTGCAATCTGCTTTGTCTTTACTTGCGTGCAGATACAGAAAGGAACAAGCAATTTCTGAACTTTTTGGAAATGAGTCATGCCTACGTGGCCATATTCATCTCAATAAGGTTTGATTTTTGGTCTCTGTACTGTTGAATCTAACTGTCATAGAAATACTTTACTCCTAGTTTTCCTTTTAATTCTTGCTTGTAATTGGTGTTTTTGGCTTATCAGACATTGTTGCAAGAGTGGAACATCAGTATGCAGGATATACATCAAAAGTGTGAGGATGCAATCAGTTCACTCGTACAAAAGAAAAAGAAAAAGGCTGACGACTTCAAGAAAACGAATTTGTCTGTCAGGTTTGTACATGATTTTCTTTTCCTCTGGATGTCGTCTCTGGTTGAATAAACTGCAGAATTTCTCTAAGAAAGCAAGTCTGATGTTATTTCTAGCTTTCTAGTTCCTTCTGTCCGTTAAATTTGTTCTTCGTCTTATAATGTCTTCTTGATTGTTATAATCTGATTAAAACTAATTTCTTCTCGAATGAATGAACAGTGAGTGTTGCTCTTTCCGAGATCCATGTGCGAGCAAAGAGCCCGATATGCCGTGCTTGATGTTTTCGTGCTACAATGCCACCGATCCTGATCTGGAAAGGACTCTTGATGTTCTCCGCAGTACCATTTACCCCTTTCTGCTGGAAACAGTGATCAAAGGTACTCTAATAATGCTTTCACTAAAGTCAATTTCTCTACCCCTTTTCCTTTGTAGTTAGATTTATTGCCAGAAGGTTAAAGAACTAAAAGCATTCCTCAACTAATCTGAATAATTTGTCTTCCAAGTTGTGCTTGAAATTCTGTACTATACGATTTCTGGAAAAATGTTTCTGATAATACTTCTGTCTCTAAACTGGGCAGGTGATCCACGGATTCTCTCAGCAAATATAATTTGGAATAGTCCAGAAACGACAACCTGGATCCGGAGTCGTCATGCGTCCCGACGGGGGGAATGGGTTTTGGATGTCACCGTTGAAAAGTCTGCTGTCAAGCAAAGTGGTGATGCGTGGAGGGTTGTTATCGATTCTTGTCTTTCAGTGCTTCATCTAATAGACACAAAACGGTCGATCCCATATTCTATAAAGCAAGTGCAAGAGTTGCTTGGCTTATCCTGTGCTTTTGAGCAAGCAGTTCAGGTACTCATTAACTCAAACCTGATCCGTGCACTAGATCTTACACTTAAATCAAGATACTTCTGTCATGTTTCATGTATGGCGTTATATTTGCTCATTGATTGTGTAAGGAAGTTAAATGTAAGATGTTGATTTGAATTGCAGCGTCTCTCAGCTTCCGTGAGAATGGTCTCCAAAGGAGTCTTGAAAGAACATATCATTCTCGTAGCAAACAACATGACCTGTTCAGGGAATATGTTGGGTTTCAATTCTGGAGGTTACAAGGCTTTGACTCGATCCTTGAACATCAAGGCTCCATTCGCAGAAGCAACTCTGATTGTAAGTAGTCCGATGCTTTAATGTCTAATACAAATTATTTTCTTAGGACTATATACTGGCAGTCCATATTAAGCGGTGTTACTTTTTGTGTTTTCAGACACCAAGGAGATGCTTTGAGAAAGCTGCTGAGAAATGTCATACAGATTCTCTATCAACAGTCGTTGGGGCTTGTTCTTGGGGAAAACGAGTGGGTGTTGGTACAGGGTCAAAGTTTGAGCTTCTGTGGAACAAAAAAGAGGTAGACATTCTCCCCAGAAATCGTACTAATTGTCTGAGTTTGTCTCATATTAGTTTGTTCTGCAATCTGATGTTCTTTATTGGCAACCTATTTGCAGACTGGTCTAGAAAATGAAGACGAAACAGATGTATACAGCTTTGTCCAAATGGTCAGACCCACGAAAAATGCAGATGCATATGTTTCTTCCCCTGGTTTTGATGTTACAGACGAAGACATGGCTGAATGGGCTGACTCACCCGAGCGAGACGCTGCTCTTGGAAAGCCCAAATTTGAGGACAGTGCCGAGTTCTTAAACATACATGATGAAGGTGCTGGTGGTGGCTCAGAATGGGGATTCTCGAATAATACAGGTGGTGAGGAAGACCCGCAGTCTGCTTGGGGAAAGACAACAAATGTTGAGAAGGAAGATGCTTCGTCTGGTTGGAACACTAAAAAAGATGCTCCTGGATCTTCCAATTCAGATTCATGGGGTGCTTGGGGATTAAAGACAAAAGATGACGATGCAAACACAACACCGAACTGGGAAACAAGACCAGCTGAGAAGGATTCCTTTGTCACAGACAACAATGAGCCTTCTTCTTTTGAAGCAGGATCTGTTTCAGACAAATCCTGGGGGAAAAAGAACTCGGAGACTGAATCAGCTCCTGCGCCGTGGGGTTCTAGGGACAAGAAGAACTCTGAAACTAATTTAGATGCTGCTTCTTGGGGTTCCAGTGACAAAAAGAACCTGGAAACAGAATCAGATGCTTCTGCTTGGGGAAGAAAGAACTCAGAAACAGAATCAGCTCCTGCTGCTTGGGGAAGAAAGAGCTCAGAAACAGAATCCGCTTCTGCTGCTTGGGGGAAAAAGAGCTCAGAAACAGAATCAGCTCCTGCTGCTTGGGGAAGAAAGAGCTCAGAAACTGAATCAGCTCCTGCTGCTTGGGGGAAAAAGAGCTCAGAAACAGAATCAGCTCCTGCTGCTTGGGGAAGAAAGAGCTCAGAAACAGAATCCGCTTCTGCTGCTTGGGGGAAAAAGAGCTCAGAAACAGAATCAGCTCCTGCTGCTTGGGGAAGAAAGAGCTCAGAAACAGAATCAGCTCCTGCTGCTTGGGGAAGAAAAAGCTCAGAAACAGAATCCGCTTCTGCTGCTTGGGGGAAAAAGAGCTCAGAAACAGAATCAGCTCCTGCTTCTTGGGGAAGAAAGAGCTCAGAAACTGAATCAGCTTCTGCTGCTTGGGGGAAAAAGAGCTCAGAAACAGAATCAGCTCCTGCTGCTTGGGGAAGAAAGAGCTCCGAAACTGAATCAGCTTCTGCTGCTTGGGGGAAAAAGAGCTCAGAAACTGAATCAGCTCCTGCTGCGTGGGGTTCTCGGGTCAAAAAGAATTCTGAAACTGAATCAGGTGCTGGTGTTTGGGGTTCCCGGAACAAAGAGAGCTTGGAAACTGAATCAGGTGGTGCTGCTTGGGGTTCTCAGGCCAAAAAGAATACTGAAACTGATTCAGGTGGTTGGGGTACTTGGGACAAAAAGAAATCAGAAACTGAATCACGTCCTGCTGCTTTGGGTTCATGGGACAAAAACAATTCTGAAAGTGAATCAGGTGCTACTAATTGGGGTTCTAAGAACAAAAGTAACTTGGACACTGGATCAGGTTCTGCTGTTTGGGGTAAGAAGAATTCTGAAGCTGAACCAGGTCCCGTTGCTTGGGGACAGCCAAGTCCCACTGCTTCAGACAAGGACACAAAAGAAGATGATGGAAATCCGTGGGTTTCCTTGAAGGGGACCAATAGCGGAGAGAAGGATGAGACAAGCCAGTGGGGAATTGCAACCAAGAGATATCCATCTTCTGGCTGGTCCAATGGTGGTGGTGCTAATGGTGGCGGTGCCAATGGTGGTGGTGCAGCCTGGAAGAGTAACCGTCCTCCAAGGACCCCTGGATCTGAGAAGAGTTTTGCTCCCATGTTTACAGCAACAAGACAGCGCTTGGACATGTTCACCTCTGAGGAGCAAGAGCTTCTCGCAGACGTCGATCCAGTCATGTGGAGACTCAGGAAGATAATGCATCAGTCCGGGTATGCCTTTCTAGTTCTTAAGCACACTCTATCCAGTATCCATTTTTATGTATAATTCATGCAGTTACATATTCCGTGTACTGTGTTATGCTTCATGTTTAACAAATTGTGTTCTGTGGATGAAGGTACACTGATGGAGAACCAATCTCGGATGATGATAAGACATATGTCCTGGAGCAGATTTTGAACTACCATCCAGAGAAAGATTCTAAGCTTGGTTCCGGTCTTGACTTCATCACGGTAAATAGCGTTCTCCTCTACAATTTGAGCAATCTCTCGCAAAAGCTTTACTAAGCCTGGTTCTGATGTGAAAAATTCTTGGTGGAACAATGTTAGGTTGATAAGCACACGACGTTTGCAGACACCAGGTGCTTCTTTGCTGTCTCAACTGATGGAGCGAAACAAGACTTTTCATACAGGAAATGCATCATCAACTATCTGAAGGAGAAGTACCCCAGCCTAGCTGAAGAATTCATCGACAAGTACTACAGAAAGCGGGATAATGCAAACAGAGACAGGAACAGCCAAGACGCCACACCACCTGGAAACCACACTGGGGAAAAGGAGTCTCAGGCTCAACCTCAGCCTCTTGGTAATGGAGGTGACGACTCTCAGCCTCAGTCTCAGACTCACGCTGTTGGTGATGGAAGTGAAGATTCTCAGCCTCGGTCTCAGGAGACGCAGGCTCAGCCTATTGGTGATGGTGAAGATTCTCAGCCTCAGTCTCAGGAGACGCAGGCTCAGCCTATTGGTACTGAAGGTAAAGACTCTGAGACACAGCCTTTGGCTTAAGCTCAGTCGATTGGTAGTAAAGGTAAAGACTTTGGGACATCCTCCACTCTTTTGTTTTTGAGATGTACATAAAGAGTGGAGAGTATGCACGGCTTTTTTTTTGGGTTAAAAGACTCTGATGTGAACTGCAGAACAATGTGTAAATTGCAGTTCTCTAGTTGCAGAAATATTTTTTTCTGGAAATAAGTTTTAGGTTTCAGGGACAGGTTTAGTTTTGGAGCCTTGCGGCATTGTAGTTTCTCTAGTGATGCTTTGACATTTGACTATGTGTATTAAGCAATGCAATATGCATTTAGCCATTTTGCTGTCTCACGTTCTTCTGATTCCAAAGTTTATTTCAATGCATATATATAATCCAAACCAAATCTCAAAATTGAAACCAAACCTAACCATATTTAAACCGAAATGTTGATTTGGGAAATTTGGGCACGAGAAAAAAAAAAAAAAAGCCCACTAAGAAAATAAGAAGATTTCCAAAAATAAAAGTTTCACAAATCGCAACGTTTCCGTTTCCATTTTGCCATCCATCATCTTCAAGCTAGAAACTTTGAAAGACACAGATTCGTGAGCTGTTGTTGTTCCTTCCACTTTTTTTTTTGAGAGAGAGAAAAAGAAAAAGAAAAGAGGGAAGCTTTGTTCGAGAGATGTCTGTCTTTGAGGATTCGTTCGTTATACTCGGAGATGATGCGTCTGAGTCTGTTCCGGTCTCCGGCTCCTTTGACACCACTGACAACTCATTCTCAGGCTACGACGGCTCAGCACCAGTCGATGACTCCACCGATGATGTTTTTGCGGCGCCGTCTTCTGACTACGGCGCTTACTCGAACGGAGACGGCGTCTTCGGATCCAACGGTGGACACGACGGCCCTATCTTGCCTCCGCCGTCGGAGATGGAATCTGATGAGGGATCTGCTCTCAGAGAATGGAGAAGGTTAGATCTGCTGGAATTCTGATCTCTGTTATTGTTTCGCTTTAGGTTTACTCCTGCCTTACTAAAGTGGATACTTTTAGTCGAGTGGATGAGGAATCTGTATATCAATCTGGGAATTTCAATTTCTGATCTTGATGCTTAATTCTGTAAGCTGCTCCTTGATTAAGTCGAATTCTCGTTTAGTGTCGCATTGTCCTAAGTATTAGATCGGATCTGAGTTGAATTTGACAGGATCTGTCGCTAAGTGTCACAGGCTCACATAAGGAGCTTCTTATTGATCTCATAGTTTCCGCTCAAAGTTGATTGCTTTAACTCGTTGTGGTTTTGTTGCAACTTTGGTTTGTACATGTTCTATGTCAAAGTTTATGTCTTGTAATGCTTGTTAAGTTGATCGACTGTATCTTGCAAATTTTGATTAGCTACTCGGTCAATGTGTTGTGGTGAGTGATATCTTGCTATGGCTTTTGTTATCTGCAGACAAAATGCGATTCAGCTTGAGGAGAAGGAGAAGAGAGAGAAGGAAGCGCGGAACAAAATACTTGAGGAAGCAAATCAATTCATAGAGGATTTCCATAAGAAGAGGGAAGTAACTTGTGAGAACAACAAAAAATCAAACAGGGAGAAGGAAAAGGTTTGTTCTTTTTCATTTACTCTTAAGATTCGCTGAAGTTTTTTCGTTTGATCATCTCTTGTCAATCTGCGCTGTTGTCATGTGGTTTGGCGATAATCGTCTATTGAAGTCCAATGGCTATTAGAAATTAAGATTTATGACTCTAATCATCTTAATTATTAGTAAACTGTTACAGATTATCTTGATGCAATCTTGGTGTTGCCATTTTTTCCTAAGCGATCGAATATGATTGTGTAGTTAATGTGTTTGTCTTTGTACAGCGTTGGTTGAACTATTGCTCACATGTTTGTTTGTCTTTGAACACTTGAAGCTGTTTGTGGAGACCGAAGAGAAGTTCTATGCGGAAGCCAGCAAGAACTACTGGAAGGCAATAGCAGAGCTAGTTCCTAAAGAGGTTCCAACTATAGAGAAAAGGAGAGGGAAGAAAGAGCAACAAGACCCTAAGAAACCATCAATCTCTGTGATTCAAGGTCCAAAGCCTGGTAAGCCCACCGATCTTGCAAGAATGAGACAGATTTTGTTGAAGCTCAAACAAAACCCGCCTGCTCACCTGAAACTCACTCCTCAACCTCCATCAGAGGCGGCTGCTGCTCCAAAGAATGTTCCCGAGACCAAGCCCACAGAGGCAGTTGCTGCTGCTTAAGAAGCCCTTTTGGTTTTCTTATTCATTTGCTTACATCTTATATGTGATTCGCTCTTTGCATTTCATCATTATGTGTGGTTATATACAGCTGAGACTGAGACAATGTTGTGTGTTATTATTAACATAATATGTCATGTTGGATGATACTTAATGACATTCATGTTTGAGTTCAGTCAAAAACGTTGGAAAGTGGTTAATATCTCAAATCAATCTGTTAAAAGGATCCATCCATAGCCACACCGACGACTTTAGGGTTAAAAAGTAGAGACGAGAGCGAAATGTTAAAAAGCTACTTCACATATCAAATAACAAAGACAAGGAGATCTCAAATGTCAACGTTTTACAAAAGGCTTATTTTTTTCTTCATTCCATCACCTCCCTTGCAAGCTTGCAGGGGACCTGCAACCTCTCTCGCTGCCTGCGTCATCTTCCTTTTCGCTTGCCTCTAAGCAAATGCCATTGTTGTTGCAGATACTGATCTCTGAGCTTGCGTTGCTGCTTGTTGCTAGTGGAGAATCTGAAACATTCATTGGTCTACCACGAGTATGTCCAGATCTCACACTGTACATTGATGATGCTGGAATGTTTGTCATTAGTGGTCTCAGATTCCCTGGTATGGTTCTACGTATATCCTGTTTTCATCATAATGTTGATTCATCAGTCATTACACAGTTCCCACAAATGTCTTATAAGAATTAAAGGGGAAGAGAGAGAGAGAGAGAGATTACGCACCATATGCCTTATTGCCATATCAAGGGATTTCTTGGAGAGTGTTCTCCCAAATCCTGCACTGTCTGGTGATGAAGACTTTGCAGACAAGTTACCGTGAGGAGAGCTCTTGTCATCTGATCTTGGAGGAGCCAGTTTCCGCATGTTTATTACTCTCTCTACCATTTTTGTTCCCATCAACACAGGACTAACATTGTCACTGGCTTTGGAATAGCCACGGTTAACTGCAGGAACAGAGCTACCACTAGTGTACATTGGTGCTCTCCCTCTTGATGGTGAACATGACTGCCTTCTCGGCCTTCCTCCTGGTGGACCACCTGGCTCAACTGAACCAGAACGAGGACTTGGAGCTCCGGGTCTGCCTCTTGTTGCTGAGAGTGGTCTTTCGGGTAATGTTGTTCTTAGATTTGGAGGAGTTTCTAGTGAGAAACCAGGCATGTCCGATGGCTTCCATGGCCTCGACCTCACTGTAGGAGACGCTCCACGTGATACAGCAGGAGTTTTAGATGGTGTTGGCATAGGCTTCGCCGCTGGAGAAGAAGGCTTGACTTGGGATATTGTTGGCTTTGATGTAGTGGTTGCAGCACTTGCAGAAGAAATCGGACGGCGAGTTGGTGTGGCTGACCTCGATATGGTTTTAGGCGGAGGAAGTGTTGGTCTTGAAGTTGGTGTTGACGATCTGGCAGTAGATCTTGACAGAGGTGTGGTGGACCTTGAAGGACCTGCAGATCGAGTGGCGGTGCTGGTGGTAGATCTAGCAGTTGAAGGAGCAGATCTAGCAGTTGAAGGAGTCGGTTTAGATGCAGTAGGTGTGAGCCTAGATGAACTTGTTGACCTACTCATAGGCGTAGGCTTACTCGTTGCAGATACTGTAGACCTGGAACTAGTCAAGGAAGGTCGAGTATTTGAGGAGACGGTGGCTCGAGAAGTGGGTGTTGAAGGCCGTGAGGGTCTTGAATTAGCTGTCAGTGTTGATGATCTTCCAGTGGGCGTGGCGGGTCTTGATCCAGGTCCTCCAGATGATGATGGTCTTCGGTTTGCTCCACCACTAGAAGAGCTCAATCCAGGAGAAGAAGTCTGTTGTCTGGATGTTAGATGGTTCCTTGCAGCAGGCTCTGATGAGGAATTCGCCAGCTACAACAAAAAAACAATTCATATGTTACCACCATAATGAAGTAACGATTCCAGATATAGAAAAATACATAAAGAGATAAAACTATGGAACTTAGTTGTTAAATTCAAATGTGTAACATACAAGAATCTGATCTGGAATGCATATTTTTGTACTACTCTAAAGAACTCCAGAACAACATCCAACATAACAATAATGATAAATGCAATTCGCTGGTGAAAACATGAAACATAAACTTGAGATGTAAACGCATCTGACTGCAGGTTTAAACCAATATCAATGAAGCTCTATCTTAACACTGGTTTCACTAAGTTTTGGCTGCTTATCTACTATCCAGGATTTGATTCAAAAACAACAAAAAAGAAAGTCAGAACATTAAGCAAATAACATTCTTACCCTAGAAGTCAATGTAGCCGGGCGACCCTTTGAATCACCAGCTTGACTCATCACAGTCCTATGTGATTCCATCTCCAGCGATGGAAATAGAGGAGTACCTGGAGGGGTCAGAAGCCTTCGAACGACAAAGAGGAGTTAGTGTGGAAATGGTAAACAGAGAATTGATGGTTTTTTTCAGAAAGCATGAGTGAATGTCTAAAAGAGACTAAACAGGTGCACTACAACTAAATCTTCCGCATGCTTTCTCAATATCATACACACACACACAAAAAAAACACTTTACACAGCGAAGTTATCAAATTAGTAAGCACTTCTCACACACCTCACCAACAAAGAGTTTCCTATTTCCGACATCAAAATACAAGTCTATTGGATTCAACACATCACATGCCTAACATAAACAATGATGAAATGCGAAGAAACGAAACAACTCGAGGTTGCATACAGAAACTAATAACAATACTACCACAGCTATATCACTAACAAACCTCACATCTAAGATACTAATTATACAATCACAAAGATTACTTAACTATCACAAACTGAAACATGTAAAAATGTTATAGCTTTAAAAAAAAAATTCAAGATTGTGGTTAAAAAAGTTACCATTCATAGTCATTTTTGTCGCCTTCAGAATTGAGAAAATCATCTGGAGGACCTGCCTTTCGTGCTGGAGCACCACTTGAGATGTTGAACACTGGTGAAGTTCCAGGCTTTGAACCTACATTACCAAAAAACCATCAAGTAATAATCTCTAAGCTCCTTCACCAAATCAGAGACATGTCTCCACAAAAATAGAAACCAAAAAAAGAAAACGTATTTTTACCTAATGGAGTTGCGAACTCATCAGGGTTATTGAGGAGGAGACTATCCTGCTCTTTCTCGCGCCGTCTCATCTCGAGAAACAAAGAGAGCTCTTCGTCTTTCTCAGCCATCATAGAAGCCCTAAGCTGTTGCCTCTGCCTCTCTGCTGAATCCAGCAACAGAGACTCTTTTGCCCTAAAACTTCGATTCATCTCTCTCAAAATCTAAAAACCCAAACTTACAGATCAAGAGATTACTAAAAACCTAACTTAGCTTCCAATTTACTCCCCTCGACAACAAACGTCCCAAAACAATATCCTAATCTAAAGTTTTTTAAAATTATTGTACTGGGAACATTAAATTAGTGATAAAATTGACGAAACCCAAAACGAAAAATCGAAACTTCACAAGCTTAAAACCCTTAATTTGCAACACATTCTCACCAATTTTTGAAAGTAAACCAGAAAGGTAGGAGGGAAAAGAAAAAGAAAAAAAAAAGGGAAAGTGAACTTTTTTTTTCTAGAACAGAGACACGAGCTCTCTCAAAGAAAACGCCATTGTCGAGGAACGGAGCTCAAGACCTTAGTGACTAATGTTAAACGGAGAGAAAAAAAAAACAGGAATTAGAAAAACCTAGCCAGGGAGAGAGAAAGAGAGAAAGTGGAAGATTTTTGGAGATCGAGAGAGGAGAGATTGAGAAATTGGGAGAGAGAGAGAAGAGAGAAAGTGTTAGAGGGAGTGGCATCAAGTGTAATTATTGAGCTCTGAGATCGGTTAAAATGGAAACTTACATAAGCTTTTTTTTCTTTCTTTTAAGTTAATTTTTTTTGGGTTTGATGAAGATTATTTGATTTACAGTATTTTTCAAGTGTTGACGGGACGGGACGGGACATCTGGAGAGTGGTACCTAATGTGCTCTCAATTGTTTCTATCGCTTCAAGCCTAAGGATTTTGATTCTCTCTGCATCTTCTTCTATTTTTTTTTTTTTATTTCTATTGTTTTACTCAATGATTATTTTATTTCTGATGTTTGTTTCGTTTTTTCGTAAGACTACTGAAATGAATATTTTATTTCTCGAACCACTGAATCATGTTTTTTCTTTTTTAAAAAAAAAAATAATCACCATAATAATCTACTAATCCGTTTGTTGAACCACATACAGAAATATTTGTTTGGAATCGTAACTAAGACCTTTCAAGCCAAAAATGCCTAATTATTAAATTTTGAATTTCAGTTTGATGTCAGGGTTTCTTATTAAATTGAGTTCAACACCTAATTCACAAAGTCCTCTCCTAATTTTAGTCACAAATTGTTGGGTCCTTAGTCTGTCATTTATTACCTAATGATTAGGTACATACTACATTTTTAATTTTAATTGATAGTTTGTTGATAGATTACCAGCGAAATTAAATTAAATAATCTTCTTTAGTCTATAGTTTTTATAAATAAATAAATTATTGACGGCAAGTGCTAAATGATGTTTTCGGATGATTGACATTTCCACAAGTTGGCGGGCGGAAATAGTCACCATTTTATGAAAAAATAAACCTGTAAAAGCTAGTATTTGTTAAACACCATATAATGAAATTTATCTTTAACGAAACAACTTTTTTTATCTGATCAGTGCAAAAATAATAAGAGTTCATAAAAGATCGATGATGACTCACACACATATTGCATAATTTTAATTTTTTGATGAAGATAAACAATATAAAAATCCCATTCAAGTTTGATTGGTATGGTTTAAACAGTTTTCATGAACATGAATGAAAGATTTATGTTGAAAGCCGAATACAGGATAGTTCAAAACTCGAGCCCGGCGTCAGTCCACGACATCCAAAGCAAGCCCACTCTGTCTACTAAAGCCCATCATGTCCAAATAGGTTTTTTTTATAATGTTTAGTTTCACATTTATGTGATTTCTATTTTGTCTATCCTTTTTTGTAACCATCAAACTTTAATTCTAATCAGTATATTATTAGACAGAGTAAGTTCTCTGCATTGGTAGTGTATCTGAATGACATTAATTTGCATGGAACTACAAAATTTGTATAGTTTAGAACATTAAATTCTCAATCTACATGTGATATCAAGTTGCATCACTAGGTGACGAAAGTTGTCCAAGTTGCAACACTGAGACTAAAGCTGTACTGGACAACCTTCATTAATGTCGAGATCATATAAGAAGAGTCTCTAAATAGAATCAAAACATAAACATGAATAATTTAATAAGTAGTATTATATCAGTTACTATTATTATTAGAGAAATTGCAGTGGAGACACATTGAAAAAGACTCAAACCATAATTAAAATAACCCAAATAATGGGTTTTCTCCCACGGATTATTCTAACGACAATCATTGCAATAAAACTATCATAAAAACTTGGTAGACCATAGCTTAAACCGACTAATCCAGGAATTTCCAAACCGGGTCGGTCCAACAGAAGAACGAGATCAATTTGATCGGGTTGATTAATTAGCTCTGGTTCCGGCAGCACCACCACCGTCGTGTCCGTTCTTACCACCGTGAAACGCCGAGGAGAAATTGGTGTTGAGATCAGAATACATGGAAACAACCTTAGTGATATTTCCGTTGAGTTCTTGAATCAAAGCGACGTTCTTGGACATGTTATCTGCCATTCTCGATTGGTGATTGTCGTTGACTTGCTGGATCAGTGATCTGTTTCTGTCCAAAACCGATTGCACTTGTCTGAAATTCCTGTCTAGATTCTCCCACATCGCCGGATCTTCTCCTCCTCCACCTCTCTGCTCCGCCTCCTCCGTCCCGTTCCTCCGCCGCTTCGTCTCGCCGTTCCTCTTCATTTCTTTCCCTAATTTAATAAATTTTTGTTACAAAATTTCTTCTTTTTATCTGCTTTTGTGTGTTTTCTTTTCTGTGAATTTTGGATTTTTCGCACAAAAGAGAAATCAGATATTTATAGTAAATATCTACGAGAGAAGATGATAAATCGACACGAAGGCAAGTAGTTTTGTTTCATCAACACGTCAATAACCAGCGCGTGTAGCTCACGTAAACGCATCTGTCGAATATTGAGGAACACGCGCGTAAAGATGTGAGATTGAAGGTGTGCAGTGATTGGTTGAGAGGAATAAAGCACAGAGCTTTTTCTGCACTTTTCTGATTTTTTATATAAGTTTTTTATTAAGGGAGAGAGAAAGAGAGATAAAGGATCTCTCTGATTCTATAACTTCAGAAATATCTCGAGATATTTTTTGTAAAGTGAATAATAATTAAAGAAAAAGGTATATGGTGTACGACTTGCCACGGTGCAGAACCAAATTCCCAATACGCATTGATCTCATTTCTCAAATTTCTAAATTTGTCTTTGATCTGGTCAACGTTTGTTTTTTTTTCAACACTTTTCGATTTTATTCGTTAGATATATAGTTATTTACTAACACACACTAAACATCTGATTATTTATCAAAAGGAGAATCGCCGTCTTGTAACGGCATCGTTTCCATCAAAACTTCACGCTCTAATATGAGGCTTCAATCATTTTATTTTTAACAACAGTTTTAGGTTTTATTTACAGTTCGAAAAATCAGAGTAACTTTACAAGACTGAAACATTCTTAGGAAATACTGTGATTTTTTTTAATGGGAGATGATGATAAAGCTACAATTAATCAGTGATATTTTGTGATAATTACTAATTAGAATCAGTAATCAGAATTTGGTCCTGGGCACTGCAAATCAAATTTCAAAAGCACACTACTTGGCAGATTTGGCTGTCGGAATTTGTTCGCTTTTTTTTCCTTAAGAAAAAACAAAAGTATTAGAGATAAGCTATGAAAATGGAGGGGCCAAAAAGTGCATTAAAGTTATTCTTTTGTTGTAATAGAAGAAGGAGAAGTAGAGAATCGAGATATTTCTCCTCGATGAGAAAACTAAAATATGAATTCACTAAGAGCTATTCAACAACACGAATGGCCACATGATTAGGTTATTGTATCATCAATCCAACCAAAATGTATTGTGTTCTCTAACGCAATAACCGAAAAAGAGGACCTAATTTTTATGTTGTCACATCATCTCTTAGATGTTAATATTGTACAATCACACACTATTGTAGTATTAATTATAATGATGGTAATGATGAAAATGGCCAAGCACAAACAACTCGAATCATCAAAGAGAATAAAGATGATGAAGCTAATAAAGAGTTTAGGGACCTCAAATTTTAAGAAGATTCCTTGCGTTTTCTTCCAAGTACTGAAGCTCTCTGGAAACGAGGACCTCCTGTTCTCCATTTCTTGAAGGCTGTCATAGACAAGTGAGCTGCTTCGTACACTTCAAAAGAAACAATGGAGGTTTCAGGTGAAGAAGATAATAAACCAAATCAAAAAAAAACAAGAGATATATAAGGCTTTAATTACAGTTTGTTTCTTCTTTTGTTAAGAGTGGCAAGAACTTGGAAGCTGTTATGTGAGCTGCTGTGTATACTTTTGTCAGTCTCTCCTTGTATCTCGTCTTAAACGCAGTCGATAGCAAGATCCCAAGCGTTCTATCTGTAACCCTGTTCCCAGATCAAAGAGACGAGCAAAATGTGAAATCAAAGCAGATGTGGACCAACCAAATCTGTCCTATTACTGACAAAGATTATTTGCTCTACTTCCATCAAAACCGTGATCTGGTTTTCATAAAACGACAGTGATACGATAGATGAAAAGACAATAAGTTGTTTGGCAATTTCTTCCAAAACGTTTCACAATGACATAATATCATGTGACAGCTTAAACTTCGAATGACTTTTTGAAGCATAATGAAATCTTGCAGTAAGAGCTTAATAAGCATATCGATTCAAGGAAAACCAATTTCACTCTTGAAACAAAGTGAAAGTTTAACAATAAGCAAAAGCGGAGGACTCACAATGGCTCTAACTTGCACCCAAATTCATAGAAATATGGACAGCGTGATCTAAGATCCACACATGGTGCATCAGCTTGTATTTCCAGCCTCGTCCTGCATAAGCAAATAAAGCTATGAAAAGACTTATAAAGGACAAAAGAAAAGAAACAGATGCAACACTGAGGCTATCTGAAATTTCAAACAATTCATGGAAACAGATAAACAGAAAGAAAGAAAGGCAGGATAAAAAGAAAATCAAAATTAACAAAAGCTAAACTAATCTAAATCTTCATCACTGTTGCTTGAATACAACAACCCAATCATTACAGTAACCTCTCACTTACTTTTGGTCGAAACAGGGAGGAAGGTTTATGGACAGAGCTTGTCTCAAATGCAACTCATGGGCAAGCCAGAAGGGCAATTCAACTTTGGCTCCTTGTTGAACCTGCAGGCACACAAAGATAACATTAAACCAAAAACTCATATCAGAAGCCAGATGTAATTTAAACTTTTGCTGGAGCAGTGAGAAAGAGTTACTGACACAGCTTGTCTCAGCACTTGGATCAATAGTCACTCCATTTGCTGGTTTATGGAATAAAACAGGGACAAACTGAAACCAAAACCACAAACATTAGATGTTATCAGCTTTCTATATTGACAAAGAGAAGAGAAGAAGAGCATTAAGGAGAAGTTAAACCTCTTCCTCTATAAGTATGTCGTCAATGTCATAGTAATTAGCCATGCTCTTAAGGCTAATTTCTCACAAAAGCCAAGCTTGGGAATTGGATTATTCGCCTGCAAGAGCATAATAAGTCGTTTCAGAAAATCTAATCTTCATAGCAAATTAGTTTATCATTTTGCTTTTGTTCATTTCTGAGAACAAGAAACTGGCTAATCCCCAAAATGCCAAAACCCTATGAGCCCTATCATCAATCTACTCAATCTAGCATCTGAATTGCAAAACCCAGAATTCGAATCTGACTTTCTAATAAAAAAAAACCAAAATTTCTAGATCCCGCATCGGTATGAAACGCAATCCTAAATCCGCTCATACGGCAACGGCACCGTCAATAAACGCGGGCAAATTCGCCGGAATCGATAGAGAAGTAAACGGGATTCAGTCTAAAGTTAAGAAGCAGGTTGAGGAGAGGAGAGAGAGAGAGAGAGAGAGAGCTTACCGGCGGCGACTGGTGTGGTGACGACGGGAAATCGCAAATTCTACTAGACAAATTAAATTATTGGTGAAAAAATATTTTTAGTTTCCTTCTTTTTATTTCCTCCAAATGTTGAAAAATTAATCAACGGCGGGAAATTTAAAGAGTGGGAATAATTTTTAGTGAAACGAGCTTAAATAAGAGGCTATAGAGCTATCTCATATACCAACACTTGCTCTCAGTTCATTCATTTACCATTTACATATCAGAGAAACACATTAATCATATTCAACAATATACACAGTTAATTGATTATAACTATTGACTTAATTTTCATATTTGTTTACTTATAGTTTATCATGGTCGATATTTGTTATTTTAGTATATTTAACAACAATCAGTTTAAATTTGAGTTTAGTTTTCCCTTTCTCGAATAACCGGATTCCAACTTGGTTTCATTGGTGGTTTCTGGCTAATTTTGACTTTGGGCAAGATTCCCCGGTTTAAAAATAGCAAAAGGAAGGCTAGTACCTAGTGACTAGAAGGCTAGTACTGTAGTTTGATGATTTTAGATACGAGAGACAACGCTAATTCACACACTAGAATCTTGAACAAAAAAATCATCATGGCAGAGATCGATACATAAAAGATAGGTAGAGAAGAAACTAATACATCTCTAATAACTAAGAATCAGAGTCGTCCTCTGGATCCTCCACTGATGATTCCGCTTGTTCTTCTTCTCCTCCCACTGTATTTCATCAAATTGAACTATCTTTTCTTCAACACCAAACAAGTGAAACCTGAGAAACAAAAAAAAAAAAACACCATAGGAACAAGAAAACAAACCTTCGAGCTCTAGTTCCCTAAGAATGGCATTAAACTGGTTTCTCAACTCTCGCAATTCCACCAGAGCTCTTTGAATCCGCTGAATCAGATGGTTTTCTGCCGGTGGAGCTGCGTCCGCGGCGAAAACCACCGGTCGGCGCTGAGAATCCGACGGAGGAGCTTCGTTGTGTAAAGGAGGGTCGACAACAACTGGCTTTTGGACACCATCACTGTCTTCCATCTTTACCAACAAAGACAAATCAAAAACAAATGTGTGAAAGCTTTACAAAATTCAGAGAGACCCAAACACCAAAACCACAACTGAATTGACCCAGTTTTGAAATTGAATTGATATCATTAGAATCAAGACCAGAGAAGCCATCAATCAGATTTTGACAATGCTTCTGCGAATTGAAAGCACTGGATTTCTTTTAGGGTTTATATAAGGGAATGTGTAGGTGAAAACGACACACAAAAGCAAACCGAAGACGGAGAGAGAATGAGAGTTATACCGGAGACGATGTAATTAGCGATCAGCAGGAGATTTTCGAGCGGTGGAGACAAAAGTGTCGCGGCTGTGAAGGAGAGACAGATTTGACTTGAGTGACGACAAGACTGAAAAGAGAAGAAAGATGATGGTCACGGCTTAATTTTTAAGGTTTCCTCGAATAAACCAAAACAAAATCAGATTCGAACCGAACCGTGCTATCCCGGTTACGTGTCCGTCCATATGAGATTCCTTTAATACCGGAAGTGTATAGTTGGAATTACTTCGAAGATATAAGATGAGAATTGAAGTGCAGAAGAGAACTTTATAATAAGTAGATACTATAACTAGAAAGTGTATCAAGTTTATTTCCTTTTTTTTTTTAATTTAATGTAATGTAATGGTAATGAGAAGCGTTTTCTAACAACATATCGTGTATACAAAGAATGGTACAAGTCAATCCTGGACACACCCAGAACAAAGAATAGAGATGTGTATATTAATTGGCTGTAACACATTTTCGTCATTTCATGATATATATTATATATTATTATAGAGGTAAGGCTCTTCTGACTTGTAAGAGCCAAAGTGCGAATTGCATTACCCAGAGCCTTGCTTCCACAGAGAATCCTTCAAGCCACACCTTCAACCATTTCACCAACGATTTCTTCTGTGACCATTTCGCCTCCATGACCGCTTCTGAAGACACTTTCCCGATGATCAAGAAAGACTCAAGCGACGATCCTTGCAAAAGCTCGTTGTTAACCGACCGGAGACAGTCGTTCGTCTTCAGCATCAGAAGGATCACGCGTGGCAATCTCCTGAGAAGCTCCGAGATTTGAGGGAAATACTGTGACGCATACATCTGTAGCTCCGAGCGATCTTCTTTAGTGCCTTGGATGACTAAATGATCCACAGACGAGTCGATGACTTGCTTCCACGGTCTCATTGTAAGAATCCCGGCGAAAAGAACGTAGAGATCGTCTCCGGCGCCTAGCTTCGCACTGTGTTCTTTGATGGCATTAGCATCCGAAAAGATCAGGGCTTTCCATAGTGAAGCGTAGTTGAATCTCGTGTTGAAGTCAAGCTCCTTGTACAAGCCATGGTCAAGAAGCACCAGTTGTGGTTTTTGCTTGCCGTATATGTTTCTTTTACCAGAAGGAGCTGGACGAACAATCAAATTGGCTGCGTGTGGATCACAATGCACAAACCCATGTTTGAACATCATCTCTGCAAAAGTTTGACTCACCTGCAAAATAAGAGCTTAACGCATATCAAAATTCGTTCCTCCGTGCTAGTCCACAAAGGGTATTTGAAATAACCAAACTTTTACATAAAGCGGCAACACATATGTTCTTTATCAATTGGGTGATATACAACCGAATCCAAAAAAATGCTTGATATCTTAAAGATCAAAGGTGAAATAGCTTACTAGCTTTGACACTTCATAGGGCTGAATCCCAAGCTTTTTGATCATAGCCACATCATTCACTTGAGCACCTTCCATGAACTCCATAGTCAATAGCTTAGAGGAGGTCAGGTTCCAATAGATCGTTGGGGCATAAACATACTCTGCAATATGGGGAGACTGTCTCCTAAAATTATCCAGACATTTCTCACTGTTCTTCGCCTCAACCAAAAAATCTAGTTCCTGATGAAAAAAATACATTGATAAAAATAAAATATCAAACCAGTTACAGCAAAAACTCAATGACTATACATAAACGTTTCATAATAGACACTGAATCAATAACGTTGATCAATAATGAAAGTCATCAGAAATTATTGCAAGAACATGAATGCCGAAAGATAAATAAAGCACTTATATAACACACATATACAAGGCTGTATAAACATATCGAAGCAAACTGTATATGTTATGAGTCAACTAAAGACACCAACCTTTGGTAAGCTTTCACTCATTTCATCTAGCAACCACCTGCGTACATGAGCCAGTATAAGCTTATTGTAAGAGACATGGGCTATGAATTGTGTCTATAGGAAAGTGAGAAAGAGCCTGCACCTGTAGTCAAATGATGGGAATATCCGGTGCAAGGTATTCACTATAACTCCAACAGCTGCAGTATCCGCAGCTGCACTGTCTGTCATGTGCGCATGCTGAACCTGCAGAAAATAGATTCAAGATAACAAATAGAGTAAGTACAAAAATATTCTTAACAAGCTCAACATTTTTAACTATTGATTTGCAAAAACTTGTTTTCCCGCTTCATATAAAGTCAAAAACAGTTCCATTGATTACCTTGACAGCAACTTTTTTCCCGTCATGGGTGCGAGCAACATGAACTTGAGCAAGGGAAGCGCTAGCAATTGGAACAGGGTCAAATTCAGCAAATACCTGCAGATAAAATACCATAGCCAAATTGAGAAGATAAGAGACGCATGCATTCATTAATGAAGCGTGAAGTGTGGTTATACAAATTTAAGATAAAAGTATAGATAAGAGCGCATACTTTGTCTGGCGTCTCTCCAACCTCTTTCTTGAAAACCTCACATACTTGCTCATACGAAGAGACAGGGCACTTGTTCAACATCGACTCCCTCATAGTACGAACATACTCCTCAGGGACAAGATAATCCTTGAAACATAAAAGCAAAAAAAAAAGTTGGTTTCCATCAAAATCCAAGCAATTTTACAGAACAACAACATCATCCTTTATCCTTCAGATATTCGAACGGTACGTAAGAGCATAGCTTGACATACTAATTGTCCAATATGCTGGCCAAGTTTGATATAGATTCCTCCGTTTTTGAAACAGAGCTCTTGAAGCTTTTGGGCTGACCTTAGGTGGACTTCGTGTTTGACCTGAGCTCTCTCACTGCTTCCCTCAGCCAAACCCAACAAGGAATATTCATAATCTAACAACGCAACCCACGAAACATAACGTTACTTCTTAAGGTAGCAAACGATTCTCCGCAAGAAACCGTACAAAATTCCAATTTTTCAAGGACCGAACAAATCAATAGCTCGACCAAATCAAACGTAAATATCAAACAAACGCCATAGATAAAAACGCAATTAGATGTAGTTAAGATTTGCTTCGACGAGCTTTAGATTGCCTAAATCGTTCCAATACAATTGGAACTCCCCAGATACGAGAGATCACATAAAAACCAATCTCATTCACAAGCTTAATCAAAGCACGAATTAAAATCTAGAGAAGAGAAAAAGGGATATTTCAAAGGAAAGAGCATTGCACCAATACAAATCCTGTGAACAACAGTTTCTGATATTTATCGTTTTTCCATACCGAAAGCGATGGAGGCGGCGGTGACGGTGTTGCGGAAGAGGCGGACGGGGATGTTGGTGCAAAGCTTGAGAGTTTTGGACGGGTCTTCGGAGGAAGCAACGAAGGCGGCGCCGGAACCACCGCAGACGGCGGAGCCAAGAACGAGGAACCTCGCACGGGTTCTCCACAGGGATCGTGCCGCCATTGAGGAAGCACGCACGCACGCCCCCAAGCAGATCGGAGCGAGCCAAAACAAACGAATCCGACAGCGCTAATTATATTTTTGCGTGAATTTGTTCTTCAGAGCAAACCTCTCTCGAGTCTTTCTTGTTTTTGGGCTTTATTTATGGGCCTTTAATGGGTCTGACATTAGATAAATCATAAATCGGCCATAACATTTATAGTTACTTTCTTTTTTTTTGGTTTTGGTTATTTTAGGGTGATCAGCAAAAATCTTTGTCAAACCGATGTTACTACTTATATATATACCGTTAATTAAATTTGGCAAGACTACATAAAAGATGTACAAAACATCAACAACACATATGAAACAGTTCTGAACAGATTTTCACCAACATCTGCAGAAGACATGAGGATCGTTTATTAGCTATCAAAGACTATACAATATAAGAAGAAGTTAGATCTTTCAGACCAACTAATATAAAAAAGGGATACACAAAGCTAACAAAAGCAAAACTTTATTCTCTTTAGTTCAATAACACCAAGATGAGAATGATATCAAAGTCGGTATGTTGGGGCCTTTTGTCCGTTTTGATCAACCTTATGACGCGTGCTTAATGCTTGATAATGCGCCTAGCAGATAAATCCATTCTATACAAAGCATATACTTAATTTTCTCATATATACATGAGTAGAAAAAGAAAAGACCATAGCGAAGCATGCTTTCTAGTTTCTAGAATCTATGTCGTGCCTCCTCTTTTCTCGCAATTTCCTCATCAACTGTGCAATTGCTTCGATAATCATGTCTTTGATGACTTGAGATTGTCTTGATTTGGGTAGAAGAAGATTCTTCACTTCCGGTCAGTTTCGTATGCCAAAACTTCTTGACTTTCATTTATTTTTTTGTTTCGTACTTTTAGAAATTCATTATTTGGTTGGTCCTACATTAATAGTTTTCAACTTCATGCATAGTGTATATTATCATATACTATTGAAATGTAAATCTGACTGTTTGCTACACAAGAAAAAACACAAACAAATATAATAAACTATTACATCAGTCTACAATTTGTTACATATTTTACACCAACTTACTATTGTTCGGTTATTCTCATCTTTGGAGTTTCGGCTATAGATAGAATATGACAATTTGACAACTATGTAAGAATGTTCACTTAATCTGGTTAATTTAGAATCTGACTATTTAATTCCAGGTAAGCATGTTTACTTAACCTGATTAATTTAGAATGTTTTCAGCTGGCAAAAGAAAACAACTAATTAAAGCTTTTTGTATTAGAAAATGTTCCAAATTGAAATAAATCTCGATATGTTTGGCTTAACATAAAAACTTTACGATGAGCATCAATTGACTAATATATACACTCACCCAAAATTAAGATGCGTCTAACAAAAGTTTTCTATGGATTTTCCATCGTTTATTTGCGTTACACTAAACTGGCAATGTAAATTGACAAGCAAATTCATATTAACGGTTTAGAATAGTTTCATAAGAGATGACAAAGACAAAAAGAAGTTTGATAAGAAAAAGCAATCATAATTTTCTTTTTTTTTTTCATATTTTTTTTGGTAGCATTAGACGAGAAAACGTTGAAGATCTCAAATCTACTACACAAAATAGTTATTAAAAAGTTGGATTCGATTTTTAAAATTTTTATATATCATTATGTACAAAGAAACAAAATAGAAATAGAAAATAGCGCCTTGATATACGTTTGGGCAATAAACGGCATGTGGTCACATGGCTAAAATCGGTCGGTTCCTCCATTCCCGTTTTTGTTTGTGTTAACGAGTCTCGGTTCATCTTCTTCGGCGGGATGGGATGGGCCGAACATTATTTTATAACGATTGTGAAAATTCTAAAGCATTCGAAGATATAGGTATGTTCCAACAAGAAGAAACTAAGAAATGTTCCAACTATTGAGAATTTTCTATGCTTCACGCTATTTTTAGGTATTACCGTTATTATACGGAGACTAAAATCTAAACACTACGAAAACTATTTTTTGTTTATAACAAATTGATAGGGTGGTCATAGTCAGCTCTGGAAAGTCAAAGGACTCAAAGACCACGAAGTTTCAATCAATTAACATTTTTTTTTTCTAGAATGTTTCGGTTTCTATTTTCTAATTATTTGGGATTTTGTTTTACGTTTTTCTAACATCGGTTTTGGAGTATTGTTGTTATCATAATTTTCAGCGTGTTTGTTTTTTAAAATCTTACTCTAGTGTATAAAAAAATAAATAATCGAAAAAAATTTCTTATAAAAAAATTGATGCATGAAATGATACTTTAGTGTATAATCTCATTTTACCCCGTCTACATTCTAGTTAGTATTCATGAATTATCTTTAAACGTAATCAAATTGTAGAAAGACACTTATATACAAAGAAAAATAAATTAGTGACCATCATCATGTTTCAAAAAGAGAGATATAAAAAATCAGCAAACTCCAATAATCTATATTCGATTCTTTATATATATAAAAAAGGTCCTTGTTCTTTTTATACTTCAAATACTCCATTAAGGTGCGAATAAACTCATCTCATAAAGAAACCAATCACCACATTACTTACATGAGAAATGAAAAAAACCGTGTGTATCGTATTAATTACTTCGTCTCGTTGACTTTTTTTTTAAATAGTAAATGTGATTTATTATTAATTACTAAAAATAATGAGAAGAAATACGATATATGTAAATCAGTGTATATGGTAAATGTGATTATCATTTTAATCAATAACAAAATAATGAGAAGAAATAAGATATATGTGAATAAAAAAACAATGACTAGATTAAAGACAAGTTTAAAGGCCAAAAAACTCAAAATTTAATAATAATGATTGACATATATAGAAAGATAAACATATACTACCAAAACTAACCCAATAATTTTCATTTAAAATTTCCAAAGTCCAACGAGGAAATCAGCTTATTATATAAAGTAATGACCTGATATATATATAAAAAATATCTGAGCATCATCCTCGGCGTCATCGTCACTTTGTATCGTCGTCCACCTTTTAAAACCCCCTCTAAAGTCTCCGAGAACACCTTCTCTCTAAACACAACCCACACTCCAAACAAAATCCTCTCTGTGTCTCTCTGTAATCTGATTCGATATGGGTTTTAGTAAAGAAGAGATTAGCAAAAGCAGAAGGTTTTGGTCATCTCTATGGAGAGGGATCAAAACTGTATTCGTTTTGTTCACAATGTTCCTCTCTTTTATCATTGTCTCTGCTCCCATCTTCCTCGCCGTCGCCGACGCTCTCCTCCCTTCCGCCCTCCTTCACCGTCTCTCCTCGCCGGCGAATCTCTCTTCTCATCTCACCAACTACGATTTCCGTCACTCCCTCATCGATATTCCTTTAATCTCCATCATTAGATCCGCCGTTATACTCTGTGAGTAAAAGATCCAAACTTTGCAAGAGCCCATAACTCTGGATTCAGTGCTCTGTTCCTGAATTAATCTGGGATCTGAAACAAAAATTTGACTTCGAGGGGGGAATTGATTTTAATTTTCTGAAGAGCCCAGAAGCTCATATCTCTGAATTAATTGATTCTCTGAAGAACCCAGAAATCGAATACTCTGTTTCTCACATTCTTCATTAAATCTGAGATCTTTTCGAGTTTTTTTCCAGAAATTGATTGTTTAATTTTCGTGAAACCAGGTGTTTACGGACTTTGCGACGGACCCAAACTATCGAGAGGACCGTATCTGACAATAACGATGATCTGCTCAGTTTCTTCTCTGATCTACGTTTCGTTAAAAGCGGCGTTCGTGTTCGGCGAGCCGGCGATCGGAGACGGCGGAGGTAACTACTGCAGAGCGGCGGAAGTGGCTCTGTTCCTCTGCTCAACGGTTTTAGCCATCGGTCATATCGTTGTGGCTTATCGAACAAGCTGTAGAGAGAGAAGAAAGCTCCTCGTCTTCAAAATCGACATAGAAGCCGTAAGTCCACTTCCTTCTTCTTCTTCTCCTTCCTCTTCCTCGCCGTTACAGAAATTTATTATTTTTAATTTTAATTGATTAATTACACTGAAAAATGGGGCCAAGTTGCATTATTTTCAAATCTAGGATGAATTATAATTTAGATTTTCACCAGCACTAAGATATCCTAATCAGACTTGGTCAGAGATAGCATGTGGGGATGGGTATAATAGTCAATGTTGATGAATATTTAACACAATTTGTCATATTTGGGCCCTTTTGGGATTCTAGAAACTCGACGATCTCTCATCTTTCTTGCCAACTTGTTGGTTGAGTTTAAGAAGCATTTTGAATTTTCACTCGCATTTAACTTGAATTTAGACTTTCTCGTATACATTATAGGTTAGAATCTCATGTGGAAACCGTGTGGCATGCAATAAACCTAATTTTCTTCGTGTTTTTTTTTAATAATCCGACATGACACGTCACACCTCACGCATGCTTCATGATATGTTTTCTCATAGTGACAAAAATTATCACTCCTCTTATAAGTTAGATAGTTTATTACTAATCCAATGTGAAAGTAATAAAGCTTTTTTATATGTGTGATTTAAATTCATTTTCAGGTTTCGGCTTGTAAAAACGTGTACCCGAGATACCAAAAAATCCTCCAACAAGAGAGACTCAAATAAAGACGTATTTGACGAAAAAACCAATCTTGTACATATGTATATATACATACATGACTCATAACCCATACATGTAAATATAAATATACGACGTATAAATGTAGCTTCTTCTTCTGCCTTTCGGTGTTGACCCATCAACTCCTTCGCTTTTAAGTTTCAGGTAAACAACAACCTAATCTCATCCTCTTTATTTATTTTCTGGCTTACGTAATATATACTCATATTCTTAGTTATTGGATATAGTCATAAACAAATGGTTATTATTAAATTCTGAATGATATAACCAAGTTGAGAGCCGTTTTGCTGATAATGTTGTTTATTACCTTCTTCTTTTTCTGTTAACAGAAAGATCCAAAGGGCTTGTCTGTGAAAGGCGGGAGGAACAGATAAGGAGTGGGGCTTATATAACCTAATGACTTTTTTTTATGTAAGACAACTCCAGTGAATTGGCATTTGGTAGCTTTAATATTAGATTAGTTTAGGAGTAATATAGTTTTTTTATTTTCTAACTAACCTAGATATCATAGCATGATATCAAAGCCAAAGGCATCTTTTTTTTAATTTTCCCTCTTCGTTTCGTATTTTTTTTTGTCTTTTTTATTTCATCTGATTCCAAGGACCAAGAAAGTTTGCTTTACAACACATATTGGTCATCAAAAAAAGGCCCCAATACAGAGGACACCAAAGGCACTTATAACTAGATTCATTCTACCAAATAAAAAAACCAGCCAAACATAGCATTTCAAAGAGACTTGTGAGTAAAGCATATGCCCGCGTTGGCTTCGCCATCTTATAGAACACATTGCACGTAGCAGTGGGTGAATATACTTTGACATCTTTCGCTCTTGGGAATAAGACATTACCAACTGTAGTCTGTAGTCCAATGCATGTGTAAGAAGGCCGCATAGAAGCCATCATAACAATGTGCTTTATGAATGGAGCGATAACAAATACGACTTCTTTAATTTCGTTAGCCTCCGTGATAGATATGAGCCAGTTCATTCATATATGTTGAGATACAAGGCTCATGTACCTCTTGGAGAAGCCGAAAATCATCATAGAGACATAGAGTGAGAGAACAGTATTTATGTCTTGTAAGTTGTAAATAATCTTTGGATGATCCTTGAGAAATGATATTGCACCACCTCACCATTCTTATCTTCTAGCACCGTTAAAATGTAATCCACTAATGGGCTGACAACAAAATGACTAATAAGCTTTTGGTAAATGGGCTTTAGGAAGAGTGCAATTTCAATTGGGACCAACAATCTTTCTCCTTTTGTGAAAATCGACAAAAGAAATCCTTAAAAGCAAAAAGAAACAAAACAAAGAAAAACCTTAAATGGGATACCTACCGTTAGGACCAAAGAGAAAAAAGGGCAACGTCACTGAAAATAGAGACACCACAAAAGAATAAAGGCAAAGAGCCAATCACAGGAGATAACGCTGAGATAAGGCTTCCTCCATCTACCATCACATAAAGCGTTATTTATTAATATTATTCAAAAAATCTAAAAATACAAAAAAACTATATGTTATATAACAAGATTTCATCAAACACTAAGCAGGATCACGCCGACACTTAAACGATTCACATGGCTACCACCACCACTGCAGCAGCAGCAGCCTCAGGTATCTTTGGGATCCGGATTCAAGATCCGAGACCCGGTACCGGTAGAGTCCAAGCCCGGTTCGGATTCAGTTTCGGCAAAAAGAAATCCCCTCCACCGCCGAAGAAATCGAAGCAGGTTCAAAACGACGGAGACCGGCTAGTTTGGTTCCCTGGCGCGAGTCCTCCTGAATGGCTAGACGGATCCATGATCGGAGACCGTGGATTCGATCCGTTCGGTTTAGGTAAACCGGCTGAGTATCTTCAGTACGATTTCGACGGGCTTGACCAGAACCTTGCGAAGAACGTAGCGGGTGACGTTATTGGGATCATCCAAGAATCGTCGGAGATCAAACCGACGCCGTTTCAGCCGTACACCGAAGTCTTCGGGATCCAACGGTTCAGAGAATGCGAGCTGATCCATGGAAGGTGGGCCATGCTTGGCACTCTTGGTGCCATCGCCGTCGAAGCTCTCACTGGAATCGCCTGGCAAGACGCCGGAAAGGTAAGCTCATCCATTCGCCCCGTCCTGACATAGTTGTCCACGTGTCAATCGTTGGAACTAAAATACAAGTTCTGTAAGTGCATGAGAACTTTATGCATGATTGACAAGAGTCGTTTCGGTTTAAAAAGCATAGCTAAGTGTCCGAATCAGGCATAGGTAGGATTTGGCTTAAACGATTTAAGTTTTTTTTTTGGGTTTTAGGATGTTTGTTTTAGGTTTAGGAAAAGGGTCCCCAATTAAAATCAGATTTTATTTGTTTGAATAAAAAAATATATATATATGAAAAAAAAGACAATAGTGGATTAATGGTAGTTCTCAATGCATTTTCTATATGTCAAAGGTATTATTATTAGTTTTTCATGGTTTTGGGTTTCCTCGGTTTAGTCAGTCTTATTCCTCTACTGTTCGGTTTCGAGTTGATGAATTTCGGTTTGGTACGTTTTCTTGACGCAACCCGTACTACGTAGGTGGAATTGGTGGAAGGTTCGTCGTACTTGGGACAGCCATTGCCTTTTTCGATAACGACCTTGATATGGATAGAGGTGCTAGTGGTCGGGTACATCGAGTTCCAGCGTAACTCTGAGCTGGATCCGGAGAAACGTATTTACCCGGGTGGGTATTTTGACCCGTTGGGACTCGGGTCTGACCCAGAGAAGTTGGATACCTTGAAGCTCGCGGAGATAAAACACTCTCGTCTCGCTATGGTCGCATTTCTCATCTTTGGTCTTCAGGCAGCCACTACCGGCAAAGGCCCCATCAGCTTCATCGCCACTTTTAACAATTAATGAGCCTTTTCTGTATCGTAATTTATACTCATTTTCTTAAATAATTAAGACTGTATAATGCATGTTATGGTAAAGAGCCTGTGATGTTACTCAAACCGTGTTAAACTCTATCGTTTTGTCAATTAGTATATAGTAAGAAGAATCTAAAGTATGCAAATATCTTTTTGGGTTAATTGCGCAATTGTTGTCTGTTGCTTTTGTAAAGCAGTTTGGTTAACAAAGCAAATATTCGCTAATATTAGCCATCTAGTGATATTTTTTTTTTCAATACATCTAATCTAACTATATAGAAAGTGATCATTAACCATATACTATAGAAGATGATTTGCAAAGTGGGTTGTTGAATGTAACGAAATATCAATTTGGCGATGTTATAACTAGGGCTATGGAGTCCATAATTCGACATTCAACTAGTAAGATGCGATTCTATAATATATTTTATCTGATCTCAAACGAAAGGAGAATATCAACGATATGATCAGTATGAGATAAGGTTTCATTTATTTTATTTTTAAAGGAAACAATTCATTTGTCGTATTCTTGAGAAGATATGATATTTTTCTTGATAATTGATTACTGAATAATTAATAGAAGGGGCAAGAATATTGCTCGTCCCTTTGATATAATAGTTAGTTAGTTAGTTAGTCACGTAAGCGCAAATAGGTTTTGAAGAGAAAAATACCAGAGAAGAGTTCTTCTTCTTTGTTCTGAAACTACCACGGTTTAATTTTGCATGATACTAGTAAAAAGTAAAAACTAAAGATTTATTTATCTCATATACTAGTGTAAATGTACAGACAGAAAAGTAGGTCATTTGTTACTTTTACAACACTTGTGGTAAATGAAAAGCAATTGCAATTACAATTCCAAGAAAATCTCAAAATACATAGACAAGGGTATAAAGCGTAAGAAAGATGGTGAATAAGTCCCTAAGTATAATAAAAATATAAATATAAAACGAATATAGAAAATGCAATTGGTGAAGAGTACACGTTGTGCCACTTTTCTGGACTGAAAGAAGAAAAAGAGAAATTAAAAAGTGAATAATTGAGAGCAGACGTTATACCTTCCCCATCCACATTTCTTGCTAACTACACAACAAACATCAATTCCACACAAATAAAGTTTTGAGATTTGTATAAAGCAAAAAAAAAAAAAAAAAAAAGATCAAAAACTCTGTTCTGCAGATTTTGGGGTTTTTTGATCGGATTCAATTGGTGGTTTTGAATCAAAGATGGGAAGGTTGTTTGTGGTGAATCTGGAGGGGAAGATCTATAGCTGCAAACACTGTAAGACTCATCTTGCTTTATACGAAGACATCATCTCCAAGGTATTTTTTTTTGTCTCTTTTGACCTCTTCCAATCTCTATTTGGGTTTTCTTAATTCATGATTTTTCTTGATATTATTATTTTTATGGGTTTTTGGGAATTTGAAAGGATATTTAGTGACACAAGATTCTCTAACAGAGCTGTGGTTATGTGTTGATTAGCGTCAGTACATAATTTTATTTAATCTTATTGCTTGGAATTGGATCATGCAATGAAGAAGATAATTGTAATTTTTAACCATTAGATATCACTTTCAGCACTTTTAATATTAAGTTATACTACATTGTTGAACTTATGGTTCAATACTTGTATTAATCTTGGGTAAACAATAATTTCATTGGTTTGGATCATAAGTTTTGGAACGTTGAGCTTCCCTTTAGGTGGGTCTGAAAACAGATTTTTCTTTTGATTCTCTGTTTGGTTTAGAAATGGATTCTTTCTTGAGAATGATCGAGAGTTGAAGCTACTAACTAAGCTCTCACTAATTCTGCATTTGTTAATTCTTGAGTTAACACAGTGTGCTGTGTGTGTGTGTGTTTCCTTGATCAGTCTTTTCACTGCAAGCATGGGAAAGCTTACCTCTTCAATAAGGTGTAAGTTTTCTTATTTCCAAGGCACCTCATGATGATGATGATCCAATACTTCCTAAATTGGGCTGGCATTTCTGATGACGATGATTGATCTTGGTTAGTGCCAATGTTTCAACTGGAGAGACAGAAGAAAGAATGATGATGACTGGAAAACATACAGTGGCTGACATTTTCTGTGTCTCCTGTGGATCTATCGTTGGCTGGAGATACGTAAGCCAACACATCATAATATTCTGCAAAAAAACCTATCCCTGTTCGATTCTTTTGTGTGGTTTATAGCATTGGTTGTGTATTCTGTGGTTTTTTACCAGGAGACTGCTCATGAGAAGAGCCAGAAGTACAAAGAAGGAAAATCTGTGCTTGAAAGGTTATAATATTTCCAACATTTCAAGACTTCAATTGCAAGAAACACGAATTATAATCTCGTTTCATGATCTTGAAACTGTTGTGGCAGATTTAAGATATCAGGTCCTGATGGGAGCAACTACTGGATGAGTAGCCATGGAAGGCATATAGGTGGAAGTGATGCAGATGAAGCTTGAATCATCACCTCTCTACCCTCTGATTTAACATTCCCTGTAAATGTAAAATTCTTCAACCCTCCATTCCAACTCTGTTGTTATCAGACTAACAAAAAGCCCTTTTCTTCTCTTGCCTCATTTTCTGAAAAATCCACCAGTAAATAAAGTCTGATTCTATGTAATGATCATCAAAAACCTATGCTTCTATCATATTGTGTAAAAAATGTATTCTAAGGAAGAAGTATTTTATTTAAAATTGATGCCAAACGCATGCAACCGCAACCGATTCATTGAAACAAACCAAATCTATATCAAGAAATCCAATCAGCTGAAAAAGTAAAAATGAAAAAAAAATTGATTTGGTTAAAACAAAACGTCTAGACAAATGTTTGATTGTTGCATCTACAACAGAATAATCAGGGTAGAAAAGTCAGACAACCATCTTCGATGCAACAGACTTGGACTTATTTATTTCCTTTTTACCAGTCAACGCAAAGACAAAAGTCCACAGTTAATGTTCTCTCTCCGGTTTTTCTGACTGGACCAAATGATGTTTTCGGTTGGAACTCTAGCAGACTTTTGGGTCAGACAAAGTTTATCACAATCCCTCAAAACTGCATCGATTAGTGGCTAATGGGCTAACAAAGATGTCAAATGCTCAAGTTTACAGGCCCATTGAAGGTGATGGACCTGTTACAGTCTTCCTTCTGAGAAAATGTGGTATTGGTCAACAAATCCCTTAACTCATTGGTTGCTTAGTGCGCACTGACCAAACCCACAAAAGTCAAAATTTATCAGTCTTCTCGGTGATGGTAGGCTTTGTTCCTTCATTTCCTACTAACTACTCCACTTTATATCCAAAATATAGTTAGCTGAGATAACACATTGAGATCACTCAAAGATTAGGCCAACCAAATGAAGTCGTACAAATTGACTATTTCCTCTCCTTAAATCCATCTTCTTCCACACACATGCTTATTTCGTTTCTTAAAGAAAAGTAACATATTGAGACTTTTAAAAAAAAAAAAAAAATGGAGAGCTTCTTGATCTTCCGTTGCTTCTTGTTATTCGTCTTCTTCAAAGGAACATTCGCAGCTTCAGGCAAGTTTTGGAGCAGATTAGAGATGGCTGAGATGAATGGCTACGGAGAACATAAACTCTCTTCCGTAGTTATCACCGGTTCTCTTCTATGTAACATCCCTCTTTCAGGTATTCTCTATGCGCTCTATAAGGTCTTATGTTTTCATGTTTACAAATTAACATCATCTAAACTATTTATTCACATGGTTTCTTGAAGGTGCCACTGTTGCCATCAAGTGCCACAGTACTGGTTTCAGAAAGAGAACAAAATGGACCAAAGCTGTTACTGATGACTTTGGAGAGTTTGTTATCCATCTTCCTTCTCATCTTCATGCAATTCCTCATCTAGAAAAGGCATGTTACATCAAACCAGTACATGTGCCAAAACACTATTATAGATGCTACAAGACTTTTGCCAAATCCAATATACACAAAGGTATCAAACTTGTTTCGTCCAGAAATGGCTTCCGTGTCTACACCGCAGGGAAGATCACGTTACATGGATACAGTTCAAGATCATCTCAAGGTCGTAAAGCCGACATGTAAAATACAAAACAATTAATAAGAAACAACAGATACTTGTGTGAAAAATCATGTGTGTTTTATGTTCCTCACTTGTTTAGCTGGCGCTTTAGTCACAGAACTAAGTTGAGTCTCTCTACGTTTGTTTACCATATTCACAATGTCAGTCTTCTTCACTTGTTCCCTACGGCATCAACCTCTTCTCAATGTTTTCTCTCTCAAACTTAGCAGCAACACAAGCATATCAACAACTCTATCTTTCTTCTTATATAAAAAAAAAAACCCCCGCCTCTTCCCTTTCTAATAAGGAATAAAACCAATCATAACCATCATCATAATCATAAATCATAATCATAATCACAATCACAATCACAATCACAATGTTAATTTTAGATAATAAATCATTAAGCATAAATCCATATATTAGGAAACACATAATTAAGTAGACAAAAGGGATTTTTTCAATAATTTAACCAAAATGGTTCTTATTTTACAAGTCAAAGACCAAGTAGTAAATCTAACTACAATTATTGAGAAATTAGTGCATGTTTATACTAATTGAAGAGACAAATTGCGATTACAGCAAAAAACTAAAGTAGTTTTACATTTCAGATGCAAGGCCGAGACGTGGTGTAGACGAAGTATGCATGATTTCGTTTTTGACGAATCCTATAAACGATTTTTTGGAATATTATAAAAGAATCAAACATAAGTAAAAAATAAGTCATAATAAGAAAATAAAGGACTCGAAATATGAACTCTATATGTATCATGGAAGCAACACTTTAGAACATATCCAACAGAATGTAATCTTATTCTTAGGCTAATACAAAATTTCCCACCTGAAAAGAGTACGAAAAGAAAAACCTTTACTAAATTAAAAAAAAAAACCAATACTATAATTAAGAATTTCTCTTATTAGTAATTTTTAACATATCCTTTTTCCCCATAAGAGAAATGAAGAAGATGATAGATACGTAATATATAAAAAAAATTGATTTTTGAAGAAAACAGTTTTTAGAATATGTAAAAAAAAACAAATGAATAGGTAAGAATTTTTTCAAAAAGACTCAGAAAGAGAAAAAGAAAAGGGAAGAGAGATTACAAAAAGACAAACGATCCCGCTTCAAAACCTCCTCTTTTATAGGGACTCTCCTTCTCCTCATCTTCAATCCCCAAATCCCCAAATCTCAGTTCTTCGATTCCTAAGAACAAATTTCTGGATTTGAAGAAACCCTAATAATAGTCGAAAATCGAAATTTTCAAAAAAGTTTCGATTTTTGATTTGTTTTTTTTCGGTTTTGACAATGGGGAAGGAGAAGAAAACAGAGTCGTATGACAATGGGAGTTACAATTACAAGATGTTCAAATGCTTCAACCGTAAATTCAAGATCAACGAAGTCCAACCCACAGACGACGTCCGTGACGTCTTCTGCCAATTCGCCGTCGGCGGTGGAGGAGGCGGAGGCGACGGAGATTCCAGCGACGGCGACGGATCCTCCGGTGTACTCGGCGCAGAGCAGCTCTGCTCTTTCCTCGACGATTACCAAGGCGATTCAGATATAACCGTCGCGGAGGCTCAACGGTTAATCGACGAGGTCATACGACGGCGACACCACGTCACGCGCTTCACGCGCCACGGTCTCGACCTCGACGATTTCTTCAATTTCCTCTTCTACGATGATCTCAATCCTCCCATCACGCCTCATGTAACTACCCACAAAAAAGAAAGTTCAAATCTTTTTTATTGCCCACAAATAAAAATCGAAACTTTTGATTTATGTGAAATTAACTTTGTTGAATCAGGTTCATCAAGACATGACAGCTCCATTGTCGCATTACTTTATATACACAGGACACAATTCGTATCTTACAGGGAATCAACTAAGCAGCGATTGTAGCGAAGTCCCTGTGATCAAAGCATTGCAAAGAGGCGTTCGAGTCATCGAGCTTGATCTTTGGCCTAACTCTACTGGAACAGATATCAATGTCCTTCACGGAAGGTATAAAACTTCCTTCTTTCTTCTTCTCTCTTTATAAAACATTTTTTCAGATCAAAACGCTTGAAATCGCAGTTTATTGTTTTCATCAGAACGCTCACAACGCCTGTACCGCTGATCAAATGCTTGAAATCGATAAGAGATTACGCGTTTTCTAGCTCGCCTTATCCGGTTATCATCACTTTAGAGGATCATCTTACAGCTGATCTTCAAGCCAGAGTTGCAGAGGTAAAGTAAAAACAAAAAAAATTTATCTCTTTCTTGTGCATCAATATCAGTTTGATTTCGATATTGTAATGGTTTTTTCTTTCTTTGTTTAGATGGCTACACAGATATTTGGGCAGATGTTGTATTACCCTGAATCAGATAGCTTAGAAGAATTTCCTTCTCCTGCTTCACTACTTCATCGGATAATCATCTCAACTAAACCGCCTAAAGAGTATCTTGAATCGAGGAACCCGATTGTGAAACAGAAGGATAATAGTAATGCATCTCCATCGTCAGAGGACGAAACATCTGGAACAGACGAGATTCAGACACTAGAAAGTATGCTGTCTTACGACGATTATGAAAACAAGGTAATAATAAAAAGGAACTTATTAGATCAGGAATAAAGAAAAAAAAGGGTCTTACATTGTTTGTTGTTTTTGTAACTTGGTTTTTGTGTTTTGAATTAGAGTGATAGTGATCAAGAGGAGGAAGAAGCGAGTGAAGAGCAGAAACCAGCATACAAACGGTTGATCACGATTCATGCCGGGAAACCTAAGGGAACGGTGAAAGAAGAGATGAAAGTTGTGGTTGATAATGTGAGGCGTTTGAGTTTAAGCGAACAGGAACTTGACCGGACTTGTTCATCCAACAGCCAGGATGTTGTAAGGTAATACTGATATATAGGCTAATACAGTACTAATCTTTAACAGACTTGTGCTGCAACATGATCCCTAAATGTTATTTTTTGTAGGTTTACACAGCGGAATTTGCTTCGGATATACCCGAAAGGGACAAGATTTAACTCCTCAAATTACAAACCGCTTATCGGTTGGACTCACGGAGCACAAATGATTGCATTTAATATGCAGGTAAGCCTTAGAAAGGTCTAAGGATACCTTGACTCTTAAGCTACCTTTTAGACATTGGTTTAGGTCTGATCCTATTAGTGCTCAATTAATCTCCAATCACAAACACTTGATAGATCTCTTTATAATAAGCCATTAATTTGTGATTATAGGGATATGGGAAATCTCTGTGGTTGATGCACGGCATGTTTAGAGCCAATGGAGGTTGCGGATATGTCAAGAAACCTAACTTCTTGATGAAGAAAGGGTTTCATGACGAAGTCTTTGACCCTAAGAAGAAACTTCCTGTGAAAGAAACGTTAAAGGCAAGCCAACCACAATCTACATACAGACCTTAACGGATGTTTTAAGCATTTCGAATGTCATATGCCTTATCATTTTGTCACGGTTGCTCAATAGGTGAAAGTGTATATGGGAGATGGATGGCGTCTAGACTTCAGTCACACTCATTTCGACTCATATTCTCCTCCTGATTTCTACACTAAGGTAATATACATCAATTTCACTAATTAGTGCCTTTCCAAAAATTCTTCAAATTACCTCAGAAACCTTACTAAATTGTGGATTGCTTTTGTAGATGTTCATAGTGGGTGTACCAGCGGATAATGCGAAAAGTAAGACAAGAATAATCGAAGACAATTGGTATCCGATTTGGGATGAGGAATTCAGTTTCCCATTAACAGTTCCAGAGCTTGCATTGCTTAGGATCGAAGTCAGAGAGTACGATATGTCGGAGAAGGATGACTTTGGTGGACAAACATGCTTGCCTGTTTCAGAGTTAAGACCGGGGATTCGATCTGTGCCTTTGTATGATAAGAAGGGGGAGAAAATGAAATCAGTACGGCTTCTTATGCGGTTCATCTTCGAATGATTTGGTTTAAATTAATAGAAATGGGTGTGTTTGAGAGATAATTTGCACCCATTCAAAAAAAAAAAAAAAAAGAAGCTTTGAGGTATTGTATAATGTAGCTTGAAGATCAAATGTATCTTTGCTCTGATATCTCCAATAGTGTTTATATACCTACCATATTGAAGAAAATGAAATTATAGTCTACATTTTTTTTTTCAATATGTAAGAATCTCTTGTAAGATGATCTATACTTGGAATTTGCAAAAGTGTTACTTATTGAATAAACTCATAGTTGAAAATATACAGAATTTGACACCAAGATGACTGAAATTTCAGCATTACTGTTTTTCTCTTCTCTCTTGTTAAAATATCAGTTTTTTCGGCTCCTTCAAGCATCAGGCTATAGCTATGCAAATTTAATTGTGTTGAGTGTTAATCTATCTATAGATTCAGGGCTTCGAAATAGCGTGTATAAGGCGCTACCATTGTATTATCACTCTGTTTACTGTGACTTGTGCTATACGCTATAAGTATTGTGTAGTTATATACCCAAACTGATTTTCTCGAAAACTAATTTATATAAGTCCAGCAATCATAATTTAGAAAATTACATGAAGTTTATCTTCTACATTGAGGACGATCGATTTTAACTCTTCCTTTGTTATTTAACAAGTTTATCATCATGAACGTCCTCATCCTCAAAATTCAAATGCGATTTGTGTTTTTCATTAGTGGTTCTTTGAGCTAATTTATTCATCATATAGGAAAAAAAAACCAATTGGCTTTGGCTCATGAATTTTCAAGAGGATGATGGCTCTACCGAGTTTCATCGACTTGGATCGTTATTTATTCCCAATTGTTAATTTGATTGTACCCGATTGGGTAAAGGGTTATGATTCCACAAGAAGATTCACAAGCATTCCACTTCAAAGCCAATTGGTTAACTAATGCATTAACTCACGCTTCTTATATACCACATTAAATCCTTGGAAGTCTCCGATGTGGGATTGATTATGGTTAACTTTTTCATTTATTTGGCCAACATTATTTAATACTCTTTTAGAAAAGGAAAGTCTGGAAGTTAATTAGCTTTTTTGTTTGTTTTGTTTTGGAATAAGTAATCTCTTTTCCTTTTAGGTTAAGCTTTTGTAGCTATAAATATGTAAGCTCGAGAGCAAAACAGAACTAATTCAGAAATCAATTTCTTTTCAATTCACAATCCATTATCGAGAAGAGAAGTTTCCACCGTCGCTCAGGCGCAGCCGCAATCACGCCGATTTCAGATCGTCGTGTCTAACTTTGACAACATGGTTTCTCATGGAAGGCACAAGAGGCAGAGAGATGAATCCGAGTCAGGGTCGGAGGAAGAAACCAAGGAGTATCTTCTGGCCCAAAAGGCTCAGAGGAAGGCGTTAAGTACATCAAAGAAACTGAAGAGGCAGCAGCCAGATCTCGCTGAGAGGTTCGTGTGGTGGAAGAAGATTGAGAAAGATGTTCACCACGGAGCATCGCTGGATCAGTTTTCCGTGAAAGCTGAGAAGAGAAGGCATAAGGAGAAGATGGCAGAGCTTGCAAAGCTGACGAAGAGGAAAGAAGATGGAGCAGCGGAGAGAGCTCGACGTGAGGAAGACATGTCGTTATTGGCTAGAGAACGTGCTCGAGCTGAGTTCCAAGATTGGGAGAAGAAAGAGCAAGAGTTCTGTTTAGGTCAAAGCAAGGCTAGGTCAAAGATCAGATTACGTCAAGGCCGAGCGAAACCAATAGACGTGCTATACAAGCACTTGGATGATGATGACGGTTCAGAATCAGATGTCGAGCTCAGTGAACCACCCTACATGGTTTTCAAGGGACTCACTGTTAAAGATTTGGAAGAGCTTCGTGGTGATATCAAAATGTATCTGGATTCGGATCGCGCAACTTCAACACGCGTGAAGTATTGGGAGGCTCTTGCTGTGGTGTGCGACGGTGAGTTAACTAAAGCTCGTAAAAGGGACGCCCTTGAATTGCTTGCTCAAGAGAAGGGACTACAAGCTGTTGTTGAAGCTGATGTGAGAGAACTTCTTGATGGGAAGACACACGAGGAGCTTGTGCAGATGCAGATAGGCATCAAATCTCGGCTGCGTTCTGAGTTGGCGGAATTTGCAGAGTTTTGGGTAGCGGTTCTTAAAATCCTGGATATATGCAAGGCAAAGGCTTGCTTGAAGGAAATACACGCTGAGAAGCTGAGGAGACATCTACATAGCCTCGAAGAAAACGCTGAAGAAGAATTTGCATTCTCTCAAGAAGAGGCTGATGATGTGGCGGCTATTTCGTTTTCGCCGGAGCTAATTCACGGTGATGATGATCTTGAAGAAGAAGTTGATCCCAGGGAAGACGAGAAGCTACTGGAAACGAAGCGGATGGTTGTGTTGGAGAGGCGGAAGAAGCAGCCTAATGTAGAAGATAGCTTGGAGGTCAAGGCAATGAAGGCAATGGGAGCAATGGAGGAAGGTGATGCCGTGTTTGGCTCTAACGCTGAAGTGGACCTTGACACCAAGTGGCATGACAAGTACAGGCCAAGAAAACCAAAGTATTTCAACCGAGTTCACACGAGTTACGAGTGGAATAAGTATAACCAAACGCACTACGATCACGATAGCCCGCCTCCAAAAGTGGTTCAAGGGTACAAGTTTAACATCTTTTACCCGGATTTACTAGACAAGGCTAAAGCTCCCACTTGCTCTATAGAGAAAGATGGGACGAGCGCTGAGACTTGTATCATACGGTTCCAGGCTGGTCCGCCTTATGAAGACATTGCGTTCCGGATTGTGAATAAAGAATGGGAGCGTTCTCGTAAGAAAGGTTTCAAACACACCTTCGACGGTGGGATTCTGAATTTGTACTTCCGCTTTAAACGTCATCGGTATAGGCGATAAACTGAGGGATTGGTACAATCGACAATACTTTCGTCTGAATATTTTGTTGTTAGGTTCCCTTAAATCATCAGGCTATAGCTATCATGCCATTCAATTTTATTGACTGTTTTACCAATCGATTGATATTTGAATTATATTAGAGTTTTGAAAGGAAACGTGTATAAGAAGCTACCATTGTTTTATTACTCTGTTTATTGTGTTTTACGCTACGAGTATCGTGTAGTCAGTCGTATCAAACTGATTATCTCCAACACTGCTGAATCTACAAAAAAAACACATATTAAACAAGTCGAGAGTAATAAAATTATAGAAATATCATGATCCATGTACAACACACACTCTATGTGACAGGTGGAGTGAACATCCATGACTCCAGTAGTATTCCTAGTTGGTCACTCACAGTATTTGTGTAGCAGAGTTACTCTGATTTTCCCACGAAACTTTAATTTATTACTAACCTTGAGAAAGATGATCGAAATTCTTGGGTGCTCTTAGTGTGTAATGTAATATTGAGCAGATCGTAAGCTGCAAACTCCAGAGACCACTTGGTTATACCTTCCCCATAAAGGATTTTTAACTGTGACATGCACTGTAACAAAAATGTCATCAGAACCAGTGGCGGATCTAGAAGTTTTTGCAGACTTTCGCTCTGATTCAACCCTGGCCACTCTTATCAGCAATGGCAATCAGAACCATTAATCAAGTTTTGCTGTATTGATTTTAGAACCTAGAGGCACAACTCGATCAATATTTTTTCCACATGTTAAACAGAAAAATGATTGTAACTAGTTTTCTATCACTATGAACGAAAGCAGTGGTTAGTGCTGCTCTTTAGATTATTAAGACAACCTGTCGTACCAACCTGATTAAACTCAATTAAATTCCCAGCCTCCAGGGCCAACCTAGCATGTGTTTCATAAACCTCAAATAGAAATTGAACATGGAATCATCATAAACTTCCATGAGGAAATGGATTCTACATATAAGAACCCCCAGCATTGGAGCTTAATAATATACCTGAACTGTGAAAAGAGTGCGTATCCATTGTACTGCGAGGTTTTGGCGGATTGACTTTAGCTCATCACATCATCAAGTTAGCACAATGTGACCCATGTCACTGATGATTTTATAGTAATCCACTTCAAACTTTGCAGAGCCTGGCGGTTTCTTCTTTTACATTATCAAAATTGGCAACGCATGCAAGAAAAATATACATGCTCCATGAAACCTTTACTCTGGAGAGAATGATGTATGCAAGAATAAACTTTCTCCCTTGCACAACCGTTGCACAAGTCTGTTAAAGATTATGGTTAGATTTGTCTATAAATTAGTATTACATCCTGATTGGATGAACAAGTCCAGTCAAGTTCTTCCTCGCTTAAACTCAAAACATCTCACTTAAGAGTTGAGGAGATGATTAAAGTTGTTGCTGACTCTGGAACAAATATCATCGTTACTGGAGGACTAGTGGGAGATATAGCATTGAATTTGTGTGAGAGATACAAGTGAGTGATCCAAATAACCCTGGACATTCCCTTTTACCTGCTTATGAGATACCATTCATGTATAGGCATTTATAATATGAATCAACTTTCTTTTCGTGTGACAGGATTATGGTCTTTGGAATCGGTTCAGAGTTGGAAAGTGAGTTGTTTCTGCCGGACAGCTGGAATTATCAATCTGCCGGATTATAGAGTTTCGTAAGTTTTTAAATTTTTATCATAAGGATGTTTTATGTAAGTGAAAACATATTGGATTAGTAATTTAAATAAATCTAAAACTAGGAGATTTTAATAAATTTAAAATTTTAATGATTTAAACAAATTTCGTCTTCTAAATTCTCTCAAATATCATCATCTGAGGTACTATTTTAATTTATTAGTTTTTAACTCTAAATTATCTCTCAAATCAACCTAAATTATTTTTAAAAATAACTCATCAATGAAATCCCAATTTTCCAATAAGTCAAGATTTTAATGAATTTGTATAAATACTAAAAAATAATTTTGGATTTTAAGTAACTTTTTAAAATGGAAAAAAAATTAATCATACCAAATCATCAACACAACAATAACACTAAAGTCTCTCCATGGCTTGATATCTCAGTTTTTTGAAGCTTTATAAACATGACACTTCAGCAAAAATAATCACCAATCAAAACATTTTATTAATACATCTCATCTACATATTTTAATTTTTAAACTTAAACCCATTAAAAACCCAAATATTTTTTCTAACAATTTTTGTTTTATTTTTTACCAAACCCAAGTCAAAATAATTAATAACAGCAAATAAAAAAATTATTATTTTATTTTTTGTCAAATCTAAACCTAAATAATAAGTATAAACAAATAAAAAATTAAATCATTTTTTTTTCCAAAACCAAATCCAAATAATAAATAACAACAAATAAATAATAATAAAATTCTAACTATCTATTTATTTGACATAGACGTATATGATTAAAAAAATGTAGGCTCAGCATTAATTATGCTTCCATGACAACAACGCAAAAAACCTTATGTTATAAGAAGCTCACATATCACCAAAAATTTGAACCGATAAAAATATAGCAATTTCTTAGTTTTCGCGGGAAAATATAATTTCACGGGAGATAATACAATTTTTGGTTTTTGCGGGAAATTGCAGTTTATTTGTTTATGTAGAAAAGTGTGATTCTGGGCTTGACGAAAAAATGATTTTTTGTTTTTTATTTTGACAGGAATAGACGATTTCTCAGTTTTCGTAGGAAAAATAAATTTATCGATTTTGGGGGGAAAATATAATTTTTTTTTTTAGTTTTTGCAAGAAAATAAATTTTTTGGGTTTTGTGAAAAAACGTAATTTCTCGGCTTTGGTGGAAAAACACAGGTTCTCGCAGAAAAATAAAATTTTAGGTTTTAGGTTTGACGAGAAAATGAATTTTTTGGTTTTGATGGGAATAGGCGATTTCTCAGTTTAATGGAAAAATGAAGTTTTTTTGTTTTAACAGGAAATGCGATTTCTCAATTTTTGTAAGAAGATGAAATTTATCTGTGCTAAATTTCCAAGTTAAAATATGTTTACAGTAACCAAAATTTAATTATTTAACTTTAACTAAAACGATATTTTAAGAGTTCAAACATAATTTTCTATTTAATTCTAAAGCAATAGCAATGTTTTTGATATGAATGTTATTGATTATAATTTGGCAGTTTTAAAAACATATGTTTATAAAAAAATATTTGATAAATAAATAAATTTTATATTTTAAAATAATCATATTAATTAATAAATCTTTTTCTAAATGATATTTTGCTTTATATAATTACAAAAGAAGATCAAGTGGCAATTTATTGGAGAAAATAGATTACATTTTCCATTAGCATGAAGGTACTAAAAATGTATTGTTTTATTTTTATATATTTTATTCCTATATATATTTATAATTAATTAGCTAACTAAATTTAATAGCAAATTATAATTTTGAAAAATATATATATAATATTTATTCAGATTTAAAACATATAAATACATAAGTTAAGCTAATAAAAAAATAAATATAATACTCATTTATATTATAAAAATAATTTTATTATATTAAAAATATATACAAAATTTAGAAAAATATCCCGTAGCATAGCACAGGTAAATACTTAGTTAATCTAATATTAATTGGTTGGGGTTTGTTTAAGGTATTTGATTTCATAAGTGTTTTAAGGGATTGATGATGTATTTAAAAAAAAAATTGATATCATCAATGATCCATCCCTTAAAACTAATCTGAAATTAAATACCTTAAAACCACTTAGGCTTCAACTGGTGGCCAAAGGAATGAGGGAGAATAATGAATTCTCTTCATTCCTTAAAAATTTACCATTTGCTAGTAATAATATTTTCTTATCATTCCTTCTTATTCCTTATCATATAAGGAATTATAGAACAAATATATTCCTTATTAAAATAGAGGAAGAATAAAATATATTTATTTACTTCCTTATATATTTTTCATTCTTTTCCTTTTGTTCCTTTCATTCTTTTCCTTTTCATTCATATTCCCTTTTTTATTGGTCACCAGTTAAAGCCTTAGAAAACTTAATTCAATAACAACCTCACAGAAATCCGCAACAAGAAGGATACCTTTATCTTTTATAGTTGACTTTGTTATCGAAAACGGTCTTTAGTGATGGGTGAGCCCAAATGTTTTAGTGGGCTTATGGGCCGAAACAAGCCCGCTTGATAAAATAACCTCCCGGCAAAACCCCACCTGCATTTTGTTGTCTCGAAGCTTTTTCACCGCTTCTCCGTAAAACTTCTTCTCTTAAGGCTTTTGATATGGTTTAATAATGGTTTTCTGTTAATTACCCCACTTTTTCATCTATGAGAGGTTCAAAGATTGATTTACATGACAATTGACAACTTTGATTGTACAGTTTGATTTTGACATCTCCCAAGTTTTGTATTATATGAAAGAAGAGGAATGAATACGACTTGAGTTTAGATTTTTTTAAGGTTCAAATCAATTATTATACAGATATGATTAGCTCTTTGATATGGTTTAATAATGGTTTTCTGTTAATTACCCCACTTTTTCAAGAGAGGGGACTAAACGCTGTTGTTGAAGCTGATTTGAGAGAACTTCTTGATGGGAAGACACACGCAAACATATGAACCCTTAGACCAACCCCAATAGAGACCTTTAGAGTACCTAAGAATTAGCAGCAGCCTCTTCTGTGATAGAGGCCAATCCATGTGATGTGAGTTATCGCAAGAAATTAACTGTGTTTCAATATCACAAAGCATCTTGGTTCGGTTATCCTTGAAACATTCAAACTGTATTCATTCATACCTCTAAAGAGAAACAAAGAGATAATGATAAAATATCAAAATCATTGAGAGAGACAGCGAAAATCATTTCACATTACAGAACCGAAAGCAGTCTACATAAACTACCTTTATTTTAAAGCTTCTCCTTGGACTTTTTTTTCCATCCTCTGCGTTATTTTTCAAGCCAAAATTTAATAGAAATACAAAAAAAAAGATTTAGAAAAAAACAAATCATCTTTGGCATCAAGAGCTTCGAGGAGTTAAAAGGAATGAAATTTTGGATGCTTACATATTCTCTGTTCAAGAGCATACCGCCAGTTTTTTGGATGACAGTGTCGAGAGACACAAGGTCATCAACAATGGTGAAAACGGTCCGTAAACACTTGAATCCATAGCCAACTTCGATAATCTTTGCTGTAAAAAATCGACAGAGATGGTAAAAAACGAGATATATATTAAAAAAAAAGATATATCGAGAGGGTGTAAGAGATGCATTAACTTACATGCTCCCCAAAGCACACCCTTTATCTGTTTGGGTCTAAGACCATCTCCAATGCATAGAGACCTTAAAAGTTTCTAAAAAAAAAATATATATTAATATTTTAATCAACAAGAATTTACACCAATTAGAAAGTTACACATATCAAAGGAAGCTCTTTAAATTGTGAGACTCGCTTCCCAAACTTGTTAAATAAGAAGTGTCTCTTGTTCTCTTTCTACCTTTTTAATATTTTATAATTTTTTTTTGAGGAATGATGATTTTAGGAGTCCCCCATTGGAGGTGCTCTAAGTGCTTCGCCATTCTCCTTTATGTCACCATACAGCTCTCTAAGCACTAACCCTAACTTGCCAGCTGTGTAAACAAATAATCCGATGAAACAAACCCATTTTAACTATTTACCATTTTAGTCGTCAAACGTAGACGAAGAGTGTGCAAAGAACCTGCTCTCTCTTCCCTATAAAGGTCAACATCGTCATCAGCCGCATCATCCTACGATAAAACTATATTATATGAGCAAATTAACATTTTGCATGAAAGCCCTTATGGACACAGATAAACAAACATTTGAGAGATTATCAGTACCTTAGAATCAGATTCCTCTTCTGTGATTCCATTACCTTCAAACCCACATCACATATTTAGTATTAGTTTACATTTAAAACAAATGCTAACCTTGAAGGAGATTAAAAAATCGATTATGGATACTTACATATTCTGTTAATTCGGAGAATTTGACAGCTCTGGGCATACTGATTATCAACTATTTGCTCTTTCACAACGGTGTCGAGGTGAACCATGCGTCTAAGATGCCAAAGGTATCCAACGGCGGTGCACGTAATCCCCAACAGCTTGATTCCATAACCAACGGGGACAAGCTTTGCTGTATTTCATAATATTATTAAGTAAATACGCCCGATATTCTAGAAATATATATAACGATCTCTTACCAAAGTCTATCACAAATGTGAAAGTAAAAATCATTAAAAAAAATGTGAAACTACATGCTCCAGAAAGAGAAGAAAAAACGTACATGCTCCCCAAAACAACCCTGTGACGTGAATGGATCTTACAGCTTCCTCTAGCTTCTGCATGTCGGCCTCGTCATCCATCGGCTTGATAAGAATAAGAGCTGATGATTTATTTAAGAAAAATGAATGAGGAGGCTTTGATCAAATATACATCAAGCCAAGAGTGTATGTCACAAACTCACATTCTTTCAAGCCAGCAGTCCCAACGCTGAAACGCCCCAAAGCCATTACATGGTCAGAGACAAGTTCGTCGAAACGATCAAATTCCTCATCCTCGGGGCAGCTGGCTACGATCCGCAACGACTCTACTCCATAACCAAGTGGGACAAGTTTTGCTAAGAAATTACAGAATTTTATTAGACATATATATACATTTCCGATACTTATGTTAGAGATGCATGCACCAACTCTTACATGCTCCCCAAATAACTCCTTCCATTTGAATACATCTTATATCTTCCTCTAGCTTCTTCATGTCGATCTCACCATATTGCGGTACGATAACCATTACGATCGACCCCCAAGCTGTCAAAATGAAACAAACCCATTTATCTCTATTGACTATGAGAGTATAAACGAAGAGTGTTCAAATCGAAACTTACATACTTCCTTCTCTGTGTTTGCTGTCAAAGAAGCTGCTCTATCTTCATCAGCAGCTTTCTTTTCCTCAAGGTCAACATCATGATCATTGTCATCATCATCAATAACCACCACACCATCCTACCGTATGATATAAGACATCCATTTCATTTGTGTATAATCTCTATATTATAAGTGCCAAACATATGAAACTTTATGGACAAATAAACACACAATAGAGTACCTTGGAATTAGCAGCAGCCTCTTCTGTGATAGTGGTCAATCCATCAATAGTAACACCAATCCTTTCAGAAGAGATGCCTCTGCAAAGATAGACAAGAGTTATATAACTATCCTAACAGCTATAAAAAGCCTTAAAAATCTCCATACGAGATAGACAAGTGAAGGAACCTACGAGATACTCAAGAGGGTCTCAATGTGGTTGTACCAACGAGATGCATTCACATACTGCGAAGGTGGAGGCTTTGAAAGAGCCGCATAGAGTGTGATATCATCCTTTGAAGCCTTATGACTGTAAAACCATTCATATAAAATAAATATATCTAGTGGGAACATAATCATCGTTATTATTCGACATAGATCCTAAACATATTAAATCTACAACTGGTTGTTGCAAAAAGTAAATGTTAAAATCTAATATATTAGCTGAAACAACCCTTAAAAAAAGCAGCTTCGTAAATAAAACAGAAGAGGCAGAATTGCGACAAAAGGAAGAGCGTTTCTAAACGGAAAAAATCTTTTTTTTTTTTTTTTGATAAGTAACGGAAAAAACCTAACCTTGTAATGAAATAGCGAGTGAGAAGATGCTCGTCGAGCTTCTTCAATCCAGAATCAGTGTTAAGATTGGGGAAAGCCGCCATTTTTTCTGAAGATCGAACTTTTTTGACTGGTATAACACAGAGAGATATGAGACTGAATCAACAAAAATCCTAGATTAAGACGACGAATAATTAGGTTTTGTTTAGATTCATGCAATGATACATATGAAAATGAACTGTAACCTACTTTCCTACATTAAGAGTATTACAAGCAAGCAACTATTAAGAAATTATAAAAAAAAATCAATGTAATCGTGAAATTAAGAAAAGCAAAACAAAAAAAATACTGTATATTTCGAATCTTAATTCAAAGTAAATGTTTCTAAGAGACGTGCATTACAATTCAAAGCGGTGAACGAGGAAGAACGTAGTTGCTGCTTTCTCTGTATATTCTTCATTTTGTGTCTTCTCTGTCTCTTTGTTTTCATTTTTTTTTTAACTTATCTGTCTTTTGGTTCGATCAGATTCAAATATACTAATTAATATTATTATAAATACCTAAAAATATACCCCGAAATCCGCAACAAGAAGGGTACGTTTATCTTTTATATTTGACTTTGTTATTGAAAACGGTCTTTAGCGTTGGGTGAGACCAAAAGTTTTAGTGGGCTTATGGGCCCGAAACAAGCCCGCTTGATAAAACAACCTCCCGCCAAAACCCCACTTGCACTTTGTTGTCTCGTAGCATTTTCACCGCTTCTCAGTAAAACTTTTTTCTTCATTCTGAGTTTCTCTCACTTGTTGGATCAAATTCATTAGCTTGAAAAATCGGCTGATCCTGAACGATTTGTGTGTGCTTCGACAATTTTTGTTATGAAATATACGTGGAGATTAGCGACAAAGGCCTCGTTTTTCACTAATTGCAGACCAACTGTTCGTGCAATTTCCTCAAAGAGGAAACGATACATACTGGTAAAATTATTTCTAAGCATTTTATCTTTAATTTAATAATTTTCCTGTTCAATTTTCGTCGATTTTTTTCTCTCTTTGTTCATATTGTCTCACTTTGAATTTTTATTATGAGGAAACATTAAACTTCGATTTCAAACACAAAAACTATAAAATTATGGTTGATTTTTTTTGCTCTCTACGCGTTTCTCACTCGTAATTAGTTATCTTTTTTTTTTGGTTTTATTAGATCTTTAATGACTTAGATAGAGATAGACACAAATCAGATCGTGAATAAACTAAACCGAGTGTTCTTTTTTATTCTTTTTTAATCCGAGTTTTAGTAATAAACTAATATTAGAAGAAAGCCCTAAAGACATTGGTTTTTTTACAGGAACTAAACAAATAAAGGAGAGAGAGAGCTGAGAGATGGTGACTACAAAATTTGAGGTTGCGTCGACATTAGCTGAGCTTAGCCAAGATACTGAAAACTTGTTTGAAGAGAAACCCACAAGTTTAACACCAGAAGAGGAAGAGAAAGAAGCTGAGCGTGAGGATGTGGCTGTTTTGGCGTTGATACGACTAAGCCAAACTCATCCAAAACAACACAACAAGAGGATGAAAGCTGATGAAAGTCAGCTACATAACAAGAGGATGAAAGCTGATGAAATTCAGCCTCGAGAGGCGATTATTGCCGGGCAAGCTGTTAAAAGACAGCGGGAAAGGAGGAAGCAAGACAATTCCGAAGAAACCCTAAGGATAATGGTCGAGTGGAACGAAATTAAGCCGGAGAAGCCTCCCTTCGTCCGTGACCTCAACGCCGTGGGGGTTTGCAGCGAACCGGTAAGGAAACAGCTGACGAAGAGCGACGTGTTGAATGATCAGTGCAGGCTTATGTTAGGGAAGAAGGAAGTGAAGAAGATGATGCTTCATGTATTGGGACATTCAGGGCGAGTTGGGACTAACGGGATTGAGGTTTTGGTGCATGGACCAGACGGTGAGGTTCACACGATGGTGTTCAAGATGTGGGCGGACACTCCTGTGTTGGCAGGTGTCGGGTGGAAGAAATTCGTGGGAGGTTATGGGCTCGAGATGAATTCTGATTTTCTCACTATTTGGATGTTTAAGCACAGTGAGACTCAGCAGATTTGCTTTGCTATTGATGTCACTAGGTTTCCTGTTCAGTACCCGTTAAGTAGTACCATCAAGGCTGCCTTGCAGAACTAAACTAGGGCTAGGGTTTAACTAAGGTTTTTTTTTTGGTTTTCGTTGAGGTTTTTTTTGTTTGTTTATTAAAAACAAGCATTACAAAACAGTATGCGTTACGAGTAAAGACTTAAGACGTGCTTTGGTAATTAAGTTTTTTTTTTGTTATTTTGCAGTTTTGTTTTGTTTTGATGGAAAGAGCTAAGAGTTAAGTGATTCTCGTTTGGGGAGAGAGTGAGGTATATATAGAAACGTTTTCAGAATGATTTGTTCTATCGGAAAGATTTTTCGATAGGATTTTCGACAACATTCCCACTACCTTTTTAATGGAATTTTGCATTATTTTTAGATGATTTACAAATGAATTTCCGTGGATCTGTTTTCATCGAAAATTATTGACAAGAATTTAATGCAGTTTTTGTTATCGAAAACTTCTAACGACTTTCGAGCTTGATATTCGAAAAAATCACATGTTTTCTTGTAATAGAGAGATTTACTTTTTTTTTCTTCCAAAAACTACGTTTTCAAGAGTTTCTTTTCCATCATTGACTGTTTCATGATTTTTAAAACCTACATTATCGATAGCTCCTTAGATTGACCCCAAGAATAATTGGGGGTTATCAAAGTGTATATATATCAAAATTTATAAACTAAAAGACCATGAATGGATGCAGGTTTTTTTATTTAGATTTTAGATTGGTATTTTGGTTTTTTATGTGATTTTTGTTTCAGACATCCAAATAAAATAGCTTTTTTTGGTTTTTGGAATGAAATAAATAGATGGAAAAACTAGATTCTCTAATTTGCATGAGAACTAAAACATTAAAACAAAATAGTCCTCTTAAATGGCAGGAAAACCAATTGTCTAAAAACTTTCATTGATAAGTAAATGAGTTTTAAAAAAAAGAAAAGCAAATATGATATCAAAAGAAAAAGCCAAAAGCCAAAAATCAAAAAATCTTTAAATCTACAAAAAAACTAGGTCTTAAACCGTTTTTTCTAAAGTTATTGATTTTCATAATTTTGAAAAAAAAAAGCTTTTGATGAATTAGCACTGTTTCCATTTGAATAGTGCTACTTTGGTATACGATTATATATGACGTTGTATTTGTATCTAGACACGATTTTATATGTTATAATTTGTTGTATTTATTGACGGCGGTATCTGTTTTATTTAGAGTACACTAGACAAGGTTGTACTTTAGATAATATGTTGTATCTGAACGCGATTGATATATATACTATATAGTATTAATTTTATTTTCTTATTTAATTTTCTATTCTAAATTTTGAAAACAATTTTAAAAGTTGGAGGGGAAAAGGACAATATAATTTCAGCAATTAGAAGTCCAAATTTTTTCCTCCTTCAATTCGAAGTGTCTTCATTCCTAACTCACTAGAGAAACAAGACCATCAACAATTTTACATAATCTGCCACTTCTTTTTACCATAAACAACTTGGGCACGATTGATATAGTATCAATTTGAGTATAATAAACCAAAAATATATCAGCAATCATAAGTCCAAAATTATGTTCATTCGAACTGTCTTCACACATTACTCACTAGAGAAACAAGAGATGGTAGAATGATCTTTAAATTCGGTTTATTTGCAATATGGATAAAGAACCTGTACCCATCATTAACCATGGTGTGTTTCATCGGCTTCGCAAAGTATATTTAAATTACCAGGAGATGGACAGCCATAGAATCGTTCACCACATCTTTCTATTTGAAAGGATCCACGACTGAAATGAAATCATATATATACCTGATCATAGGTTACTTCTGCTAGATAGAGGATCATTGTTGAAGCATTTAATGAACTCAACTCTTGGGACATAAAGAGAACAACAATAGTTTAGACTTTAGATCCATATCTAATACAAAACATCTACGTCTGAACATCCCTTTCTAAAACAAGTCATCTATATTGAAGCAGGTGTATATCCTTTGTTAAACCATAGCATCTATGTCTGAAAGATCAAGGAAAAAAATCAATTGACGTCGTGTGTTCCATAGAGTCCTAGCTGGAGCAAAGCAAAATCATTCTTTTCTTTTGTATAAAATAAAATATTCTATGAAATCTGTTGTATGTAATAGTGCTCGATTAATAATATTTCGGTGATACTGGAAGTTATTTGTATAGACATAGCATTTTTTTATCATTGATTTTCCAACTTAGCTTCACACTTTTGGATGACAGAGAAAGATTTTTGTTTGTGTTTGTTTTTTATTTAATTTTAAGATTTACATTAATAAAAGGTGTAGTTTATTTAAAAAGTTTAGAGATTCACGGAGAAATAGAAGATTTTTCCTTTTTCGAATATTTTTTTGACTTTTTATCTATCTAAATAGAAAAATAACTTTAAGAAAAAAAAAAGGAAAAGCTTCGTATAAAAGGAAATTTATTCACGTAAATCATTCACAAAATAGATTGAAAAGAAAAGAAAAGAAAAGAAAAGAAAAGAAAAACCCTAAGAAGTGCCGCTTAAGGCAACGAGAACAAAAAAAGATACAGAAAACGCCAGAGATTATGGCGACTTCAAGAGAGGAAACCGCAAATATTTCACCAGAGAGATTAGAAGCTGCGTACACATTATTACAGCTAAGCAGAGATGATGAGGTTCTATCATCGACCCCATTATTTCCACAAGTAAGTGAAGCTCCTAAAAAAACGTATAGGAAGAGCAGAGCTCTTGAAAAACAGAATGTGAATATTAGGGAAGAGTCTAGGAAGATTAAAAAACAGCCTGTGAAGAATAAGAAAGTGTCTAGGAAGATTAATGAACAGCCTGATGAGGATACGAAGGATGATTCCGAAGAAACCCTGATTTCAGTTCAGGGATGGAACCAAATCGAGGCCGACCCGGGCGAGATACTCGGCGATGCTGCGGAACGTATCAGTGAACCGATAAAGAAACAGCTGACGATGAGCGACGTGTTGGAAGATCAGTGCAGGCTCATGTTGGGGAAGCTGCACGTGAGGAAGAAGATGCTTCCTCTTTTGAAAGTGTCTGAGAATCCGCGCGGGATGGATGGGCTTGATGTGTCGGTGTACGGACCAGACGGGGAGGCTCAGATGATGAAGTTCAAGATGTGGAGTGAGGGCACGCCTGTGTTGACTTCGGGGTGGAAGGAGTTCGTGGCGAAACATGGTCTCAAGAAGCATTCCGATTTTCTCACCGTTTGGATGTTTAGGCACAGGGTGACTCGTAAGATTTGCTTCGCTATCGGCTACACTAGGCTTCCTATAGAGAAACCTCTCAGTACAAGGATCTCGAATATAGTCTTCCCGAATCCAGTTTAGGGCTCTTTTTCTGTTGTTTGCGTGGGTTTTACGGCTTGCTTGAGCCTGCTTTCTAGTTAGGGATTCGATTATTTTTTGTGTTATCTATGGTTTTTGGCTATTTTCAGAAAAGAAAAATTACAAAAAAACGTTCAAAACCTCAAAACAGAGTCAGGTCCAATAATATTAGACAAAGCTAAATTTAGCCGGTCTATGAACTTTTGGTCCAATCACAGAACCTTTCCACTGCTGTGAGCAATAGATGAGAGAGATTCCAGCAATCTATGAAGATGACCAGCAAGAACTTGGAATGCCTTGCTTTTCGAACCATTCAGGCATGTGAAATCTATCGTAAAGAGTTCCTCTTACATCTTCTTCTTCCGAAAGTTGCTTAAGAAGTGGAAGAATAATGTCCAGTAGCTTCAACATGTTATTTTTGGTTGCAATTTAGTGCCATCTCATTAGATTCCAAAAGGGATGAATGATAAAACAAAATGTTGTCAGAAAGGTTGGACTTAAAAGTACCTGAGTATCATTTGGCTGTTCTGCGGAAAACGGAACACAAGGGATCCCGTTTAGAGGTTGTAACAGAAAGCTGTAAGGATTGTTGTCCACTATAACTGTCCTAGACATGTTCTTTGATGCGCATAATAGATCCTTCACGTGATCTCGATATTGCCTGATATTTGAAGAAATTACATCACAACAACAATATCTAATGAACGAAAAGGAAGGCAGAGACCAGATGTATCATCCATTGAAGACGACAACTTACGTGCTGACAGTACGAGGTCGATAAAGCCTGTCGTTTAAAACATGCTTGGTATCTATTCTGTCCACAAGCGGTCTCGCATAATCTACATATATGAGAACACTAGACTTAGAACAGAGAATGATAAAACTGAGAAAGTATAGTTTGTAACTGATCAAGAGACCTTCGAGACCAGCGGTAAAAAGAACAAGATTTGCAAACTGGCTGAGTTGATCTAAGAATTCGTGCAACCCTGGTCGCTCAAACACTGTAACATGATTGATTTTAGGCTCCCCATTGCATTCCTTCAGGGAGACAAGTGAGGTTATTGATAATCAACTTGAGAAGAAAAACAAAAACAAAAAAAAAACAATTGTGGTATATATATAAGAAACCTTGGTTGATGATATGCACTCCAGCTCAAAGCATATCAATCCAGCTTCAATAGCTTGTGTACGTAAAGTAGAAGTTAGACTAGACCTCTCATACGCACTCACTAATGTCTCATCCAAGTCGAGAACTACCTGCAAAATCCATGTTCACGTCCCAGACTAGTTAAATCACTACTTTCTTAGTTGACTTTCCTCATTGGCTTCCAACAGAAAGACCTTAATCTACATTAATACATGTCAGTGACGAATCTAAGTTCAGAACTTAAACGTTCTTCACTCTGTTACAAGATTTGCTTTAACGTGAGTGGTGGTGGTATGAGAATTCTATCAGAAAGCAACTAAATTTCAGATATCTTTGGCTTGACTTTCGCACTTATAAGTCTGAAAGTATCTAAACATGCGAAATGGATATACAATTCTACTTGATTGAGTAGGTTTCACTACAAAATCGTATCTTTCAGACAGTGTTCAAATCAAACACAGTAAAAAAGTAACTGTATCTATGCTTTGATAATAATAAAGAAATTGATGTGTCTACTACATAAAGCGAGCTTATCAAAGTTTTGATTTTTTTTATAAGAGTTCACAGATTCTGAATTCAACGGCCGAAAATGAGAAGCAGAGAAATATTTAGTTGATACAATCTAGAAGAAGAAGAAGAAGAATACCGTGAGTTTGTGGGTGCTACGGACTTCGCCTTCTCCGGAGGCGATTTCCACGGTGACGGGTGATTCCGCCGCCATCTCCGGTAACTCGATGACTGGCAAGGGCTTAAACTCCTCGGAGATTGCCTTAGCGGAGGATGAGCAAGAGGTGGAGAGAAGAGGATGGTGAGCGACGGCACGGAGGATCTTAAGGAAGAACTGGTAGAAGAAATCGAGCCAGTTCACCAGAACATTCCACAGTTGAATCGACCGTGGCGAGTAAACCAGATCGGCCTGAGTCAATTCCGCCATGACTCGGACCGATTCGATCCAGAGGGAGGAGAAGGACGGATACGAACCTCAAAAGAAGAAGAAGAAGAAAAAGGAGGCAATCAAAGTTTTGGGTTTTCCTCTTTTTTTTTTTCAGCGAAACGTCATTTAATTTTGATTCGATTTGACCCCTATGAGTTACGCGCGTTTTTGGCGATTGAGAACCACGTAGATGAAAGTGGGATACACGCGCGATGAAATGTGTGGGAGAAATTGGAAGGAAGAGACAGATTTAAAAGAGAAGAAATCGCTCAATCCCCTTTGGAACTTTCCTTTTGGGGCCCTTTCTAAACCAAACCAAACCGAAGTAAAACCGACTCTAACCTAGACAATTGAGAAGAGATCAAACTGAGCATAATGTTTTCCAGAATCGAATTTAAGTCATACTGAAAATTGCTGACACATAAGGTTTGAATCTTAGTGAATCTTGGTGAAACTGGTCATTTTGGATCTCGATGGGTATGAGAAGGCACATAGTGTAGTCCTCTAACGAAACGTTATTTAATTTGATTTTAATAAAATTATTTTCTGGCGGTTGAGAACCATGTCGAATGTAATCTTAATTCATAATCAAATTAAATAACAATTTGTTAAAAAAATTAATAAATACCAAATTTAATCTTAATGTTTAAATTTGTTGAGTTAAGATTAATAATTACTCCTAATCTATATTTCAACTTTTTTAACAAATATGTAGATTAGGAGTAATTATTAATCTTAATTCAACAAATTTAAACCAAATTTCATTAAAGAAAATAATTTCAAATTTAAGCTAATCATTTTCTTCCAATTTATACATTTGTATTTTTAGCTATTTTTAGTTATTTAAAATACATTAAATCTAAGAATTAAATGTATTTTATCAAATATCATAATTGGTAAAAATATTTTATGATATGAATTAGTATGCTACATTGGAACAAAACTTTGTTCCAACTACTACAATCTATTACTCCCTCTGTTTTAAAACAAGTGTCACTTTGACACTTTTCACATAAATTAAGAAAGTTAATAAAAAAATATTTTCTATCTTTAATAAATACATTAAATAACTCTCTCTTTATAATTAATACACTAAAGTAACAAGGTTAAAACTGGATATTTTGTTATAAATTTGCATTAGAAACCTAAAACGACACTTTTTATAAAACAAAAACAAAACTCTAAAACGATACTCTTTATAAAACTGAGAGAGTATTGGTTTTTGGTACAGTGAGTAGACACACCAGAATGATCAATGATGTATCATATTTGGTCGCTGTCGTTGGTCCAAATTCCAAAATTTAGTTTTAAGTTTTTGATCTAGAATTGAAAAACTATGGATCAAAATGATATATTATTGCAGAGCACAAACTTTTGTATTTACAATGTAAAATCAATGCAACCAGTTCTTCTATACACATATAATCTCACAATTACCAAACTAAAGCGACCAAACAAAAAAAATTACAATCAAGATCATCAAGAGGATAAGAAAACAGAAGAGAAACACAAAAAAATCAGACAAAACAAGAAGAAGCCAAACGCAAAATCAATTGTAAGAAGAAGAAGAGAGCCAAGGGTGATTAAGTGCCTCGAGAGCTGTAAGACGCCTCAATGGATTGATTTCAAGTAGACTCCTTACAAAATCTAAGAACAATTCATCACTAACATGTAACTGATCTTCCAAGCATGACTCTTCTGTGATTATGTATTCAATCTCATTGCTCTCCTATCACACGGAAACAACAATGCATCAGATTCGAGCAACAAGTCTTTAACTCTTTCGGTTAAAATCAAGAAAAAAATTTACCTCGTTTAAGTGGTAGAGATCAAACTCTTTGGTGAAGTATTTATGCGTTTCTTGACCTTTCTCTAGCATCTCCGTTTCTATAGGACCTAAAACCGCAACAATCCGAGCCAGTATCATCGCTACTGCTTCGTTTGGAAACAGAACCTGGTCAATGAACACATACAACATATACATTGGTCGATTCTTGGTACTTGTTTCGAACATATAGAGAGGCTTGTAATGGAAACAAGACAGTACCTCACCAGAGCAGAGCTCTGCTAAAATACACCCGAGAGACCACAGATCGATCTTCTCGTCATATGGAAGTCCGAGAATCACTTCAGGAGCTCTATAGGAACGTGATTGTACATACAAGCACAAGTTGTCAGAGCGGAAACAACTGCTTCCAAGATCGATGATTTTCACCGCACATTTTTTATAACTCTTTATCAGAATGTTCTCAGGTTTGAGATCACAATGTATGATTCCTAGCCCGTGAAGGAACACAAGAGCATCTAAACACTGTCGCGTTATAACCTGAAGTCTGCTCAAGTTAAAGTACGGTTCTCCTCCTGACTCTTGGTTGAATTTCTGGAATTCATACAAGTTTGCTCGGAGAAGTTCACAGACAATAAACAGATGTTCCTGTTACAGAGTTTTTGTTTCTTTCAAGAATTAGAAACTCCTTAAGATAATAAAGACAGATTTTTTTTTATTAATGTCATTGTAGTTCTCTCTCTTACTTGGTGGTAGAAGTAATCGTAGAGGCGCAGGATGTGATGTTCATCAGCTGGATCATGCTTATTGACATGTTTCAAGAGCTTGATCTCGTCTAAACTCTGGTCGAAGAAATCTTTGTCGTTCTTGATAATCTTGAGGCAAACATCGACCCCGTTTTGTAGATCCTGCGCCTGAACCACCTTGCTAAATGCAGCGGAACCAATGTATTCTGTAATGTAGTATCTTCCTCCAATCACCGAGTTCAGCACGATCGGTAGATCCTTGTTCTCTTCGAATCCCGTCCTGTTAAAAAAGAAAGAACCATTATAACACATTTCATTTTTATTACATTCCTTCAAAAAGCATGCATCATCATCATCATACCTGTTTTTCCAGTGAATGATTCTAAGATCGAATACTTCATACTCATCATCTTCAAGCTCATGAACAACATCAACCTCTTCCTCTGTTACATTCACCTGATCACCGGTTTTTAAGTCATCGTTATCTTTTGCGTCTTCTTCACAACTAAATCCCAAAGATTCCCCATCGAAACACTCTCTTTCGAGCTCAGTGTTTTTATCATCATCCAGACCAATGTAGGCCTTTGAGTCTTCCTCAACATTGTTCAGAAGAAAGTCCTTGTCTAAGTAATCAAGACTTGTTTCGGTTTGAGATCCTTCGGATGATTTATCGTAGACACCAAGCTTACTCTCGAATTGGTTATCTGTGATGAACTTATCCTGTGTAAGTGCAGGGCAGATGAAGAAATCAGATTCTTTAAATGCAGGAGACATGAACTCATCTTCTTCATCTCCGGTCTCTTCGTTGTTGTTGTTGTTGTTGGTCTGCAAGTAAAACTCACTCCACTCAGGGTATGTACGAGCCGTCCCAAACTGAGACTGTGAATCAGATGATGATGAACCATCTCCATACGGATTCACAAATCCTGCATTTATGCAAATGTGATATTTTTCTTTTAGTTCAATAAATCAATAGCTTCGGTTTGTGGAAATTAGATCAAGAACCAGAAAATTTCAAACATTAATGAAACACATATCGCATCAAGATTTCTATATATAGCCAATTCAAATCTAAAGTTACCGGAGGAAGAACAGAAGCCAGAAGTGGAAGAGCCCAAGCTGACAAACTCGTCGTCGGAAGAAGACTTAGACCCATTATCGCCGGTATTTTCATCGGAGGAATCAGAAGGAGGAAGAGTAGCCGAAGATATTCTGATCGGCGGCGGAATCGGGAACAGAAACTTCTCGAAATCGAAAGAAGCGAGTTGGTTTTTCTCGTTGATGTCGTCTCTCAGAGCAGATTCCGCCTCCGTTAACCCGTTCCTCCGCAGAAACTGAAGCACGGAATCCAAATCCACCGCCATGGATCACCGTTACGAGAGTTTCTCAGAGCAACGACGGATATAGAGAGAGAAAGAGAAGAGAAAGTTTCAAAATCACGTGATTGAGAATCGAGTAAAACCCATTGCTGTTGATATTGATGATAGCTCGAACTCTCTTCGCATACTCTGATGATTAATCTAAAATAATGAATCGCTCTAAATCGTCTCTGATCTTCTTCTTCATCTTCTTCTTCTACTACTTCTCCCTGTTGGCTCTGTAGGACCAAAGCTAACAATAACGGACATGGTGCGATGTCTTGTCTTACCGGTTTTTTTGGGGGAAAGGTTTCTTCAGGTTACAACGTCGAGGTTTTTTACCTTACAGACACGTGTACAAATAGAAATTTGACACGTGTAAATGATATCACTGTTTTGGGCGTATTTTGACTTTATTTTATAATGTTTGAACCGACGGAGTTTCAACATTTATTTTGTCTTTTATTGGGGACATATGGAATTCAAAAGTTTAATAAAATAATGAAAAAGGAAGAATCTTTCAGATGATTGTTATTATTCTACTTAAAAATCTAAATTTTCCACTAAAGCTATTGTTTTATTTTATTAGAGATCGAATCTAACAATCGTACACCATCATCATCTTACCTAATCTCATTTTCATTTTCTCTAGACTAGACTTTTTAACGTTACAATAAGTCGTAGATGAAGCGTGACAAAGTATTGTTACACGGATATGAATTCTTAAGAAGATATCGTCATTTTGGGAGATGAATAAATCATATATCATATAACTTTATAATAAATAAGCCAAGTGTTCCTGGATAGATGTTTCACCCGGTTCAGGTCAGTCATTCTAATGACATGTTTGGTTATTGTAAATGTTTTAAATTAAAAAAAAAACCTGATTTATGACAATTTTTGGAAATTAATTTAATTTTAATAAATCTTTATATTAAACAAAAAATGAACGTGAATAAAATAAGTCTCTGTATATTTATATATTCCAATAGGAGATCGTGTTTTTTTTTCTGTATCTTTTGCTTTTTACCATGCCTTTCCCTTTTTTATTTTCCCCTGCTTTTTAACGTCTACAATTATTACTACAGAAATCGAACGTTGTAGTAGTTGTAGATGCGAATTTAAGTAAAGCAGTATACTGAGAAAAGGTTGACAGCTGAAAGGGAAACTGAAAATCCGTGGAAAGATCTTGGTTTTATTTTTATCACATGATTTACAATATGATTTGAGATTAGGGTGGTTATCAACAACAAACAAAAAATTTGGTTAAACGAAACAAACTTTTGAGTGTTCATAAATATGGCTTCACATTTGAATCAAGACACAAAATATTGAAAGCTGTGCCAATCTATGGCTTTTAAAAAAAGTTACAAAGAAGACCCGGTTAAGCTACATCCTAAAACCCAAATAGTTTTGGCTAAATAGTGTTGGAAACTTGAAGTAGACGGTAATACTTAATTAGTTTTTCTAGTTTGTATATATAAAATTTTAAATGATATGTTATCTTCTGACATCATTTTATCTTTGATAGTACTTATCTGTTAGAAAATCACTAACAATATAATGAATGGCTAATTGTATCGAACTGAACTAAAGTAGGCATATTGATTAGACCAAACCAAGTCAAACCAAAGTATTTGAAATGTAAACTGTTTACCCTTGGCGGAAATTAAAAAAACGGCTCGTCCAACCCTAATTTATATGCTTGGAAATTATTAACGATAGCCATTTGATTTTGGAATAGTATATGTCTTAGGCTTTATTATATTACTTTATAAATACCCACAACAAACCGAGTAGCCACAATCATTATGGATTGTGTTAAATCATAGATTATTTGCTTTAAGTGGAAGATAGTTCACCCATCTCCATAGGAACATAAACATGAAGATACCAATAATTAATTTATTTCTATTTTTCTGAAGCGCAAGAGTACACCTATCAGTTTCTCTACTTATAGTCGTTATTTTGTTTCTTATAGAATTTATTAATCCCATTTGACTTTGGTAAAAGAATAGAAGTTTATTTCTCTTATTTAGAACTGGCTCAGAGGATCCAAATTGTGCTCATAAACTTACACAAATCTAGAGCGAGTCTCTGAATATTTAAGATTTTTAGAAGAGTGATGATGATAATAAAAATATTTAAAAAAACTCTAAAAACAAAGGATTTGGTACGACGTCCATGTGGTGGGTGACTAATCATGGTTTTTACTAGTAGCTTTATAGTAGTAGTAAATAATCATTATCATTAAATGTTTTTGCTATCATTTATATGAACCCCACCGACTCCAATTATTCCGTTTCTCAGCAACGCCACTAGTGCGACCTATATCAGAGCTTTTCCACGTGACCACAATATTTTGATCTTTTTTATCCCAAAGCCTAAATTTCTAGTCCGGCAATGAGAATTTTTGGTAGTATCTAGAGTTAGAACTCATTCAATTCGGTTATTGCTCTAAGTCATTTAGTTCCTAATGCTATAATTGATTTGATCGTATATAGTTTAAGAATTTAGGGTAACTTGTGCATAATTGAGCAAAAAAAATACATGAGTGCAATTATAGATGAGCATTACTGACCCAATCAATAATAACTAATGTTAAAAAGTATTGTGAGACGGTGGAACCTAATATACTTGTGACTAATGGTTGCTTGCTATTATGATTGCAAACGGAAGTTCAATATTTCAAGTTAAAATGGTAAGCGTATCGATCGAGGATTAACTGAAATCCATGATCACGTGTTCTCAGCTTCATGAGATTATATCATTTTGATCAGTTAATAGTTTATTTTTTTGAACTAAATTTGATCCACTTATTGGATATTGGTTGATATTCCGCTTGTTTGTTTTTCTATTGCTCAATTGTATTCCTACTTGTTTGTGTGGTTAATTTAGCTATTTGTTTGTTTAATTAGTAGTTAGAAAACCAAAATAATTGATCGATTCACTTTAACTTAAATGAATATTTCAGAAATCTAATTTGCCACAATTTGGTTTCAGACTACAATACGATAACAATGCATTTACGGATTAATATATATATTATATTAAAAACTCAACCATTCAAAAAATACTAGAGCAATGGACTTATGGACTTCGGTAGGTAGTGGGCGATGAAATAGAGTTCATGGTGGTCAAGGTGGTGGTGGACCACCAGCTTAAGAGTATTTAAAAATTCTTCTCAAAATCTATTTCTCTTGGGTTATTTTAATTGCGATATAATCATCCGCTAAGTTATCTTAGTCATTTTAAAGTTAAAATGTTTAATTGCAACTACCCTTTTTCATATATTTGATTCAAATGTATGCTTGCTCAATTGTAAGATTTTGTCTAACAATTATAAACTCTTGCTATCTTTAAATTTAATGCACCAAATTTAGTAAAAAAAAATAAATCAATCATTTTAGTAATTAGGCTCAGAATATAGAAAATTTTATAAATTAAAATCTCTAAGAAATAACCAGACTATTAATTGTGTCCATAAGTTCTAGATTTTTTATATAAAAAATATTGAATTTTGACATTATATTTTGTATAAAGTTGTTTATCGTGTTAATTAATCATCGCAAACATGACTTGTTTTTATAGTATCGTTCAAACAGAATCTCACTTGATGTGTGACCTATAGGCTATAATAGTTTGGACATGTTTAGTTGTCAAATAAAATAAAGTGGTGATTATAAAAATCAAACACAAAGATTATAAACGTTAACCCACCACCAAAATGTGAGTTATGTATGACTTATGATGACAAGGACTGTAAGCTGTTCGTCGGGTGTAATTTCACACTTAGTCCGAAAGTTTACTGATTAAGAAACCTGGTTCAATCAATAAATCCGTAGACAACAATTGACCTAGATTTCCAACCTTTTATTATTTAGGGTTATTTTTTTTTAGGTTCCACAAATTCAAGATTCTTGCAGAATATAAATACTAAAAAGAAAAGTTAACACAATAATAAAATTTTATTGAAGTTTTAAGGGATTAGTTTAGGAAATTTAGAGCTTTTCACGCATAATTATTTAGATGGGGTCATATGAAATTGCCAATATCACTTTTTCCTCGCTGAAAAGTCAAAAGATTCGTTGGCTGATTGATTCAGATGGTAGTCTTGTTTACTTTTGACTTTGGTGATTACTGTAGAGTTTAAATGCTTAATGGAGCAGTCATTCTCATATAACACTAATGGGCTAAGCTAGCTGGTAAAAAGGTTTATGAGTCAGGCCCATACGATACTGCCCTTATTTTTCTTGCTCGTACTAAGTTACACGATTGATAGATTCAAAGGAGAAGAAGTACAATACAGTTGGAGGTAAATATAATACAGATGAACTTTCATGTGAATTCTACAGTATAATCATATATTATAGAATTAAAATCAATAACCACTAGATTATAAATTGATATAAGTCTGAGCGAAATGGACCGTTGGAGAAAAGAAAGAAAGAAAGAACGGGAATAAAACCACTAATGAAATACATTCATTTGCTCCCATCATAATAATCCAAATATTTCAAGCAAAGCAGTCTTTGTCAAGTCACTACGGGACTCCCACTCATGGAACAAACTATTTTTACGTGTCATGCAGAAAATAAATCCATCCATGATATATGTGATATGTTATTTTTAGTCAAAGGTTTTGCCTTTCTAAAAGTGAAATAAAGATCTCCCGAAATCCTCTCGGAATTGATCTTATTTAATTCTCATTTTCATAATCAGCGCTGTGATATTTATATATTTACTGCAGAATGCGTTCTTTCTTGAATAATCATGCAAAAAAAAAGGAATTTTCTACATAATGATTTCAGGTGATAGTAGTATAGTACGTGTATACAGCCTCCAAAATACGGTAGTGAAATTATGAAATAATATTTTCGTAGCTATTCGCGTCCTTTTGTTGTAGGTTGATGAAGGTTAATTTCAGCGCACATATTTTTGTCTTTGTGAAAAGCTGATGCGTTCAATTAAATGCTAATTTATGCAACCAACGTTGAATTATGCAAATGTCCCTAATGGTGAATTATGCAAGTGTTAGGGTCACAGATCATCAAATATGAAAAGGCACAGAAGAAAAAAGGAGAGAGAAGTGTACTATAAATGGGAAAAGTAAAAGATGCTAAGTGGAAGTGGTGGGGCATGTGAGAGAGATAATTGGTTCTTTAGGGCTCGTGATTATTCAGGGTCCCTGTGATTGTATGTATACTAACAGTCTTGATTCTGTCTGTAGTGGGTTTGGCCTTAGTTATTGGTGTCTTGTCTCTGTCTCTCTCTCTCAATCACACAAATTCATCCATTACATTAAGAACAATATGGAAACTACACATCCTCTACCACCCAAATAAGTAGTATAGTTCACTCAAGATCTTTTACTATAGCCGTAATTCGTTACGTAAGAAATATCACTATAAATCTTCTTTTTATGGCAACATTTGATAGTTTTGTAGTCATTTAGTATTCATTAATTTGAATGATAAGCAAAACGTCGTGTATGTATATCTAAGATAAATAAAAAAAACAACGTCTTAATTATAATTGTAGTAATACTTATTTATGTAGAAATAACTGTGATCGAACTCTCTCGTCCATATACTTCAAACAAGGGACGTTTTCTTGCGCCTTCATAAATGATTCATAATTGTTCCCAATCTTTCTTTTTTTTGAGTGATTAGTTTTGCAAACTGGACAGTAAAGACCCACACAAATGCTAATAGTTTGTATAATTACAGCAAAAATACAACTTACACTTATAGTGGCAACTTCATCATTTCTATAATCTAATATTATCTCGCATTGCCCCCCACCCTCCCTAATGGATTGACCGACCCTTCAAATCTCAACTTTTTAATATGTCACTCTTTCCTCTCTTTCTTTTTTGTTTTGTTTCATATTTTGTTTATTTTGTCTTTTTATAGGTATTACAATTATTTTGCCGGCTAATTACAATCGTATTCCTGGTTCTGAATCAAGGGTTTGATATCAACAAATTTTAAATTGAATTAATTACTAACGATACCATTCGCATGGGGCCTTTAACGCATCTGAAATTTCAAGAAAACAAAGACACTCACCACTCACCAGTACATCACCACAACTTGGACAAGAACTCGAAGTCGTTGTATATTCAGATAGTCCGTATGGGTTGTAAAATTATGATGGTAGTAATTTCACATAATTCTGTGATGTGGATTTTGATGCTGTTTCCACGGTTATAAATACACATATTAAAGGTCTGATGTGGTGCACATTTACAAAGAAAATGTGTCAATTAATGTTTGGATGTACCAACTAAAGATGGATAAAACATTTGAGGTCACCAATTCGACACCCATTAAAAGCAACGACACATTTGAAGATGGAAACACAACAAAAGGAATTGTTGAATCAAACTCCATTGGCAAAATGGGTCCACTCTTTATTTATTTTATATTTCCCACTGCACTTTTCATATTGATCATTTTTTCACCATTCATCGATCTTTGCTATTTCATTGTCAGTTCAGTTTAACGATGATCTTAACGAGATACTTTTTGGACCGGAAAATCTGGACTCCAAATCAGATACGAGAACATCAGTTGACTCATAGTCAACTCTAACACTTTTATGTTTATTTTATTTTTGGAACTCCAGACCAAATGCAAGTATCAACGTACTGTATTCGTGAATGCATCGAACGTAAGTCTTCAAAGGAAAGTTTCTAATTATCTTTCTTTACTTAAAAAGTTTTGTGAATGCATCGAACGTAAGTTTTGTTAGCAAATATATATATATATATATTAAGCTGTATTATATTCGAATTGAATAAAGTCAGCTTTATTCTTCACCAAAACAAAATTTATTAATATGTTCGAAATAAATTATTTGTGTTTTATCAATGTCATAATCTAGTGTATATACGTCAACGAGGATATTGGTTCCCTAAAGAAGAAACCTTCACTTTTATTGGAAAATCTCTCTCATGTGACACATTCATTGATATGTAAAAAGCTGTCTTAGAGTGAAGTTATATGATTGTGAAAAAAAAGAATAATTGTTTTACTTTACATAACAATTCATACATAAATGCAACCCCCAGTAAAATTGAGTGATATATATTGATGGCTTATTAATATGAAGCAGAAGTATATATATTACCAACAGAGAGAAAAAGTTATGCTAATCTCCTACAAGAAATTTTGAATGGAGTTACTTTACGTGAATTTTGTGGATGACTTGGCTATTCAAAGAACACAGAAAGGTTCCATCGAAGAAAGGAAAAACAAAATATTCCAATCCGTGGTAGCTAGATCTTCAAAGGAAAGATTCTCATTCGCGCCAATATTTGATGGAAAAAGTTAAAATTAATAACATTTTATAAATTTATTTTGTTGATGTTCCCTTACAAAAAAAAATATCAGTATTCAGTACAAAAATGTCTGGCATAAATAATCTTGTAGAAGATAAGAAGTTGTCAAAATCTCATAGGGCAAGGACTTGAGCGAGTGATAAGTTGACACCTAGCCCATCCACATCTATCACCTATGCGGGTTCACAAAGGTCATGTTTTTTTTTCTTCTTATGTGAACAGTAAATTATGTAAAAATAAATGCTTTCACTACAACTCACATTCATTACAGAAATTGAATCCAAGTTATAATAGTGACACTAATACAAACTCTTAGATTACATCCCAACAAATTATTTTATCTAATTTCATTGTAAAAAACACAGGAGTAGCTCTAATTAACGTTATAATATATAATATATCTATATTGTTTACAACTGCAAAAAAAAAACTTGAGTAACTTTAGTCCTATAATTTTTACTCGAAGGTGTGCTTCGAATTTTGTTTTGTATATTTCTCAGAATACTTTGCAGAAACATCCTGTGGGAAACATGCTCACGCAAAGATTAAACAGATGCTATGGTAATTCAAACGATAGCAAAAACACAGAACATATGGAGAATGAAGATGATACATATGAATTTGCAAATATTTTCCAGTGTCCAATATATTGTGAAGAATGATGGAAAAGGAGAAATATAATATCTTTCGAAAAATAAAAAGAAAGGGATACAGAAAGTGATGAAAGGTGAAGTATGTGGTGAAAAAATAGGGTTCCTTCTTCTCATTTGTCTCTGTCAAACTTTATGATGTAAAGCGACCTTTCTTTTCTTTTCTCCTTTTATTGCTATCGCTAGTGTCACTTTCTTTTTTATTAATTTCATAAAGTCGTATGATCGTATCCATTGTTTTTATTTTGCTCCGACAGGACCGACACCGATCTTTCATATATCTTTTGGTAATAAATGTTATTGGATTCCTTTTTCAGATTACATCATTTGTTGTATTCTTTGGTTTTTTTTCGATAACACAATACACAATTAATAAAAGTAGAATGACTTCATAATATATGGTCGAGCTAGACGTTGTTCCCATTTTCTAGGTCCATAGAACTTCTAACGTCGCTGACTCTACTTTTATAAATGACTCAGAATTAAACTAAAACCGTGACAAATTTTTGTCCGAGATAGTTGAAACAAACAGACTAACATAATGTCCTTTTCGATTATAAAGTTATTAGAAATACTCAATTTAGCAAAAAAATAGAGTACGAAGTTCGTGGTTGTTCAAATACCAACTAAAACATTTTACTATGAAGTCTAAATACACTTACTTATATAATGGTTACCTAATACAAATACTTTTTTCCCAATGTTGGTTTAAGCTACAAATTTTTACAGTAACAATGAGTCAATGAGTAGATGTTCGGTTTTCAAGCCAATGGAAAGTTTAAGCTAAAACACTTCGTAGAGCTACGAGTATCTCTATATGAAGGAGATATTTTTCGTAGAGTATTTTGGAGATATTTAATGTGTGGTTGAGATTTTTAAACAGAATAAATAACAAAAAAAAGTTGTTGACGTTAGGAAAATAATTTGACTTGCACACGGCAATAAAAAAAAAGAATGATCTAAAGAGAAGCAACAAGAATCTTGATTATCTGAAGTATCCATCCACACCAAACAGTCACCACACCACCTGTGTCTTCTCTCTTCCAAACTCTCACTTTCCCTGCCTCCTCGTGTCTGGGTCCCACTTTTTGTACTCCCTACTCTGGGTCCCACCTTTGCGTCCACTCAACCCAACAGTCTCTCTCTCTCTCTCTCTCTCCCTCTCCTTCCATAAATATACTTTCTTCACTTGCAGAGTTTCCTTCTCCTTCATCCCTCTCTTCTCCTTCCAACCCAAAATTACATTTTTCTTATTATTATTACCAATAACATAATCCCCGAAACTATATTATAATAATTCACCTGAGACTCAACTTCTTTTAGGTTTTCGTCGCATTTCATTCTTTCTATTTTTTTAAATTTGACTTTTCTTTTTTTTCGTATATTTTTATTTATTTATGGTGGTGGCCGGCGATGCCTACGGCGGTGAATTTGGCGAAGCAATGCTTAACGGCGGAATCAGCCTACGCGCTGGAAGAAGCCGTCAACGTGGCGCGTCGACGTGGACACTCTCAAACGACATCGCTTCACGCTGTCTCCGCTTTACTCTCTCTCCCGACATCTGTCTTACGCGACGCTTGCGCTCGTGTCCGAAACTCTGCTTACTCTCCTCGTCTCCAGTTCAAAGCTCTAGATCTCTGCCTCAGCGTTTCACTTGACCGTATCCAATCGGGTCAACCAGGATCCGATGATCCGCCTGTCTCCAACTCTCTCATGGCCGCAATCAAACGGTCTCAGGCTCACCAGCGTCGTCTCCCGGAGAATTTCAGGTTGTATCAAGAGATGTCTCAGAACCAGAACTCGAACTCGAACTCACTCTCTTGCGTGAAAGTCGAGCTTCGTCAGCTGATTCTCTCTATCCTGGATGATCCGGTTGTGAGTCGGGTTTTCGGGGAAGCGGGTTTTCGGAGCTCCGAGTTAAAGCTCTCGATTATCCGACCGATACCCCACCTTCTCCGTTATTCATCTCCTCGTGGGCAGCAACAGCCTCTGTTCCTCTGCAGCGTAACCGCAAATCATCATGAACCGGAATTGAACCCGGTTCGATGGGGTTTCGGCGTCCTGAACCGGAATCTCGGCGGAGATTCGAATCACTGGAGGATCAGCGACGTTTTCACGAGGGAAAAAGGGAGGAATCCTCTGCTTGTGGGTGTATCAGCTTACGGTGCGCTAACCGATTTCTTAAATTCGCTTGAAAACCGAACCGATGGGATACTACCGACGAAGCTCCACGGTTTAACCGCCGTTAACATCGGTTTAGAAATATCCGATCAAGTAAACGTCAAATTCGATAAAACCTACACCGACGCGAGGTTTCGCGATCTGGGGAAGGCGGCTGAGCAAAGCTCAGGACCTGGATTAGTCTTGAATTACGGAGATCTGAAGATTTTCACCGACGGCGAAGGAAACGAATCGGCGGCGAATTACATCGTGAGCCGAGTTTCGGAGCTGTTGCGGAGATGCGGGAGGAGAGTGTGGTTGATCGGAGCGACGGCGAGCAATGAGGATTATGCGAAGATGGTGAAGAAGTTTCCGAATGTGGAGAAAGATTGGGATTTGCAGTTACTCACCATCACTACTCTTAGGCCTTGTTTGCCTCACCACAAATCCAGGTTAGTTATATCCCTCTCTTTCGCGCGCGTTCAGATCGTTATACTCTGTTTTTTATATTAGTAGAAACAGAGCATTGATGAAAAATTTGACTTTCAGATTCCTCTCTTGCACTAACTTTATGAGTGTCTTTGCCTTTCTTTTTTTTGTCTCTGGACTCTTGTCTTAGATGATCTTGACATAATGTAATTGAATACAGTTTGATGGGATCGTTTGTTCCATTTGGTGGATTCTTCTCAACTCCTTCTGACCTGAAATTACCCTTCTCCGGTTTCAACAAGGAAACCACCGGGCCGGTTTCTTCCATATCTGATCAGACCCAATCTACATTGCCACCTTGGTTACAGATGAGCACAAGAACCGATTTAAACCAAAAATCTGGTTCCAAGGTCCGTATACTGTTTTCCCCTCCTAATTTGTTAACCTCCCATATTCGTCGAAGTATGTTTCTTGGACTACAAGTTTTCTCGGCTGAATGCGTAATTTCACTGCGTTATGTTAATTTCAACGTGTTATTTACATCCCCTCAGTGCAGATCAAAGAAGGGTTGGAATCAGTTAAGTCGAAGAGCAGTGCTTCTGCCTCGACCGGCTCAGCTAAATCGGTCACAACTGATCTGAATCTGAGGATGTGTCCGGTCACCGCAGCACCCGGTCTCAAGAAGCATGTGGAGAGCAACGATTTTGCTCAGACACGATCTGCATCCTCTTGCTTGGATAATCAAAGGGATGTCAACGCAGAGAGTTTCAAGATTATATACCGAAGATTAACCGATATGGTTTCAGGGCAAGATGAGGCTGCTAGAGTTATAAGCTGCGCACTGTCACAACCGCCTAAGATTAGCACTAGAAGAGATGTCTGGCTCAATTTGGTTGGGCCTGATGCCGTAGGGAAACGGAGAATGTCGCTTGTGCTTGCCGAGATTGTGTATCAAAGTGAACACAGATTTATGGCCGTTGATCTTGGTGTTGCGGAGCATGGAACGGGCGGTTGTGATGATGTGATGCGGCTGAGAGGAAAGACAATGGTGGATCATATCTTTGAAGTGATGTGTAGGAATCCTTTCTGTGTGGTTTTCCTTGAGAACATTGAAAAAGCGGACGAGAAGCTGCAGAGAAGCTTGTCAAAGGCTATCGAAACTGGAAAGTTTATGGATTCGCATGGGAGGGAAGTCGGAATCGGAAACACAATGTTTGTTATGACGTCAGGTTCAGTAGAAGATTCTGGAGCAATCACCTCTTATTCTGAAGAGCAACTCTTGAGAGCCAAAGGCAGACAAGTGGAGATATGGATTGAAACTGTGTCCACGTTACCAAATGTGAGATCGGTTTCCAGCCTGAGCTCGGTGAACAAGAGGAAGCTGATGGGCTTGCGGGAAACTGAGGAGAAGAATGAGACTGTAGAGAAGGGAAAACGGCTGAACAGAACAACTAAAGGAGTTCTTGATCTGAACCTTCCGGCACAAGAAACCGAGTCCGAGAAAAGAAATCATAGTGAAGAGAACTCAAAGCTTTGGTTAGTGAACTTGAAGAATCAAGACCGTCTCATTGAGGTTCCTTTCAAGCCTTTCGATTTTGAAGGATTAGCAGAGAAAATCAAAAAGAGCGTAAAAGAAATGTTCGACAAGTGCGTGAGATCGGACTGTTTGCTCGAAATTGACCCTAAAATCATGGAACGATTAGTAGCGGCTGTTTATTTCTCTGATAGTAGAAAAGATATCATCAAAGAGTTGATGGAGAAAGTATTGGTTCGATTGTTCTTGCATGTTAAAGAAAGGTATGAAATCACTTCTGGTTGTGTAGTAAAACTAGTTGGTCGAGATCTTGACGTTTTTCGTGAGGATCAAATGGACTTGTTCCTTGTAAAATCTCAGTAGGTTAAAAGGTAGTTGTGAGATTTATCTGGAAAGTGTTTAATATAAGGTAGAGGTAGTAATAGGTACTATTGTCCTTTTGTGTTGCTATACACTACTATATAATGTGTGTTGTTGATACATCATGTAGCTATGAGTGGGTCGTTATCTTCTGTAAATTAATAGTGGCTTTCTTATATATACTATTTCAAACCGATGATTAGATAAATAACGTTATTTTTTTTTAATAACATTGGTTTCTCATGTATATGTATGCTGCTGTTTTTATATTACACTACTTACTCTCTGTATTTGTATGTCAAAAAAGGTCTGTGTTTGAAGTGATATAGTCACTTCCAAAAATGGTGATCGACCAGATCAATATCTCAAATCTTTGTGAAAAATTGATGTACTGAATATATGTTGGACTTGGCGCAATCAGACCCATATATCATTTTCCATTTGGTGTGGTTTATGGTTTTTCAGGTTTCTAGTAATAAAACATTTTTTTGGTAAAAACGTTGGGTGTTAAATGATCAGTTTTTAAAAAGTAGATGTTTTTGAGTCATTGAGTCAATATCCCTTTCGTATTGATAATTGATGAAAGTGAACTTATGTTGAATTGACACACTAAATTTAACTGATACTGAAAATATTAATTTATGTGAGTATAGAATTATAGCATCATTTATAAGCATAAACGTTGATTTAAAACATTAATTATTTTGTAACTTAAATAAGAAGCCATATTATTTAACTTTAACAATTTACAACCAAAATTCGAAAAGGATAACAAGACAAAAAAAAAATTAATACTCAATTTTCTTTGAACAATACTACAATACCAAAGTGTATACCAGTTCTAGTTACGAAGGTTTTCTTTTAGCTTTGGGCTTTATAGCCCACAATTTTGTGCCACTTCGAAAAGGTTGAACTAAATTCCTGTGATGCAGAAGAGACTGGTAACTGGTAAGGGCATAGCCACTTGACCAAAACAACGATTTTTTCTTTTTGCTTTTCTCAATGTATTCGGCAATTACTAAGGTTTTATTTGTGAACATCACCAAGTTTTTGATATTCTTAATTTGGTAACTGAAGATTAGTCAGTCTTACAAGAAGCAAAGTAAATGTCATAACAAAAAATGTTGTACATCATTCGGTGACTCGGTCCACGGTCCACAATCTGATCTAATTTGCTGACGAGTTTTGGGATATTTGGGAGGCAAAACATATCCCTTTAATAATTCTCTATATTAGTAAGTTGACTAAGTATAAAGTAAATAACCAAGTTTGACCAGAAGAATCGTAGCTGGGTCTTCTTAAATCTTAATGCTTCTGAGTTTCTTCTTCAAACCCTATTTATTATTAATCAGCATTTATTTGACCCAACTTGCTCAAAAGTTCAAAACATAATGAATTGATGCGCATAATTTAAAGGTAATTAGAGGTTGTCTATATGGTTAAAATTCACATGCCAGTCTTAATGGGAGTTATATGATTTTATTTACTGATTAGGATTGAAAACTTTCCAGCATTTAGAAAACTAAATATATGTTCTATTTACATGCTATTTCTTTAAAATATACTGACAATTAAATTTTCGTTATAATTTATTGATAATTTGTGAGAGTTTACCTTTGTTAATTCATAAATTACATAAAAAGACAGGTTTTGATTTTAGATAATGTAATCCACTGGTTTATATCATTTTGTGGAATAATATAATTCCGTTTGCAGAATAATAGATTTGTGATGAACTGATTTGGCAAACTCAGAAGATAGAAACATAGAAAAGTTAAGAATAATGAGGAGTAAGTCAAATGATTAAATTCGAGCCATAATGTTTTGTGTGGCGAATTAGTTAAAAAACAAAGAGGAGAGGAGATAAGTGGTTATTTTTATTAAACAAAGAAGTTAATGGTTTGATTAATAATTAGCAAAAAAAAAAAGGAAATGGAAAAAAGTGGAATCGGGCGGCCAAGTGAAGACATTCTCTGTCGCCCACCAAAACTCCAAAGAGGAGAAGGCGTGCCTCACTTTCTCTCTTTCTTTCCATACTCACGCGTTTCTCCTTGCGCGTGATGCCCACTTGCTTTTCCCTAATCACTCCATTGTAACTAGTTACTGCTATCCTACAACACAAACAAGCTTGATCGCTGTTTAACATATAAATATAATTTATTTGGAAACCACTAAGACAAGCTTATCTAATACAGTAAAACTTTATTAAATTAATAATATTAAGACTTTTAATTTTTCTTAATTTATAAAGTTATTAATTAATCGATAAATTAATATTTTATTAATTTATAAAAATATTTTTAATTAGAATTTTTAATATTCATCAAAAAACCAAAATTAATATTTTTAATAATGTATAATTCATTCAAAAAATATCATAATAATAAATTTAAAAGATAAATCAAACAAATTTTATACACTTGAAACAACAATATTATCATAATTTATTATATTATATTATTAATATATACATAAATATATAATTATTAATTTATATTATTATTAGAACTATATTTTTATATAAAACTTTCAAAAAATATTATTTTATTATCTTATTAAATTTTGTCAATTTTTATACTGTTCCGATTTAAAACCGATAAAAATTATTAATTTATAGTAATTTTTAATTTATCAAATATTAATTTATAAAGGTTCTACTGTATCTATAAGAGCCTTGAGATAAAAAAAAATTATTAATTGTTTAGTGTTTAAATTTTGATTCTTATCATTTTTCTAAATTACAGATGCATATTTTAAAAAAAATATAATGAAAATGTATTTAAAATTGTTTAACAGATTTAAAAAATTTAGATCTATCATCATTTGATCAAAAATGGAAAATGTAAAAGTTGATCAAGTTTGGGTTTTTATTTATAATTCATAACTGATTTTCAAAAAGAATCTTATGAAAAGATAGGTTTCATTCTAAAAATACTACAACGTTCAGATTTGGGTTTATAAAAAGCTTATGAAAAGGTTGATAAGATTCAAATTTTTGATATTTTAAAAATTTAGTTTTATATATCATTTTTAGAATTAAAAATTTATTTTATTTTGTTGATGTGGATAAAAAAAAGAAAAAGAGCACTCGCCATAATCCCCACGTGCTAATGAAAGCGTGTGTAATAGTGCGGGGCGCTCACACGCATGTGGAAGGGTTACCTGCTAAGTCGGTAGATTAGTCTAAAGGTGGGTCCCTTACACATCTCCAACTCCATTTATCGTTATCAACCACATATCAAATGCTCTTTCTCTTTAATACTTTTCTTAATACAAAGATTTCTTAACGAGTTAACGTCTTACTGTCTTAGTATTTTATTTTCGAAACAATTATTATATACATATCTCAGGATTTTTGCCCATCCATATTTCAGTTTGATGCAAGAAATAAACTCATTTTTTAAAAAAAACTTGAACATGAAACGTTTATTGTGACATAATGAATAAACACCTGATTTTTTTAAAAATGTCGAATGGAAAAGATGAATAAACACCTAAATTTTTGAAACACTTGTTCTGACAACACCAATAACAGATCCGAGATTGATTCAGACTATTTAACATATTTTCTGAAATTGATTCAGAGTATTCTAACATCTTATGTGAACTCAAGTTCAATGGAATGTGACAATGAGATTTTGATGAAAGAAGTGGCGCGATGAAGACAAGATTATCTCTTTCAAAAGCCATTGTGAACTACTTTTGTCCACATATACTTAACTAGTAGAATTATTCTGTAACTGGAAGTCTTTTTCCACCCCAACTATTTTCTAGGTTCTATAACCAAATAATATTTACATACAAATATTGAGAATGCATAGTACTAAGAATATATAAAAACCTTTGGTTATTTGTTAGAGTGATTATTGAATACAACAACAAGAGTGCCTGAACTGAATTTACTGGATGGGTGAAGTTATTTCTCCTGGATGTTTTTGTTCATTTCTATAGTCAAAACAAAGTTATTGACTAGAAATTAAGTAGGTAACATACAAAATCACCAATAGTTTTTTGGTTATGAAAAAAACCAAATAAAAACTTGTTAGTATCTAGAAACTTAACCAAAAATGAACTGTTATCTAGAAACAATAAATACATTCCGAATGAGACTTTTTCTTTTGAATTTGTTAAATAGGTAATGTTTATTTCCCTCAAGAAACTTGCTTTTTGAATCATTAAAGAAAAGACATTTTGAATAAATCAAAGAGAGATGTGGATTGTATCATATTTATGAGAAAAATAAAGACCAAACAAATTGAGTATAAACAGTCAGCAAAACAGTGACGTCCTTACCTTTTAAAAGTTCATAGTTTTGACTTTTGACCTAAACCATTTCTATGACGAGGAGAAAAAAACAAAAGCAAAACCAAACAATACAACACAATAAAGAAAGTAATTAAAAACATTAATATATATATTAAAGAAAAGGAGACCGAGAAAGGTAGACGAAAGAAAGAGCGCACCTTCCTCTCTCCTTCGCAACGAAGCTCTCTTTTAAAAGGAGCCTTACATTTCTCATTTGATCCTTCTTCAAAAACCCAAACCACTTGCTTCCACCTTTTCCTCTTCTTCTTCATCTTCTCAAATCTCAAAGTTTGTAACTTGTCTATTGATATCATCTCCCTTTTCTGCAAGTCATCTTCTTCTCTAGGTATGCGGCTTTCCCTTTCCTTCTTCCTTCCATTTCTGATTTCGTCTTTGAGGATTTTGGGTTTGTTAGTCATAGCTCTCTTAAAGGCTTCTCCTTTAGCGTTAACTTTTAATATTTTTTATGATCTGTATGAATTGAATTTGACCTCTTCTTCCCTATTTCTTGCTTGAGGTTCTTAAGGAAACAGTAGTTGGCTTGAATCAGTAGAAACTATTCAATTACTTTTACTGATTTGTTTCTTTAAGGTGGGGCATAATTTTGGGTATAAAGAATCTGGGAAATGAAAAAAATTGAACTTTGGAATCAAACTGTAGATTGCGTTTTCTCTTTTCTCCTTTGATAGCGATCTTCTTTAAATCTCGCAGGAGAGATGTGCGGCTCAAAGAGCAACCTCTGCTCTTCCAAATCCCTGACTGAAGCAGAATTCATGAGGCGGAAATCAGAAGAAGAAGAAGGCGTCGCCGCCACGTGTCTTCTCGAATTCGCCGCCTGCGACGATCTCCCGTCGTTCAGGAGAGAGATCGAAGAGAAATCGCCGGAAATCGACGAGCCGGGCTTCTGGTACTGCAGACGGGTCGGGTCGAAGAAGATGGGTTTCGAGGAGAGAACGCCTCTCATGGTTGCTGCGATGTACGGGAGCATCGAGGTCCTAAATTACATAATCGCCACCGGCAAATCCGACGTGAACAGAGTTTCCGGCGGCGAGAAAGTCACTGCTCTTCACTGTGCTGTCTCCGGCTGCTCCGTCTCCGTCGTTGAAGTCATCAAGATCTTGCTTGGTGCCTCTGCTTCGCCTGATTGCGTTGACGCTAATGGGAACAAACCGGTCGATCTATTGGTTCGAGCTTCCCGGTTCGTACCTAACCAGAGTAAAAAGGCCGTTGAGCTTCTGTTAACCGGAAACCATGGCTCGGTTTATAGTTTGGTGGAAGAGGAGGAAGTGAAGAGTGTGGTGACAAAGTACCCAGCTGATGCGTCGCTTCCTGATATCAACGAAGGCGTTTACGGAACAGACGAGTTTAGGATGTTTAGCTTCAAGGTCAAGCCCTGCTCGAGGGCTTATTCTCACGACTGGACCGAGTGTCCTTTTGTTCATCCCGGTGAGAACGCGAGGAGGAGAGATCCGAGGAAGTATCCTTACACATGTGTCCCCTGTCCCGAGTTTCGTAAAGGGTCTTGTCCTAAAGGAGATTCCTGCGAGTACGCGCACGGGGTTTTCGAGTCTTGGCTTCACCCGGCGCAGTATAGGACACGGCTTTGTAAAGACGAGACCGGTTGTGCGAGGAGAGTCTGTTTCTTTGCTCATAGAAGGGACGAGCTGAGACCGGTTAACGCTTCCACCGGTTCTGCAATGGTTTCACCGAGGTCGTCGAACCAGTCTCCTGAGATGTCTGCCGCTATGTCTCCTTTGAGTCTAGCCTCGTCGCCGATGAACTCTCCCATGGCTAACAACGGTGTTCCTTTGTCTCCAAGAAACGGTGGTTTATGGCAGAACAGAGTGAGTACCCTTACTCCGCCGCCGTTGCAGCTTAACGGCAGCAGACTGAAGTCGAGCTTGAGCGCTAGAGACATGGATATGGAGATGGAGCTTAGGCGCAGGCTCGGCGATTTCAAGCCATCCAACCTCGAAGAGACTTTCGGATCTTACGACTCTATGCAGCAACTTCAGTCTCCAAGCAGGCATTCTCAGATGAACCACTATCCGTCTTCCCCTCGCGGGTTCGAGTCTTCAGCGGCTATGGCAGCTGCGGTGATGAACGCTAGATCCTCGGCGTTTGCGAAACGCAGCTTGAGTTTTAAACCGGCTCCGGTAGCTTCTTCGAATGTCTCGGATTGGGGATCGCCGAACGGGAAGCTCGAGTGGGGGATGCAAAGAGAGCTGAGGAGAAGCGCCTCCTTCGGCATTCATGGCAGCAGCAGCAACAACAACAACAACAATGTGTCTCGTCCTGCGAGAGGAGACTACAGCGATGAGCCAGATGTGTCGTGGGTGAACTCCTTGGTGAAAGATAGTATACAGGAGAGAGCCTTTGGGTTGAACGAGAGGGTTGGGAACACGGTGAACGGTGCAGTGGTTAGGGACCAGTTTAAGCTTCCAACGTGGGCAGAGCAAATGTACATAGACCATGAGAAGCAGCAGGTTGTGGCATAAGGAAGCAGAAAGAAAGAAATGGGATCTTTATTGCTATTCTTCTGGGCCTCTCTACACAGAATCTAACAAAAATCTGGTCAATAATTCTTTGATTTGTGTTTGACCCCATAGTTTTCTAATATATGTCTTTTTTTTAATATTCTCTTGTTTTTTCTTTTCTTTTTTCTCTCTGTCATTCTCTTGTCATTTGTGACATTATGTAATGATTAAAAAAGCTAATAATTGATGAATGAGTTCAAATGTTCTATCAAGGATCTTAATGGCTTTGTACTTGTTTGTGGTATCTTAATCTTGGCGGCAATATTTTAGATTGGAGAAGAAAAGGAATTCAAGTGCTTAGAAAAATTAGGCCTAGAGAAGATTAGTGTTAAGAACATAAGTACTGAAACCGGAAATTTGTTAGTCCAATCTTTTGAAGCTAATTCAAGTGCTTAACACTAATCTTCTATCGGCACAATCAGTGGACTAACAAATTTTCAAAATTTAGAGACCAGTCGTTTAGTGATATCTTAATTTTTGAGGCTAACAACGACTGGTCTCTATATTTTGAAAATTTGTTAGTCCATTGATTCACATTCTCGTTATTAGTACAGTTAAAAACAGCATGAAGATTGTGGTCTATTTATTTTATATACAAAAGAAAATCCATACCATGTGACAGTATCGCATTAGATCTGTCATTTTTGGTGTCAACGATGTATATTAATGCTAATCACCTTTTCTCGAGATTGCTAAAATATGAACTCTGCATGGATTTTGAGATTCATATTTATAGCAGCAATATAATATATATATATTATATTTCAAATTGCATAAAATATTTGAGAAATTATTATAAAATCGAGTAACAACTGTAAATAATGTATAAATAATGTGGTTGTATTTCAGAAATACTATTTCTTCAGTTACAAGAGTTTATGTAACTATACTTATATTCGAAATTTGAAGACTCGATTTTGAGCTACAATAGAATTCTAAAAAAACTGATGAGGGAAAAGCAATTAATATTAGGCTGCTACTAATTTAGGTAGGGACTAAGATAAGTTTCCCTCATCGATCAAATAAAACCAAAATTAGTTTAGTTTACATTTTTAATTCGAAAGATGAACACAAAGGGAGAAAACTATAGGAAGTCATGTGTCACCAATTATGCTTTTAAGGTCAAAAGCACCAAAACCACCAATTGGCCATAGTATAAAGTCTATTTGGCATTATTGTTCGTTAAATTTTTTAATAATCCTTATCTTCTTTTCTCTTACTATTTGATTATCAAAAATCTCCATCGATCTCTCTCTCTCCTCCCCCTCGTGTTCTCTCTCATAGCCACATACCGACACTTACATAACTGTTCTTCTTTCTTCTTCTTTACTACTCATCATCTTCATTATCAGATGCAACACTCGAGAACAAGAGTTCAATCCTTTTGAGACAGGAGTGACCATGAAACAGAGGAAGAGGAGTAATATCTCAATCTTCGTAATCGTCTTCTCCGTTTTCCTCTTGGGGATCTTCATGTACAATGACAACGTCAAATCCATTGCTGACTTGTCATCGTCGAATCCATTCTTTAGTCTATTTGAGGAATACGTGGAGTTGCCGCCGCAGGAGTGTGATCTCTTCACCGGAGAATGGGTATTCGACAACAAGACGCGTCCATTGTACAAAGAGGAAGAGTGCGAGTTCTTGACAGAGCAAGTAACTTGCTTAAGAAACGGAAGGAAAGATTCTCTGTTTCAGAAATGGAGATGGCAACCAAAAGACTGTTCTTTGCCAAAGTAAAGCTAATTGTTTCCTTTTTCAAAATGCTCTGTTTGTTCTTTCTTCTTCTTTCTTTTTCGGTTTTGATCGATTTGGTTTTCAATAACTGTAGTTTTTCTGATTTTGGTTTGGAAGATTCAAAGCGAGAGTGTTGCTAGAGAAGCTGAGGAACAAGAGGTTGATGTTTGTCGGTGACTCGCTTAACCGGAACCAATGGGAATCGATGGTTTGTTTGGTTCAATCAGTGATTCCTCCCGGTAGAAAAAGCTTGAACCAGACCGGTTCTCTCACCATTTTCCAAATTCAGGTAAAGTAAAACACCTGTGTGTGACACTGACACCAATGGCATTATTCTATAGTTTCTTTCTATAATTTCTGAGTTTTATTAATCTTGAAGGGACGATTTTTGGACGGAAAAGAAAAGAGAAAAAGATGCCTTACTGTTTTTTATAGTTTCTTACTTTTTTGGGATTTTTAAAATATGAAAAAGGACTACAACGCAACGGTGGAGTTTTATTGGGCGCCATTTTTGGTTGAATCGAATTCAGACGATCCGAGAAAGCACAGTATAATCGATCGTATCATAATGCCAGAGTCCATCGAGAAGCACGGAGTCAACTGGAGAAGCGTTGACTTTCTTGTCTTTAATAGTTACATCTGGTGGATGAACACTTTCTCCATCAAAGTCCTGTAAGTAGTAAATACAATAATGTAATGAATATAGGCATATGGTAGCTGAGGATAAAAAGATAGATTGTGAAATTATGAAAACAGACGAGGATCGTTCGATGAAGGTGACACGGAATATGATGAGATCAAACGGCCAATAGCATACGAAAGAATGATGAGGACATTGGGAGATTGGGTGGACCATAACATTAATCCTCTACGTACAACCGTTTTCTTCATGAGCATGTCTCCTCTTCATATCAAGTACAATTTAATTTCTCTATCTCCATTTTAATTTTTAAGCTCTTAATTTTATTATTATTATAATTAATCACTGTTTTGTTTTAGGAGTTTGGATTGGGGGAATCCTGAAGGTATAAGGTGTGCTTTAGAAACGACACCGATCATAAACTCGTCGATGGTGTTCAACGTTGGGGCGGACTACAGGCAGTTTTCGGAGGTAGGGACGGACTACAGACTGTTTTCGGTTGTGGAAAACGTCACGCAGTCTCTTAGAGTTCCTATTCATTTCCTCAACATCACTGGATTGTCCGAGTATCGTAAAGATGCGCATACTTCGGTTTACACGATCAGGCAAGGCAAATTGCTGACGCGCGAGCAGCAAAACGATCCGACCCATTATGCTGACTGTATCCACTGGTGCTTACCTGGTGTTCCCGATACATGGAACGAGTTTCTTTATACGCATATTATTTCGAAATCTTCATGACCAAAATATGAAATTATTTGGATTCTCTCATCCTTTTTTTTTTGGGTCGGTTTTTAAAAATTCTTGTGATGTATATAGAATGTTTTGTGAATTAAGGTTACAAATTTCCCACATCGATTTTATTCACATCGCTCTATGTATTACGCAGAATATGTAACGTCCACAAAGAAATAAATATTAAGGCCAAGATGTGTTTATTACCTTAGACCTTAGCTATAAGCTTGTGGTTTTGTCCTTGTTCTTCGCATTATGACTCTATGGATCTACTACCACAGGGAAAGAATATATAACGAAGAAAACATTTCTTATTTGTAATTATAACACAACAGAACATGAACAGGAATTAATAATGTTTTGACATTATGATATGCATTATAATTTTATAGAGCTGATATTTACTAAATTATATATAGGTTTTTTCGTTAGAATTCATTATACTAAAATTTTTATCTTGAGAGTCGGTTTAATGTTCGGTCAATGTCCATGAAGAAAGAAGAAATTTTGTGTTAATCTACTAACAATATAATACACAAATGCAAAATATTCAACAACTTCGAGTTCTTTAGCTGGATTTATAAGATAATGAGATATGGAGGTTTAAGTAATTAGCGTAGGAATTCACACTTTTACACGTGGCATGGTAGCTGCTCCACGTTGGTGTACGTGGGTCCGTCAAGTAGTTGTGTATTATCAACTCCATGATTATAAAAAAGAAATAGTATCAGATTAGTTTTTGATTGACCAACTATGACCCAGCATTAATGATTTGTTCAACCATTTCTCTCACATGTCCAGAAACCGAATCTAACAAAGATGAAACAAACTCGTGGTACACAGAGGAATGCTTATCTTCCTCTGCTATACTTTGCCGTCCTTCTTCTTCCCTTGTTCCTCCTCGGATGCTATCTGTACAGTGAGAAGCTGAGGTCTGGCCAGTTTCAAGAACTCAAGACACATAACCTACAACAACAAAGCAAAGAAGATGGTAATAATAAAGACAAGAAGATTGATCCGGTGCCATTAGAAGTCTGCGATGTCTTCACAGGTGAATGGGTTCTGGATAACGCCACACATCCTTTATACAAAGAAGACGAATGCGAGTTTATCTCAGAGTGGGTGGCGTGTACGAGAAACGGGAGGCCAGATTCTAAGTACCAGAGATGGAGATGGCAACCTCGAGATTGCTCTTTGCCAAGGTCAGTTTACAACTTTCTAAGATACAAAAGAGAAGCCAAAATTGAGTTACAGGGGCTTTAGTTCTTGACTTCTTGGGTTCTAGGTTCAACGCTAAGCTACTGCTAGAGAGACTCAGGGGAAAGAAACTGATGTTCGTTGGTGATTCGATACATTATAACCAATGGCAATCCATGGTTTGTATGGTCCAATCCATCATTCCTTCAGGCGAAAAGACCTTGAAACACACAGCACAAATGTCAATCTTCAATACAGAGGTCTCAAGGACTGTCTCTTCTATGCAAAACGTAATAACCCAAAGAAGCAACAAGAAACCCCAAATCTGATCTCTCTTTGAATGTGTGTAGGAGTACAATGCGACCATAGCATTTTACTGGGCACCTTTCCTAGTCGAATCAAATGCTGATCCTCCAGACAAGAGAGACGGCAAAACTGATCCAATCATCATGCCTCGATCAATCTCCAAGCATGGCGAGTACTGGAAAAACGCAGACTTTCTCGTTTTCAACACGTATATATGGTGGACCAGAAGTTTCAAGATCAAAGTTCTGTAAGTGATGATAAGCCTCTCTCCACCAAGTTCCAAACTCCAATTTTCCAATCCTGTTTAAACCTTGATAAAAGCTTCTACCTTTGATGATGCTTTGAAGAAAACAAGGATCTTTCAGTGAAGGGTCAGCAGAGTATGACGAAATCGGAACCCATGTCATGTACGAACAAGTGCTACGGACATGGGCAAAGTGGTTAGAACAAAACATTGACACAAGTCGAACATCTATCTTCTTCAGCAGCATTTCACCAACTCATGTCAGGTACTATGAGCAAAAAACAAAAATCCCAACTTTTTCAGTGAAGACTGTTCCTTTTCGATTTCCATTAATGAAACACCTATGAAATAAAATTACAACAGGAGCTCAGATTGGGACGTTAATGGAGGAGGCAGCAAGTGCGAGAAAGAGACGGAACCTATACTCGACATGTCGAAACCAATAGATGTCGGAACAAATCGGAGGCTTTTCGAAATCGCGGTGAATGTAACGAAATCAACCACAAAAGTGCCGATTCGTTTCCTCAACGTGACTACGATGTCGGAGTACAGGAAAGATGCGCATACCTCATTTTACGGGTCGCGGAGAGGGAAGCTCAAGACGCCGGAGCAGAGATCGGATCCGAGAACCTTCGCCGATTGTTATCACTGGTGTCTTCCCGGATTGCCGGATACATGGAACGAGTTGCTCTCTCTGTATATTACCCACATAAGTTGATATTTTTCTCGGAAGGATTGATTTTTCGATTTGCTTTCCTGATTGAATGTATGAATTCGCACATTTTTCAAGTTCCGACCAACAAAACATTAGTGAGTTTGTACAGAGCACGGCGAAGAGATTGGAGACGAACCGGTTGGTTGTAAAATCAGTTTTATTTAATCATTAAACCGCTGATCATCGGTCTAGCTGAGATGATTGCTAAACCGGGTGTCTGGTTACCAACTCCACCAATTTCCATTCTTTTAAGTACCGGTTTGGTGTTAAACATGCAGAACTAAGCAAATTGATCAACATTATACTTTTCTACTTTTCTTAGGATGGTATTAAGAGAGAACTCATCGACGAATTTGTTTATTTTCCCTTTTCAGCTCTATTAATTTCCTACTTTGCTCGCCTATATATGTTAGATGATCCCATCTTCAGGTCCTTACGAAAGTACATGGTTCAAACTTCAAAGGGAAAATAGGCTAAATAGCTATTATATATTACTTTCTTCAGCCATGCTAAGAAGCCAAAACACAACTGTATGAACAAAACCAAAACACTATTCCAAATTAAAGGCCTATACGTAGACGAGAACATACACACATGCTCATCATCATCTTGTGAACTAAATAGAGAAGAACTTACACAGGAAATCAAACACAACGTTTAGCTACATGGAAATATTTAACCAGCTTATTACACATCCATCTAAAACATTGATTAGGTTTTGGTCCTGGATATGGGTTCGTCCATTTCCTCTCCTTGATCCTCAGCGTCTTCCCCACCAGGCTTGTCTCCGGTGCTAAGACCACCTTTGCGTCCCATCTTCTGATATCCTTCAGTTCCCAACTGCTCTTTCCTTGTGTTCCCTCCTCGGCTCCTCCCTTCATATAAGATTCCACAAACATTAATACCGTTATAACTATAACTTTAACTTGACACGTACGAAACCATTAAATTCATTAACGTTATACAGAAAGAGACATATAATAGATGTGAGAGAGAGAGAGAGAGACCTTCAGCTAGATGCTGTTGAGCTTCCAAGCTTTTGCCTCCAGTGCCACCTGGCACGACGGTTTCTCCCTTCTTGGCCCTCTCGTCTAGCTGTTTTTTCTCCTGTTGAGACGCCATAGATTTACTTACTACACAAGTTATTAAATTACTTTAGCTTCTTTTATCACAGACAAAAAAACCAAATACACTCCCAACGACTTGAGATATGATGATGATGCGAGAGACTTGAAGAGGTCAGGCTATATATATATTATGCGAATTGTTTCGGATGTCATTTTGCTTGTGTTACCACGTGGAGGTTCGACGTGGTGATTAAGGGACAATCGGTACGTCATACGTGTGCTCTTCTTTGCTGGTCAAGTGCCACGTGTCTGATTGAATTAGCTGACGTATACTTGGAACTTGGAAGTGCCGTGCTTCTTCACCGCGTGTCCTTTAACTATACCCCGGAATTTATTTTTGTGTGTGTGTATGCATACATATATAAATGATTTCAACCTGTATATGAAAATGAATATGACTTCGTGAAGAAGAACCCTAAATATATTATCTTGACGCCAATGGACAGTGTGTGAGTTTGATTTGAAATGGAAGACGTTCACTCTATTTGTGCCTTATGGTTAGGTACATACATTGCTGGTCCAAAATCGGTTACTTTAGGTGGGTCCATGCAATAGCGATTCTTTGTTTTGAGACTTCTAGATTGAACTACCAAGAAAAGTCTTCCACCCCTAAATGGCAACACCTATGAATACAGTGTCGGTCCAACTAAATAGTGGTCCGAAATTTTTTTAAAAAATGTAACCTTTCATAAATTGTTTTTATAACAAAAAAGTGTACCATCTGGACTCAAAAATTAAATTTAGTACATATGTGATCTATATATATTATTTCTCAAATATATGTGGTTCATAAAATTTTGAAAAAAATGATGGTTCTAAACAGCCGTTTAGCCCGTTTATGTTATGGACCGACCCTATATGATTATTAAAACCCTGTTAAAATCTAAAGTTAAATTATTTATAACCTCCATCAATAGATTAACAAAAAAAAAAGCATGGAATCTGGAACTCAGCCTTCTTTGATAAATTAAAATATATGTGTTGCAATAGAAATCTGGGAATACAATCCCAAAAACCAAAAGAATTATGAACAATGGAAGAAAACTAAAAGGCCAGGAGAAACGCCAAACCATGAAAGCTATCTTCAACGTATAATAAACGTAGAACTCAAAATACAATACCACTAAAGAAGTTAAGTAGGCTATATATATGATTTTTCTAGAAGTTGTATATAATAATATATAAAATCAGTTATATCGAAATGTCGAATTGACAGTTTGTTAATATGACAACATTTATAGCGCAGTTTTTCTAAAAAAAACCTACCTAATAAAGAAATGCAAATGACTTACATGTCATGGGAGAAGAATGTCTTCGTTATTCGACAAGGTTGCTCTGAATAAGCAGAAATGACATATAAATGATAATTCGTGGACCTCGTGTTCCAAGTTCTATAGTTACGAATGAACATAAAAAAAAAAAAAAAAAGTGATGAAACAATGTAATTAAACCAACTGTAATAGTTTACGATTGAATAACCGGTAGTAGATTCTCTCTTCGCGCTCTCTCATCTTTAATTTCTCTTTTCGATTTCTTCATCTACTTCCTCACTTTCTGATTCAAATGTAATCTTGGACAGGATCGAAAGACAACTATGTCCGTCATTTTCAAAATGGAAACCAAAAAGAAGAAGAACAAACTATGCCCCTCAGTTTTGACCATCACATTGTTTTTTTTTTTTGTGTGGCATTCTCTATTGCTTGGGACGTGTGTGCAGTATTTTAGGTTACCAACTCTACAATCGTTAACCTTTATATGACATGTGGCATATTTGATTTGTTTTATGAATGTGAATTTGTTTTGTTTCAAACAGTTATCTATGTCCATATCACGTCAATTTTTATAGCTAAAAATGATTTCATGTTTTAATGTATTTTTAGTTGTATTGTAATGAAAAACATTGGTTTGCCAAGTCAAAAAAGGCCGACCTGAGGCTGATCCTTCTGAGATAAGTTATTACTGAGTCGATGACGAGATAGGGTCAACTGTTCTCCAATCATATGTACACATATTAATACATACACACTTACGTATTGTATGATGTCTTAATCGTGACATTGTTCCTCTTTCCTTATTGCCAGGTCTCAAATCAATTATGACTTTTTCCTTACTCGTGTAGTGTACATTTTAAAACGATTTCGGGGTGATTAAAAACCCTTCATCAAATAATGAACATACGAAGCTCGTTTTTCAGTACGTAGAGTAAATAAAATTAACTATCAATACCAAATTTGTATATTTTAGCTTCACTTAAAAGAGTTTATCACAATACCAAACTCTTGTAATGGAGTTAGCTTTTGATTCGATTATATTTTTCCTTCTTCGTTTGATTGACTGATATTCACGAATAGTATAACTAAATATCCCATCAAAAGTTTCGGATCGGATCATTTACTCAGTCATTTACTCATAGAATCATTGACCAGATCTTAAAGGAGTTTGATAATTTCTATACTTCTAGATTAATAATTACAGTAATGAACACAAAAATCGAGTCCTATGGGATTCTAACAATTTTGATACATACATTATACATAGTTGATCAATATTGGCAGGAAGACCAAAAATTACTAGTTCCCTCCCTAATTCGTACTACTTATCCTTTTTGTCTAAGATTTTCATAACTTTTAGTTTACAAGCTAATTGTGTAATGTAACATTTATTCTAGCTTGTAAACTAAACATTTTGCTTTGTTAAAAATCGTGTAAAGTAAAGTTGATGAGAAGCAATATATGTAGTTATGGGAACTAAATTGCAGATAATAACTTAAGAAAAAAACGAATATATTATTTTAAATCCATTTAAAGAAAAATAAAATATCCGACGCTTGAGAAAGAGCGCTTAAAAAACGGGACCGTGCTTTACATTCTCGGAACATTTAAACCGTAATTAACCACGTTATTAGTCTACATACTTTGAATTGATAATCAAATTAATGACACAAATTGTATTCAATGGACGGCAGATACATCGTCGTTCACCATTCAAAGCTCAAAGATTTCACGTGATCATCACCAAGTCCAACTACAGATTCAAACATATATCCCGTTATGGCAAAATAATAAAGCCATATTACAAATAAAATATAGCAAAAAAAGATAAAAAATGATAGAGATGGGTAATTTTGGCACCGACGTGAATTTGACTAAATTACGAGAGAGGGAGAGAGACTTGGTCACGAAGGTGTAAATTAGCATGTAGAAAGAGAAATAATCGTCGTTGACCATTGACCAAAAACTTGGTCATATATAAAAAAGAATCTAACCGCCCACACTATTCCGCTATTCACAAGGTCCTTGCTTCTTTCTCAGACGTAAACAACAAGAAATTAAATTAATCAAAAGCAAAAAAACAAAAGGCAACCCTATTTTTCTAATTTCTTCTTCTCCTTTTTTATTTTTATATGCAACTCTCCAAGACTCCGACAATCAAACAAACAAATCGAGAGAATAAGAAACACACCGAAGATTTTACGATGAAGAGATCAGTAATCATGGCACCGGAATCTCCGGTTTACTTCCCTTCTCCTGTAGTTTTCTCTCCGACGTCGGTCAAAACGCCGTCGTCTTCGCCACGCTCAGCACCACCGAGGCTGACTATGGTAGCGTTTCCTACAAGGAAGCCAAAGGAGACGACTTCGAGTCCCGATTCTGACACGGTGTTGAAAAGAAAGCGACCTCCGATGCTTGACCTAACGGCAGCTCCGGCGATTGCACCATGGTGTAGTACGACGGTTAAGACGCCGGAAAAATCGGACGAGGTTGTTGAAGCAGAGAAAGATGGATACTACTCTGTTTATTGCAAGAGAGGAAGACGCGGACCAATGGAAGATCGGTATTTCGCGGCGGTTGATCCCGACGAAGGAGCTCACAAAAAGGCTTTCTTCGGTGTTTTCGACGGTCACGGCGGATCCAAAGCGGCGGAATTCGCGGCCGTGAATCTCGGTAACAACATTGAGGCGGCGATGGCGGCAGAGAGATCGGGAGAAGAAGGGTACTCGCTCGAGAGAGCGATAAGAGACGGTTACATCAAAACGGACGAGGATTTCTTGAAAGAAGGTTCAAGAGGCGGCGCGTGTTGTGTAACCGCTTTGATATCCAAAGGCGAGCTTGCGGTTTCGAATGCCGGAGACTGCCGGGCTGTTATAAGCCGCGGCGGAGCTGCGGAAGCTCTTACTACCGATCACAATCCTTCTCAAGCAAATGAGTTCAAAAGGATTGAAGCATTGGTGAGTTTTATCATTCTCTCTAGTCCTTTTTTTGTGTGTGTAACAATCTTCACTCTCTACATAGTCTATATTGCGTTTTAATTGACAACACTATGAATTTGTGGAGTTGTGCATGTGGGAAACAAGAAACCTGACTTTAGATGTAAATTTGAGGGCAAGAGATTTCACATTTTTATTTTTGATCAAATGATCAAATCTATGGAATCGCCGAATGGATAAAATAAAATGCGAATGTGATGGGCTAAAAAAAACTACAAAACTGGAGAATCATTCTAACATTCCGAAAATTTTAATTATGTATTAATCTTGTTTGGTTTGATTGGGTTCGGTTTACTTACCCTTTTTGTTTGTGTGTGTAGGGTGGTTATGTTGACTGCTGCAACGGCGTTTGGAGAATTCAAGGAACATTAGCCGTCTCCCGAGGAATTGGAGACCGGTATCTCAAGGAGTGGGTAATTGCTGAACCGGAAACCAGAACATTACAGATTAAACCGGAATTCGAGTTCTTGATCTTAGCATCTGACGGTCTTTGGGATAAGGTAAGCATAGCCCGAAATGTTTCAAAGTTGATTCTTTTTTTTGTCCACGGTTTGAATGTTGAACCGGATTTTTCGCGGGTGTTATAGGTAACGAACCAAGAGGCGGTTGATGTGGTTCGACCGTACTGTGTGGGCGTGGAGAAACCAAAGACACTTTCTGCTTGCAAGAAACTAGCCGAGCTATCGTGTAAGAGAGGGTGCTTGGATGATATTAGTCTAATCATAATTCAGCTACAACACTTTGTCCCATGATTCATTATACTTGATTAATTTCATTAGGTGTTTAAGTTATTGAAAATTTTGTCCGGTATTTTACATGATGTATATATAAAGGTTCCAAACATAATTAATTTATAATTATTCTTGCGGATATCAAGATCAAGGTGCCTTTAGCTTGCGATTTTATTGGTCATTTTTTTTATCAAATTTAACCGTTCATTGTTTATCATCTCAGTGTATTAGGGACTGTTAAGTGACACAAATGAAAACGACCAAATGATGAAATGAAATATTTTTCTGTTGTTATTTCACAAAGAAAGACGTGTCATATATTTTGTACAATAGAATAGGTTGTATATATATAATGTTATTAAAGGTGAGAGATGGCAACGACAAAAACTCTTTTGGTTGTTTTTGTTATTGATGGTCAACGTACGTGAACGTGACAAATTTTAATGATTTAGCAACCAACAATGTAAAACTTCATAATCTTTACTGCTATTCTTATTCATTAACGCTATCATCTGTAAAATGAACATATTCTAATATACAATAAAACCTACATAGAACATACATATGCTGCTCAAGGGAGGACCCATGTTGAGTAGAGTAGATTCACTTGCATCCGGTTAAATTTGTATAATAATGTTTTCTCTGTCAAGATACAGACAGTGGTAGCTAATTTAGTTAAAATATAAATATATTAATATTTTTCATCTCCTTTGTTTGATTTTTCAATTTTGTAGGACACATCAAATTTACCCAAAATTTAGCATATATTCTTACCCGTCCCAAAAAAAAAACTAGCATATAAATGATATTAAAAACTAATCTTAAATTTCTCAAATTTTCAGAAATACTCATTTTGGGTTGGCTTTTACTCGTTCCAAAATTAACCCTTATCCAACTTAGTAAAGCTTGGATAATAATTTTAATTTTCCAAAATTTCTTGAAGTTTGATGGGCTTTAAAAACCCAGTAGTATTTTTGGGGATGTTTCCTTGCACATAGTTAAAACATGAAAAAAAAACTATTCCAATGTAAATACTAAATAGATTTGAGAAAAAACAAAATCTGCAAATCATAAACTTACGATGGATTTCGCACAAAAAGAACAAAAAAAACTTACGATGGCGGACTGCGGCTGGAAGGGAGACGGTGCGACCGCCTGTCTGCCACTTTAAGAAGCCATGGCCACCGCCACGGAGACCCCAAAATGGAAGAAGCAGGAGATCCAAGCAAGGGTCTGGACTCAATCAGCTCTCTGCCTGATGAGATCCTCCACATTATCCTCTCGTCTCTTCCGACCAAATTCGCCATCAGAACTTCCATCTTGTCCAAACGATGGAGGCATGTATGGCCCGATACACCTTCCCTCTCCTTCGATTGGCGTACGTGTATACACAAACCGAAAGCTGATTCGATAAACAAAACCCTAGATCGCTACACGGCTCGCAAGATGATTAGTTTCCGGCTCTGTGCCAGCATGAAAGACTATATGCCTCACATTGACAGATGGATCGAGTTCGCCATGTCCCGAGACGTGGAGAATATGTCGCTGAATTTGGATAATGGTGGTGACGATAAGTATCATGTTCCTGATTTCTTCTACACCAATAACTCTGTGAAGCAACTCAGTGTTGACCTAGGGTATTATGGTTTGAGGATTCCCAGTAGTTCCGTGTCTTGGACATCTCTGAAGAAGCTGTCCTTGCGTAATTGCAAGCTCTCTCGTGAATGCATTGATAAGATTTTATCTGGCTGTCCGATTCTCGAGAGCTTAAAGCTGTATTTCTGCAATGAACTTAGGGTTCTTGATGTCAGGAAATCGCAGAGTCTGAGAACATTAGAAATCGACCGCAGCTATTGGGCCCCGAGTCCAACGCAGATTGTTGCGCCGCAAATCCATTGCCTCAGATTGAGCAACTCTCAGTTACCATGTACTTTTGTTGATGTCTCGTCCTTAACCGAAGCTAGTCTACATATATGCTTTTCCTCAACTAAAAAACTTACAGCTGACTTTCTGCTAGACATGTTTCTAAAGATGCTAGACAAGTTGCAGAACGTAGATAAGCTGACTTTCGGGGCAAGCTTTCTTAAGGTATGTTTTCGTGCATTCCAAGGTAGGCCTGTTGCAGAATCACTTTACTATTAATTGTAGCATCAGTCTATGTTAGCCAATGGAGTATTTTTTCACTAGGCTTTGATTTCCAATACGTCTATGTTTTATGCACTCTGTTTGTAAGTCTATGTTAAATATTGTTATATCACTATAGATGTTTGTAAGTCTATGTTAAATATTCCCACTCTGAGAAGTCACTATAGATGTTTGTAGAAAAGTGACACTCACCATTGATCAATAACTAATTCTTGTCTTTCTATGGTTAAAACTCTAATTTAAAAAAAAATTCCTTGAGATTTATGTTTCGATATTGAGAAATTAGATCATATGACTATATTAAACTGAAAAATAGATAAACTAACTATAAAAATCAATGGCTATAGTATTTTGTATATATTTTACAATATATACAAAACTATCTCTCTTATTTTTTTCTTTTCTTCCTATTTTTTTTTTCTTTCATTCTTTTTTTTTCATTTTGATTCCTTTTTCTCCTCTTCACTCCTTCTTTTTCCCTCTCTTTCCTCTCCGGTCTTCTCCTTTACTCTCACTTATCATTTTATATTTTGTCCTTTCTCCTATACGATTTATAAGAAACAAACATGTTATATATAATATAGTATAGTAATATAAATCGATATAGTATACTATAATAATGTATTTATAAATTTTGTTTGAAGGATAAAATAGACAAATTTTAGGATTTTTGATTATTAAATTAATTATGAAATTAATATGGTTATATTGTTTATTTTATAGTGTAATGTGGTTATTTTACAAATTAACCCTTCGATATTTACTACTAATACATGTCTGTGATTTTTTTTTTTTTTTGGGTTAGATTTTATCTATTGCCGAGCTCCGTGGTGTTCCTTTTTCGAGCTTCAAGGTCAAAGATTTGACGTTTGAGACAATTAACACTATATATGAAATTCCAGGCTTAGTGAGGGTACTGCAAAACTCACCTGAATTGAAGAAGCTAACAATACGCAAACGGACTTCCGACATGATACCGGTATATTTTTCCATTAGTCTCTTCTATTTTTCTTAACCAAACCATATCTTCTTTCACTTTTGTGTAATCTGAAATATTGGCAATCTGTTTGCATAATCGAAAACCTTTTTATGCTGTATAGAGTGACATGTACTTGGAGTTGCTAGGCTTGAACTCGGATCAATGCTGGAGCTCGGAAGTGAAGGTCGTCGAGAAGGTGGCTTTGTTCATGGAGCTCATGCTTAAAAGCTCAAAGACACTAGAGAAGATGGTCGTAAGGTTGGAATTTGATCTTGAAAGAAGACATTTTGAAGAGTTACTTGAGATGATTCCAATGCTCTCTGACAACAACAACAATGTCTCCATTGTGCTTAGCAAATGAAAACTTTTCTATATTTTTGTAGGAAATCATTATGACATTTATTGGATTAAAGTTTTGAATTTCTTTTTTTTCTCTTCACAATTTTAAATCTTAATATCAGCAATTAATTAGTAGTTAAGTGAAATTCTATGTTATACTTATATATGCACTAGCTCTCTAAGATACATTAAGATAGCGAACGAGGGTCAAGACAGAGATGGAGAAGATGGTCGTAAGGTTTGATGGGCTTTAAAAACCCAGTAGTATTTTGGGGATGTTTGCTTGCAACATAATTAAAAACAAAAAATTATATTCCATATAAAGGGCTAATTTGAGAAAAATAACAATATATGCAAATCATAAACTTACGATGGCGGAAGACGGCGGACGACGGCGAGAACGGAGACGGACAGACGGTGCAAAAGCCGCTTTAAGAAGCCATAGCCACCGCCACGGAGACCGCAAAATCGAAGAAGCAGGAGATCCAAGCAAGGGTGTAGACTCAATCAGCTCTCTACCTGATGAGATCCTCCAAAGTATACTCTCCTTTATACCAACCAAGATAGCCATCAGAACTTCCATCTTGTCCAAACGGTGGAGGCATGTATGGTCCGATACACCTTCCCTCTCCTTCCATTTCGTACTTCATAGGCCGGAAGCTGATTCGATAAACAAAACCCTAGATCGCTACACGGCTCGCAAGATGATGTGTTTCCGGCTCTGTACCAGCATGATAGACTATATTCCTCACATTGACAGGTGGAACAAGCTCGCCATGTCCTGAAACGTGGAGAGTATGTCGCTGAGTTACGGTTTTGATGTTCCTGATTACTTCTGCATCAATAACTCTGTGAAACAACTCGATGTTGTACTATTTTATTTTTATTTGGAGAGTCCCAGTCGTTCCGTGTCTTGGGCATCTCTGAAGATGCTGTCCTTGCGTCGGTGCAGGCTCTCTCGCGTATGCATTGATCAGATTTTATCTGGCTGTCCCATTCTCGAGAGCTTAAAGCTGTATTTCTGCGATGAACTTAGGGTTCTTGATGTCAGGAAATCGCAGAGTCTGAGAACATTAGAAATCGACCGCAACATTAGGGTTCCGGGTCCGACGCAGATTGTTGCGCCGCAAATCCATTGCCTCAATTTGCGCAACTCTCAGTTACCATGTACTCTTGTTGATGTCTCGTCCTTAACCGAAGCTAGTCTATATGTTTGCTTTTCCTCAACTAAAAAACTGACAGCTGATTTTCTGCAATACACGTTTCTAAAGATGCTAGACAAGTTGCAGAATGTAGATAAGTTTACTTTCGGGGCAAACTTTCTTGAGGTATGTTTTCGTGTATTCCAAGGTAGGTCTGTTGCAGAATCACTCCACTATTAATTGTAGCATCAGTCTTTGATAGCCAATGGACTAGTTTTTTCATTACGCTTTGATTTCCAATAAGTATATGTCTTATGCACTCTGTTTGTAAGTCTATGTTAATATTGTTATATGGCATATATGCACTCTCTGAGAAGTCACTATAGATGTTTGTAGAATAACTAATTCTTGTCTTTCTATGGTTAAAGCTCTAATTTTATTTATTTATTAATACCTCCTTGAGATTTGTGTTTCGATATTTACTACATGTCTGTGATTTTTTTTGTTAGATTTTATCTCTTGCCGAGCTTAGTGGTGTTTCTTTTCCGAGCTTCAAGGTCAAAGATTTGACGTTTAAGACAATGGTCTCTCAATATGTAGTTCCTGGCTTAGTAAGGTTGTTACAAAACTCACCCGAATTGAAGAAGCTAACAGTACGCACAAGGAAACCCGGCACCACACCAGTATATTAGCCTCTTTTTATTTTCCTTAACCAATCCATATCTTCTTTCACTTTTGTGCAATCTGAAATTCTGAAAATCTGTTTGCATAATCGAAAACCTTTTTATGTTGTACAGGAGAGACTGATCATTGACAAGTACTTGGAATTGCAAGGCTTGAATCCGGATCAATGGTGGAGCTCGGAAGCGAGGGTCGTCGATAAGGTTGCTTCGTTCATGGAGCTCATGCTTAAAAGATCAAAGACGTTAGAGAAGATGGTCGTAAAGTTGGAAGGTTATCTTGAAAGAGAACATTTTGAAGAGTTGCTTGGGATGGTTCCAATGCTCTCTCACAACAACAACAATGTCTCCATTGTGCTTAGCAGCTGAACCAAATATAGTATGATGGTTATGTCTTGAATGGAGTTGGACATCTAACATAAAAATCTACTAGATGAAAACTTTTCTTTATTTTGTAGGAAATAATTATGACATTTATTGGATTTAAGTTTTGAAATTAAAGATTTGATTACTCAAGATTCAAGAGATAGTGGGCAGATTTGTGATTCATTGTGCTTAGCAGGTGAAAACTTTGCTATATATTGTATGAAATCATTATGACATTTATTGGATTAAAGTTTTGAATTTATATATTTTCTCTTCATAATTTCAAACCTTTAATTATATAAATTAATTAGTAGTTAAAGTAAATTTATATATGCTTCTTCAAGTTTTTGGAATGTAAAATCAGTGATACGCTTCCATGGCGATCTGCTTCATTCTCTACGCCCTTCCTCACATTATTCTTCGAGTTTAAACAGAGCTTTTAGCTGGTTGTATGGGATGGTTGGCTCGTGCACTCATCTAGCTATCTCTTCAATCATAATTAATTTATAATCATAATTAATTTATAATTGTTTATTCTTGGTGCCTTTAGTCACGATAGATGTTTGTATAAAATGACATCGTCGTCAGTAGATACATTAAGATGGCGAACGAGGGCCGAGACAAAGATGGAGATCGACGTAGAAAAAAAACACTTTTGCTTGTTTTTGTTATTGACGGTCAATGTACGTCGTTAACGTGACAAATTTTAATGATTTAGCAACCAACAATGTAAAACTAAGAAAAAAAAGAGAAAAAGAAAAGAGCTGCAGCTTAGTAGATTATCGTATTTAAGTTTAAAAAAAAAAGATAAACCAGTCTAGAAAATTTCAGAAAACAGAAGCAATTCTTGTAAACAAGGTTTTTTGGGTTTGAATAAATTTAACTTTCATTCAAAAAAAATATGTAAAACTTCATAATCTTTACTGCTCATCTTCGTCATTAGAGTCATATTCGTTTCCTAATCTGGACACAGTGTCTAGATACTTCATTTAGATACCATATTTGGACGCATCATCCAGATGTTCGTTTGTGTTTTTGATTAATGTATCTAAATATTATAACTGGATATATTTATGTTCGTTTATGTATCTGTATCTACATCTGGATGCAGTTAAAAAAAATGATTGAAAAAACCTATTTCACTACTTTTACGTGAAAACAATTTTTTAATATTTTTTAAAAAATAATTAATCTTCAAAAATTTACGGTTTTGGCAGAAAACAGAATTTATAGATATGACGGAAAATGCAGTTTTATGGTTTTCTCGTAATTTTACGATTTTGGTAGGAAAACAAAATTTTACGGTTTTCTCATGATTTTACGGTTTTGGCGGAAAAATGAAATTTTACAGGTTTCTAGTAATTTTACGATTTTAGCGGGAAAATGTAATTTTATAGTTTTGGCGGTAAAATGAAATTTTACGTTTTTTTCGTAATTTTACGGGAAATGGAATTTTACGGTTTCTCGTAATTCTACGGTTTTGGCGGGAAAATAAAATTTTACAGTTTTGGTGAAAAACAGAATTTTACAGTTTTGGCGAGAAAACGTAATTTTGCGGTTTTGGGAAAACAGAATTTTACGGGTTTCTCGTGATTTTACGGTTTTGGCGAAAATTTTTTTTTTTACGGTTTTCTCGTGATTTAAGGGTTTTGGCAGGAAAACAAAATTTTATGGGTTTCTCGTGATTTTACGGTTTTGGCAAAAAAATAAAATTTTACGGTTTTCTCGTGATTTTACAGTTTTGGCGGGAAAACGGAATTTTACGGGGTTTCTCGTGATTTTACGGTTTTGACGGGAAAATGAAATTTTACAGTTTTGGCGGGAAATTTTACGGTTTTGGTGGAAAAACAGAATTTTACGATTTTCTCGTGATTTAACGGTTTTTGCGGGAAAACGGAATTTTATGGGTTTCTCATGATTTTACGGTTTTGACGGGAAAACGGAATTTTACGGGTTTCTCGTGATTTTATGGTTTTGACGGGAAAATAAAATTTTACGGTTTTGACGGAAAAATAAAATTTTACAGTTTTGGAGGGAAATGAAATTTTATGGTTTTTGTGGGAAAACAGAATTTTACGATTTTTCGTGATTTTACGGTTTTGGCGGGAAAACGTAATTTTACGGGTTTTCCATGATTTTACAGTTTTGGCAAAAAAACGTAATTTTACTGTTTTGATGAAAAAATAAAACTTTGTGGTTTTGGCAAAAATGTAAATTATGAGTTTTGGCGAAAAGATAATTTGCAATTTTGGTGGAAAAATAAAATTTGGGAATTTTCAGAATTTAGGGTTTTTATGAAATTTATTATTTAGAATATATTGATATGTAATTGTTTAAATTAGATAGAGTTATTTTAGACATTTATAATTTTTGGATGAAATATTTCTATTTAGACTCTACTTTCATTTGCATCTGAAATATCTGTATCTAGACTCTACTTTCATTACATCTGAAATATCTGGTTTTTTTTATGAGTTTGATATATGTATCCAACTACTGCATCTAATTCATGTAATTAACTGTTGCAAAACGAACAATATCTTGTATTTGCAGTTAGATACAGCAGCCAGATAAGGAAACGAACAACACCTAGCTCATTAACGCCAACAACTATAAAATGAACATATATTTAATATACAATAAACCTACGCAGAAGTTAGAACATACATATGCTGCCCAAGGGGCAAGGGAGACCCATGTAACCATGTTGAGTAGAGTAGATTCATTTGTACCCGCTTGAGTAGAGTAGATTCATTTGTACCCGCTTTAATTTGTATAATAACGTTTTCTACGTAAATATACAAACAGTGGTTGGTTAAAATAGGAATATATCATTTCCTTTTGTATGAGTTTTCAATTTTGTAGGCACATCAAATATATGTGCTCAAAATTTAGCATATACTGTACGTACTTAACCCGTCCCAAAACTAGCATGTACGTACATGATTTTTAATTTTTATCTTAAATTTCTCAAATTTTTTAAAAACATTCATTTTGGATAGATTTTGAAGCGTTCCAAAATTAACCCTAATCCAACTTAGTAAAGTTAAATTTTCTAAATTTCTTGAACTTACCCGTTCAGTTACCCAAAATTTAAGAAAAAACAGAAAATTTGCAAATCATAAACTGATAAACCTATGATGGCGGACGGCGCGGCCGCCGCTTTAAGAAGCCATGGCCACCGCCACGTGTAAAGAAAACATCGATAGTGCCAAGCACTAGCCCAAGACCGTAATACCCGAGAGATCCGAAAGAAACAAAGACCCTCTAAGTATGAATAATAAGATGAAAAAATACTTAGAGAAAACTTGAAGGAACTTTAGAGAGAATAAGAGAACTTATGAAGAACACTCTTTCTTTATTTGTTCAACTTCTCTTGTTTACAAATGATGGAGTAGTGGGCTATTTATAGGCTCCACTTATTACAAAATATCTTACAAACATTCTCCTAATCTCTAGAATTTTCTACAATAATATCTAAAATTTTAACTACAACATCTAGAATTATCTATAGAATTATCTAGATATTTAACTAATAGAATTCTCTAGAACATTTAAGAAAGATGATGATTTTTAGTAATGTTTCTAGAGATTCTAGAACTTGAGCTTAATTTTAGGCCTAATCTAATAACTAATAATTATTTTATAAACCCAAAATTAAGCTTAACCCAAAATCAAGTTTAACTTCAATACTCCCCTTTAAACTTGATTTTGTCAGTCATCCCGAGCTTCGAGCGAAGTAACTCGAACTGACCTTTTGGTAATGACTTGGTGAAGATATCCGCAACGTTGTCCTCGCTTCGAACTTCCAAAGCTTCAATTGTCCCATCAAGCACCTTCTCTTTTATGAAGTGATGCTCTAACTCAATGTGTTTAGTCCTCCCATGGAACACCGGATTATTAGCCAGCTTGATCGCACTTTGATTATCTCCATAAATTGCAATTGGCTTATTGATTGGCTCGAACAGATCTTCAAGGAGTCTCTGAAGCCAAATACACTCTTGGGCTGCTAGAGTTGACGCTTTATACTCTGCTTCAGTTGTAGATAACGACACCGTTGCTTGCTTCTTACTGCACCATGAGACACTTGTGTTCCCACATAGGAAAACATAGCCTGAAGTTGATTTCCGATCATCAAGATCTCCACCAAAGTCAGCATCCGTGAAGCCATAAAGAGAGACCTTGGCATTATACTTGTACACCAGACCCATGCCAAGAGTTGTCTTCACATACTTCAATATCTTCTTTGCCGCTTCTAGATGTGGCTTCCTTGGTGCCTGCATAAACCGACTTACAAGACCTACCGCGAAGGCAATGTCAGGTCTTGTAATGGTTAAGTATAAAAGACTTCCTACAAGAGAGCGATAAGGCCGAGGATCAGGTAGTAAGGACCCTTCATCGCGTTTAAGCTTTATGTTGACATCCATTGGAGTAGAGCGTGTCTTTCCTTCGTGTACTCCAAACTTCTCAACGATTCTTCTTGCATAGCTTTGTTGGCCGATGAATATTCCACCCTTTACCCTTTCCACCTCCAAACCGAGAAAGTTGTTGAGCTCTCCCAACTTCTTCATCTCAAACCTTATCGACATATCCTCTTGTAAACGAGTAATTTCTGCATCATCATTCCCGGTAATTAGCATATCATCCACGTAAAGGAGAACTACCACGTGGACTCCTCCATTCTTCTTGAAGAATAGACTCGGATCAGAGTTTGATGCCACATAACCGCAGAACTGAAGAAACTGAGCAAGCTTTCCATACCAGGCTCGTGGAGCTTGTTTTAACCCATACAAGGCCTTCTTCAGCTTACACACATAATCAGGATGCTCTCGTGATATAAAACCAAGTGGCTGCTCCATCAGGATTTCCTTGTCAAGCTCTCCATATAGAAAAGCATTCTTCACGTCTAATTGCCATAACTTCCAACCAAAACTTGCAGCCAAAGATAAGAGAGAACGTACCGTAGTCATCTTGGCTACAGGGCTGAAGGTCTCATCATAGTCTTCTCCATACTTTTGAGAGAATCCCCGAGCAACCAACCTTGCTTTGAATCTATCAACGCTTCCATCTGTTTTGCGCTTGATCCGGTACACCCATTTACAAGAAACAGGTTGGGCATTCTTGGGTTTTGGAACCAAATCCCAAGTTTCGTTCTTCATGAGAGCATTCATCTCCTCCTTCATTGCGTTTTCCCACTCGTCAACACCTTTTGCTTCATCATAAGATGTTGGCTCATCTTCATCTAATGGAGCTGCAAAGTAGCACGAGAAGGTAGTAACAAATTTTGGATCTCTGAACCGAGCAGGTTTAATGATGTCCCTTTTAGGCCTTTGACTAGCCGTGGAACCATGATGTTCCTCCTCATCCTCCTCTTGATCAGTGCTCCCCCTTTCACCTTGCATCTCTTCTTCAGGACCTTTTTCCTTACTCAGAGCTGGTTTATCACTCTTGGAGGAACTCCCACCTTCTTGCTCAACTAAAACTTGAGGTGGCCCATAGAATGAGGAAACTTCATCAAAAACAACATCTCGAGACACTACGTACCTGTGTGTCTCTGGATCCATACACCTCCACCCTTTTCTTTGTTCGTCATAGCCAACGAAGATGCACTTCTTCGCCTTTGCCTCCAACTTGGTTCTTTGAGAATCAAACACATGGACGTAGCAGACTGATCCAAATATCCTGAGATGTTTCACTGACGGCTTCTTCCCATGAATCATCTCATACGGAGACTTCATGTTATTTGGGCTGAGTGGCATCCGATTTATGACGTACACTGCGCATCTCATGTCTTCCGCCCACAAGGCTTTAGGCAGATCCTTCCCATATAGCCAGCTTCTGCACGTCTCAGTTAGATGTCGAATCTTCCTTTCCGCTACTCCATTTTGTTGAGGTGTATACGGACAAGTAAACTCTCTCTTTATTCCATGCTTTTGACAAAAAGAGAGAAACTCCTTGGACATGAACTCCCCTCCATTATCTGTCCTTAAGGTCTTGATTCTCCGACCCAGCTCCCCTTCCACGGTAACCTTGAATTCTTGAAATTTGGAGAATACTTCTGATTTTTCCTTCACAAAGTATACCCAAGTGTGCCGTGAGAAGTCATCAATGAACAGCAACATGTACCGAAACCCGGAATATGAGGGTGTTCTTGTAGGACCCATCAAATCACTATGGATCCTCTCCAACAGAGCACTGCACCGTGAAGTAGAATTGTCAAATGGAAGTCTATGTGATTTTCCATATTGACAACCTTCACAAAGCTTTCCTTCATCTTGGATCTTCAGCTTCGGAAGCCCATTTACCAACTCCTTATTCACCATAACCTTTAGCTTAGTCATGTTTATATGACCAAGCCGAGCATGCCATATAGAGGCATTGTCGTTTGTACTCATCTTCTCCACGTATGAGTTGGACGCAGATAAGACATATAGATCCTTAACCCGCGATCCGGTGTACCACCACATCCGCCTTTAACTCTTTAATATTCTTCAAGAATTTGACGTCTCTTGGGCCAAATAAAACGTAGTTACCTGAGTCTACTGCATTCACCACAGAGAGAAGATTCTTCCTTACTCCAGGGACATGGTATACATTCTTGAGGGTGATAGGGCTTTCATCTTCTCCTTCAATGACAACAGTCCCTTCCTTCTCGACCCGGTGAACTGAATTATCCGCGGTAATTATGGCTTCTTTTCCATCATGGCGCTGAAGACTAGAAAATAGCTTCTCGTCTCCGGTAATATGGTGGCTACAACCCGAATCCACAATCCAATCATTTTCAAGATTTTTAGTTGTGGATATACCTGAAGATGCAGCCTCCACCATGAAGCATTTCCCCCATTCTTCGTCTTCAATATGACCTTTTGATTCTGCCATATTTGTCTCCTTCAGCTTGACTCGACAATCCTTTTTGAAGTGCCCAAGCTTTCCACACCGGTAGCACTTGAATCGCTTCTTATCTCCAGTAGAAGATCCTTCCGGTCCATCGATGTTCTTTGCACCATCGTATTTGGATTTGGCTTTGAAGTTGTGTTGCTTCCGAGCTACAAAGGCGCTCCCCGAGTCATCATGGATTTTGACTCCTGCCATTTGCGTAGCTAATGACTCTTGCGAAGCTAGCAGGTTCTCGAACTCCTCCAAGGAAGGTTGTGTAGCCCATCCTTGAACCGAAGTCACAAACGGTGTATACTCAGGTCGTAGACCTCGAATAATATACCGTTTTAAACGTGCTTCGGAAATTGACTCCTCCGGATTTAGAGTATTAATCTCTGAGCGAAGATTCTTTACCTTGATGAAAAACTCTGAGATTGAAGACTCCCCCTGCTTTGCATTCGCCAACTCGTTCTCTAACAGTTGTAGCCGAGCTTCATTCTTCTTGTTGAACAACTGATCTAACGCCTGCCAAATGGAACTAGCGGATGTGCAACTTGAGACATGCTCAAAGACTCCCGAGGATATTGACCTCTTCAATGCAAACTCCGCCTTGGCATTCTTCCGTGTCCACTCCTTTGTCGCTTCCGCTGTCGCAGCAGCTCCCCTTGGTGGTGTTGTGCTACTGTCGCCGACGACATCCCATAAGTCCTCACTCACCAAGTATGACTCCATGCATGACTTCCATAACCGGTAATTGGATTGGTTTAGAATCTCCATTCCCAACCCAACAACGCGACCCATTGACTCCATACTTAGAGTAAATCTGAGATCTCAATTAATCCGATCTTGAAAAAGAACCAGATCAGAATGGCTCTGATACCATGTAAAGAAAACACCGATAGTGCCAAGCACTAGCCCAAGACCGTAATACCCGAGAGATCCGAAAGAAACAAAGACCCTCTAAGTATGAATAATAAGATGAAAGAATACTTAGAGAAAACTTGAAGGAACTTTAGAGAGAATAAGAGAACTTATGAAGAACACTCTTTCTTTATTTGTTCAACTTCTCTTGTTTACAAATGATGGAGTAGTGGGCTATTTATAGGCTCCACTTATTACAAAATATCTTACAAACATTCTCCTAATCTCTAGAATTTTCTATAATAATATCTAGAATTTTAACTACAACATCTAGAATTATCTATAGAATTATCTAGATATTTAACTAATAGAATTCTCTAGAACATTTAAGAAAGATGATGATTTTTAGTGATGTTTCTAGAGATTCTAGAACTTGAGCTTAATTTTGGGCCTAATCTAATAACTAATAATTATTTTATAAACTCAAAATTAAGCTTAACCCAAAATCAAGTTTAACTTCAATACCACGGAGACCCCAAAATGGAAGAAGCAGGAGATCCAAGCAAGGGTCTGGACTCAATCAGCTCTCTGCCTGATGAGATCCTCCACATTATCCTCTCGTCTCTTCCGACCAAATTCGCCATCAGAACTTCCATCTTGTCCAAACGATGGAGGCATGTATGGCCCGATACACCTTCCCTCTCCTTCGATTGGTGGCATATTCATATGCCGGAGGCTGATCCGATAAACAAAACCCTAGATCGTTACATGGCTCGCAAGATGATGTGTTTCCGGCTCTGTACCAGCATGATAGACTATATTCCTCACATTGACAGGTGGATCAAGCTCGCCATGTCCCGAAACGTGGAGAGTATGTCGCTGGAATTCGGTTATCATGGTGACCATAAGTATCATGTTCCTGAATTCTTCTACATCAATAACTCTGTGAAGCAACTCAGTGTTCAGTTAAGGTTTTATGGTTTGACGATTCCCAGTTGTTCCGTGTCTTGGACATCTCTGAAGATGCTGTCCTTGCGTTGTTGCACGCTCTCTGACGAGGACATTGATAAGATTCTATCTGGCTGTCCGATTCTTGAGAGCTTAAAGCTGTATTTCTGCGATAACTTAGGGTTCTTGATGTCAGGAAATCACAGCGTCTGAGAACATTAGAAATCGACCGCAACATTTGGGTTCCGGTCCGACGCAGATTGTTGCGCCGCAAATCCATAGCCTCAGATTGCGCAACTCTCAGTTACCATGTACTTTTGTTGATGTCTCGTCTTTAACCGAAGCTAGTCTAGATATTTGCTTTTGCTCACTTGAAGATCTAAAGGCTGATTTTCTTCAAGTCATGTTGCTAAAGATGCTAGACAAGTTGCAAAATGTAGATAAGCTTACTTTCGGGGCAAACTTTCTTGAGGTATGTTTTCGTGTATTCCAAGGGAGATGTTGCATAATCACTTACTTTACTATCAATGTAGCATCATCAGTCTATGATAGCCAATGGACTAGTTTTCATTAGGCTTTGATTTTCAATAAGTCTATGTTAATATGTTATTATGTACTCTCTTAGAAGTCACTATAGATGTTTGTAAAAAAGTGATCAATAATTCTTGTATTTTCATGCTTAAACTCTTTGTTATTAAGTATCTTCTTGAGATTTTTGTTTTGGTATTTACTGTCTCTTTGTGCTTTTTGGGTTAGATTTTATCTATTGCCGAACTCCGTGGTGTTCCTCTTCCGAGCTTCAAGGTCAAAGATTTGTCGATTAGACAATAGTCTCTCAATATGTAACTCCAGGCTTAGTAAAGTTGTTACAAAACTCACCTGAACTGAAGAACCTAACAGTTCGCACAATGGATTCCGGCACCATACCAGTATATTTCTCCATTAGCCTCTTTTATTTTCCTTAACCAAACCATATCTTCTTTCACTTTTGAGTTTGTACATTTGTTTGCATAATCGAAAACCTTTTTTTATGTCGTACAGGAGACATATATCGACGACTACTTGAATTCGCGAGGCTTGAATCCGGATCAATGCTGGAGCTGGGAAGCTAGGGCATTCGAGAAAGTTTACCGTTGGAATGTAGAGTCGAAGCACGTGGCTTCGTTCATGGAGCTCATGCTTAAAAGCACAAAGACATTAGAGAAGATGGTCGTAAGGTTGAAAGGTTATCTTGAAAGAAGACGTTTTGAAGAATTACTTGAGATGGTTCCAATGCTCTCTCACAACAACAACAATGTCTCCATTGTGCTTAGCAGCTGAACCAAATGGTATTTTGTAGGAAATAATTATGACATTTATTGGATTTAAGTTTTGAATTTATATTTTTCCCTTCTCATAGTTTTAAAAAGTTAATATATCAGAAATCAATTATCTGAAATTAAAGTTTTGACTAAAAAAGAGATAAGAGCATATTTGTAAATCATTCAAAACTGCATGTATTTTCTATAATATTTGAAAAGATGATTAACGATGAAATGAACAAAATATTTGTTCAAGTATTTTTTTATTGTATAGACTTATATCCGCGCATACGCGCAGATTTTTTCTAAAATATATTTTATTATAAATAATACAATATTTTCATTTGAATTTCATACCTTATAAATTCTTTTTTAAATAATGTATATTTACTAAATGTAATGAACTTCTTTATATATTAGAGTTTAATTTATAACATTATATGCTATTTTTAGGGGAGCCTATCATTTTATAGATATCGATAAAACATAGTTATCCAATACAATTTTATATATTTATCACCAGAGCTCCATAGACCCGACAAGATTTATTTATATTCCTTTACCAACACTTTTGTCAAATTTTATCTTTTTATTTTCTACTTTGGCATGAAGTAGTTTTACCTGATTTTATTATATCTTAAATATTCTTTATTTCAAATGTAATTTTTTAATATGGATCTGATTATTTGTAGATAAATTAATTCAGTTTTTCAACTTTAATATATAAACAAATAAACTTTTCATATTCTCAAAATGCATTAATAAAAATAATTAAGATTATTTTTTGTGGTATTAATATTAAGTTGACACTTATCACGATAAAACCGATTTATATGCATATACCAACACCTTTGTCAAATTATCTTTAAATCTTCTACTTTGGTATAAATTAATTTCATCTGATTTTATTATATCTTATATATTCTTTATTTCAAATTTAATTTTCAATATGAATTTGATTATTTGTAGATAAATTAATTCAGTTTTACAATTTTAATATATAAATAAATAGACTTTTCATATTCACCAAATGCATTAAGTTGATATTTGTCACTTAGAAATTCATCTGAAATGATGATGTGTCAAGCTGTGGGAGAGGGCTCACCTCTATTCATAAATATGATTTAAGAGTTCTGAATTTTTTAAAATTGAACAATTGAGAATCCAAATTTTAAGATTTACAATTAAGTTTGATTTTTTTTATAAAAAAAACCTGATCTAAAAAAAGAGTTCAGATTGCTTCAGCCTCAATACTGTTGTACAAGTAGGTGAATGTTTTCAGCAATTAACACTGATGATGTTTTGTAATACTGTTATAAACTGTTCCCTAGCTGATGTTTTGTAATACTGTTATAAATGTAAACATTCATGCTATTTTCCTCCATTAAAAAAAAGTTTTTTAATAAAAACCTTCTTGACCAGTGATGAGTTCCTGACTCGCAGAAACAGTAAACTATAAGATATAATATTATAATTTTCAAAACAATATTATTTTTGGTAAGTTTCTAATTGTTTACATGTGATTGACAATTAGAATTAGAGTAATCTAAGATTAAATTATTTTAAATGTGTTTGGTAATAGGTATATATAAATTAAATAAAGAAAAAACAAAACTCTAAATCAGTTACATATAAATCAAATGACAATGCTACCTTTTATGATTTTTTAGAGAAAATACTAAAATTTAGTGGCATTGTATGTGATAAAATAACATATATGTTTTGTGTTTAAACATTTAAGGTGGGGGTATTGGATTCAGAAATTAGATTGAATTGTAAAGAATTAAAAATTCTATTAGATACTAGTGTTATTCAATGATATATTTTATTATTTTTTTAAATATCTGTGTTATTAGATTAAGTATTTTTATTCATTCAAAATTCTTTAAATATCATTGTTATTTAATATACTAATTTCTCAATTCTATTAAACATCTGTGTTATTCAATTTTGTAGTAGCTTTGATTGTATTATCATTTGAAAGAAATTTAATAGAATCTCACATAAAAATTGTAAAGAACCATATCATACAATTTTTACTATGATTTTGATAGAATTAGTTTAAATTCCAATAAAACACTTGAAATTACTTAAAATCAATTATTTTTGAATTCTTGTACATTCTATCTATTTCAATGATCCAATACCATCCTCTAAGTATTCCTAAATTAGTAGTATTGATAAGCCATTATTACAGTATACAAAAAAAATAGTAATTTATTTTGTAATTGGAGAAAGAAAGACTTACTTGGACAAGTGATGAGTTTTTGTCTTTTTGTGTTACAGATTTTCAACGGAGCGGAGATGGGCGAGAAGGAGCCGATCCTTGCGGTATGCTGTGCACTAGCTCTCTAAGATACATGAAGATGGCGAACGAGGGCCTAGACAGAGATGGAGAAGATGGTCGTAAGGTTTGATGGGCTTTTAAAACCCAGTAGTATTTTGGGGATGTTTGCTTGCAACATAATTAAAAAACAAAAAATTCTATTCCATATAAAGGGCTAATTTGAGGAAAATAACAATATATGCAAATCATAAACTTACGATGGCGGAAGACGGCGGACGACGGCGAGAACGGAGACGGACAGACGGTGCGAAATTCGCTTTAAGAAGCCATAGCCACCGCCACGGAGACCGCAAAATCGAAGAAGCAGGAGATCCAAGCAAGGGTGTAGACTCAATCAGCTCTCTACCTGATGTGATCCTCCAAAGTATACTCTCGTCTCTTCCGACCAGCATGGCCATCAGAACTTCCATCTTGTCCAAACGATGGAGGCATGTTTGGTCCGATACACCTTCCCTATCCTTCGATTTCACACTTCATAGGCCGGAAGCTGATTCGATAAACAAAACCCTAGATCGCTACACGGCTCGCAAGATGATGAGTTTCCGGCTCTGTGCCAACACGAGCTGCTATACTCCTCACATTGACAGATGGATCGAGTTCGCCATGTCCCGAAACATGGAGAATATGTCGCTGCAATTCCGTAATCATGGTGGCGATAAGTATCATGTTCCCGATTTCTTCTACATCAATAACTCTGTGAAGCAACTCAGTGTTCATTTAATGTTTTATGGTTTGAGAATTCCCAGTTGTTCCGTGTTTTGGACATCTCTGAAGAAGCTGTCCTTGCATGTCTCTGACGAGGGCATTGATAAGATTCTATCTGGCTGTCCGATTCTCGAGAGCTTAAAGCTGTATTTCTGCAATGAACTTAGGGTTCTTGATGTCAGGAAATCGCAGCGTCTTAGAACATTAGAAATATCCTGCAGCCATTGGGTTCCGGGTCCGACGCAGATTGTTGCGCCGCAAATCCATTGCCTCAGATTGAAAAACTATCTGTTACCATGTACTTTTGTTGATGTCTCGTCGTTAACCGAAGCTAGTCTAGATTTATGCTTTTTCTCAACTGAAAAACTGACAGCTGATTTTCTGCAAGACATGTTTCTAAAGATGCTAGTTAAGTTGCAGAATGTAGATAAGCTGACTTTCGGGGCGAGCTTTCTTAAGGTATGTTTTCGTGTATTCCGACATTCTTGCGTTTTCTAATACCTAGATATCGCATAATCACTTACCTTACTATTAATGTACCATCATCAGTCTATGTTAGTTTTCATTAGGCTTTGATTTTCATCAAGTCTATGTTAATATGTTATTATATATGCACTCTCTGAGAAGTCACGATAGATGTTTGTAATAATTCCTGTCTTTCGATGCTTAAACTCTTTTTATTTTATTTTTTTGTCAACCCTTAAACACTTTTTATTATCTTCTTGAGACTTGTGTTTTGGTATTTACTGTTTCTCTGTGCTTTTTGGGTTAGGTTTTATCTATTGCCGAGCTCCGTGGTGTTCCTTTTCCGAGCTTCAAGGTCAAAGATTTGACGTTTGATGCATTAGTCTCTCAATATGTAACTCCAGGCTTAGTAAGGTTGTTACAAAACTCACCTGAACTGAAGAAGTTAACAGTACGCACAATGGATTCCAGCACCATACAAGTATATTTTCCCATTAGCCTCTTTTATTTTCCTTAACCAAACCATATCTTCTTTCACTTTTGAGTTTGTACATCTGTTTGGATAATCGAAAACCTTTTTGTTATGTCGTAAAGGAGGCATATATCCACGACTACTTGAATTCGCAAGGCTTAAATCTGGATCAAAGCTGGAGCTCGGAAGCGAGGGTCATCGAGAACGTTTGGAATGTAGAGTCGAAGCACGTGGCTTTGTTCATGGAGCTCATGCTTAAAAGCACAAAGACATTAGAGAAGATGGTCGTAATGTTGAAAGGTTATATTGCAAGAAGAAAATTTGAAGAGTTACTTGAGATGGTTCCAATGCTCTCTCACAACAACAACAATGTCTCCATTTGCTTAGCAACTGAACCAAATATAATATGATGGTTAAGTCTTGGATGGAGTTGGACATCTAACATAAAAATCTACTAGATGAAAACTTTTCTATATATTGTAGGAAATAATTATGACATTTATTGGATTTAAGTTTTGAATTTTTATATATTTTCTCTTCATAGTTTTAAATCTTAATATATCAGAAATTAATTATCGGAAATTTTTTTTTTTTTGAACTTTCGGAAATTAAAATTAAAATTTTGACTAATCAAGATTCAAAAGATAGGGTGCAGATTTATGATTCATTCAAAGTCGTTTTCTACAATATTCGGAAAGATAATTAACGATGAAATGAACAAAATGCTTGTTCGAGTTTATTTTTATTGTATTTAAAGGTCCTGAATTTTTTCAAATTGTATAATACTGAGAGTCCAAACATAAAGGTTTAGATGTATATAAAGGTTTCATACATGATTGATTTATATTTATACTTCTTAGAAATATCAAGAAGATCAAGGTGCCCTTAGCTTGCGACTTTGTTTCCTAATCATTTTGAATTTTTTTTTTTGACAATTTGAAATTCAGTCCGTTCAGTGATTTATCATTTGAACATTCTATTGAGTACTAAGTGACACAAATGAGAGGATCAAATGAAGTTCTTATGCACAAGACATATGTTTTCATTTGGCTTTGACTCAATCATCTTTTTGCTTAAAACCAAAAATACATTAAAGAAGATGGTCGTAAGGTTTGAAGGTTATTTTGAAAGAAGAGGTCTTGAGGAAATGCTTGAGATGAGGAAATGCTTGAGATGGTTCAGTTTCTTCCCTGGGAAACTGGAAACTGGTGACCATAAAAGTAACAATAAGAATAAATAGGAAAAGGAATGAAAAGAATAAAATAATATGAATTATTATTCCTTCTCATTTTTTATAGGGAATATATTAACATTATAGTTCCCTAAAACATAAAGAATGAGAAGGAATCATGGATACAATATATTCTTTTTAAATGGTGTAATTTTTAAGGAATAATAAGGAATTTAGTATTTCTTTCAATTCCTTATAATCACCAGTTAGAGCCAATGTCTCAGTTGTACTTACCTCAACTAATTCTGATCAGAGTAGGGTTTAGTCTTAAATTTTATTGCCCACCTTTTTCATCAAATTTAATAGGCTTCTAAAACCCAATATTTTGGAGATGTTTGCTAAAATCTCCATATAAAATTTGGGCAAGACACTAGAAATATTTATTTCTTTCAATATGTATATTTTTATTTCCATTTATTCTTTTTTATTTTGTATATTACACTTTTTTTTGTTCATTCCTATTTTTCTTACAAGGTTCACCTAGAGCAAAAAAAAAAAAACAGAAAAACTGTTCAATAGCTGATTTGAGAAAAAAAAAAAGAAATTGCAAATCCATAAACTTACGATGGCGTGCGACTGCGGAAACGGAGACGGTGCCACCACCGCTTTAAGAAGCCATGGCCACCGCCACGAAGACCCCATAATCGAAGAAGCAGGAGATCCAAGCAAGGGTGTAGACTCAATCAGCTCTCTGCCTGATGAGATCCTCCACATTATCCTCTCGTCTCTTTCGACCAAATTCGCCATCAGAACTTCCATCTTGTCCAAACGATGGAGGCATGTATGGCCCGATACACCTTCCCTCTCCTTCGATTGGCGTACGTGTATACACAAACCGAAAGCTGATTCGATAAACAAAACCCTAGATCGCTACACGGCTCGCAAGATGATTAGTTTCCGGCTCTGTGCCAGCATGAAAGACTATATGCCTCACATTGACAGATGGATCGAGTTCGCCATGTCCCGAGACGTGGAGAATATGTCGCTGAATTTGGATAATGGTGGTGACGATAAGTATCATGTTCCTGATTTCTTCTACACCAATAACTCTGTGAAGCAACTCAGTGTTGACCTAGGGTATTATGGTTTGAGGATTCCCAGTAGTTCCGTGTCTTGGACATCTCTGAAGAAGCTGTCCTTGCGTAATTGCAAGCTCTCTCGTGAATGCATTGATAAGATTTTATCTGGCTGTCCGATTCTCGAGAGCTTAAAGCTGTATTTCTGCAATGAACTTAGGGTTCTTGATGTCAGGAAATCGCAGAGTCTGAGAACATTAGAAATCGACCGCAGCTATTGGGCCCCGAGTCCAACGCAGATTGTTGCGCCGCAAATCCATTGCCTCAGATTGAGCAACTCTCAGTTACCATGTACTTTTGTTGATGTCTCGTCCTTAACCGAAGCTAGTCTACATATATGCTTTTCCTCAACTAAAAAACTTACAGCTGACTTTCTGCTAGACATGTTTCTAAAGATGCTAGACAAGTTGCAGAACGTAGATAAGCTGACTTTCGGGGCAAGCTTTCTTCTACATCAATAACTCTGTGAAGCAACTCAGTGTTAAGTTAAGTTTTTATGGTTTGACGATTCCCAGTTGTTCCGTGTCTTGGACATCTCTGAAAATGCTGTCCTTGCGTAGTTGCAAGGTCTCTGACGAGTGCATTGATAAGATTCTATCCGGGTGTCCGATTCTCGAGAGCTTAAAGCTGTATTTCTGCGATGAACTTAGGGTTCTTGATGTCAGGATGTCGCAGCGTCTGAGAACATTAGAAATCGACCGCAACATTTGGGTTCCGGGTCCGACGCAGATTGTTGCGCCGCAAATCCATTGCCTCAGATTGAGCAACTCTCAGTTACCATGTACTTTTGTTGATGTCTCGTCTTTAACCGAAGCTAGTCTAGATATTTGCTTTTGCTCACTTGAAGATCTAAAGGCTGATTTTCTTCAAGTCATGTTGCTAAAGATGCTAGACAAGTTGCAAAAATGTAGATAAGCTTACTTTCGGGGCGAACTTTCTTGAGGTATGTTTTCGTGTATTCCAAGGGAGATGTTGCATAATCACTTACTTTACTATCAATGTAGCATCATCAGTCTATGATAGCCAATGGACTAGTTTTCATTAGGCTTTGATTTTCAATAAGTCTATGTTAATATGTTATTATGTACTCTCTTAGAAGTCACACTATAGATGTTTGTAAAAAAATGATCAATAATTCTTGTATTTTCATGCTTAAACTCTTTTTATTATCTTCTTGAGATTTGTGTTTTGGTATTTACTGTCTCTTTGTGCATTTTGGGTTAGATTTTATCTATTGCCGAGCTCCGTGGTGTTCCTTTTCCGAGCTTCAAGGTCAAAGATTTGTGAATTGAGACAATAGTCTCTCAATATGTAACTCCAGGCTTAGTAAAGTTGTTACAAAACTCACCTGAACTGAAGAAGCTAACAGTTCGCACAATGGATTCCGGCACCATACAAGTATATTTCTCCATTAGCCTCTTTTATTTTCCTTAACCAAACCATATTTTCTTTCACTTTTGAGTTTGTACATTTGTTTGCATAATCGAAAACCTTTTTTTATGTCGTACAGGAGACATATATCGACGACTACTTGAATTCGCGAGGCTTGAATCCGGATCAATGCTGGAGCTCGGAAGCTAGGGCCTTCAAGAACGTTTACCGTTGGGATGTAGAGTCGAAGCACGTGGCTTCGTTCATGGAGCTCATGCTTAAAAGCGCAAAGACATTAGAGAAGATGGTCGTAATGTTGAAAGGTTATCTTGAAAGAAGACGTTTTGAAGAGTTACTTGAGATGGTTCCAATGCTCTCTCACAACAACAACAATGTCTCCATTGTGCTTAGCAGCTGAACCAAATCTAATTTGGTGGTTAAGTCTACTTGATAAGTTTTTTTTTTTTCTATTTTGTAGAAAATAAATTATGACGTTTATTTGGATTAAAGTTTTGAATTTATATTTTTTCTGTTCTTAATTTTCAACCTTAGCATCAGAAATTAACTATTAGTGAAGTGAAATTCTAATTTTTTGTTTTTGTTTTCGACTTATCCCCAAAAGTTTTAACTAATCAAAAGATAAGAGGCAGAATAGTGATTTCGTCATGGTCTATAGTGTTTTTCTACAACATTCGGAAAGATGAATCTAAATATAGAGTTATATTAGTCAGAAATAGAGTTTTTACATTTTAGCAAAGTTTTTTTATTTTTTTGTAGAATTTTAGGAAAGAATTATGACATTTATTGGATTAGAATTTCGTATTTATATATACTAGGCATTTACCCGCGCTATGCTACGAGATGTTTTTCTAAATTTTGTATATATTTTTAATATAATAAAATTATTTTTATAATGTAAATGAGTATTATATTTATTTTTTACTAGCTTAAGTTATGTATTTATATGTTTTATATCTGAATAAACATTATATTTTTTTATTTTTCAAAATTATAATTTGATATTAAATTTAGTTAGCTAACTAATTATAAATATATATATAGGAATAAAATATATAATAATAAAGCAATATTTTTTAGTACATTCAAGCTAATGGTAAATGTAATCTATTTTCTTCAATAAATTGCCATTTGATCCTCATTTATAATTATATAAAGCAAAATGCCATTAAAAAATATTTATTAATTAATATGATTATTTTAAATTATAAAATTTATTTATTTATCAAATATTTTATTATAAACATATGTTTCTAAAACTACCAAACTATAATCAATAATATTTATATCAAAATCATTGCTATTGTTTTAGAACTAAATAGAAAATTATGTTTGAACTCTTAAAATATCGTTTTAGTTAAAATTAATTAATTAAATTTTGGTTACTGTAAACATACTTTAACTTAAAAATTTTAGCACAGAGAAATTTCATCTTCTTACAAAAATCGAGAAATCGCATTTCTCGTCAAAATAAAAAAAACTTTATTTTCCCATTAAACTGAGAAATCGTCTATTCCCGCCAAAACCAAAAAATTCATTTTCTCGTCAAACCTAAAAACTAAAATTTTATTTTCCCACGAGACCCTGTATTTTTCCACCAAAGCCGAAAAATTACGTTTTTTTACAAAAACCAAAAAATTTCATCTTCTTGCAAAAACCAAAAAAAAATTGTAAATTCCCGCCAAAATCGAAAAATTTATTTTCCCTGCGAAAACTGAGAAATCGTCTATTCCTGTCAAAAGAAAAAAATATTTTTTTGCCAAGCCCAGAATCATGCTTTCCCACAAAAACAAATAAACTATAATTTTCCGCGAAAACTAAAAATTGCATTATTTCCCGTGAAATTGTGTTTTCCCGCGAAAACTAAGAAATTGTTATGTTTTACCGATTCAAATTTTTGCTGATGTGTGAGCTTCTTATAACATTAGGCTTTTTGCGTTGTTGTCATGGAAGCATAGTTGATGTTGAACCTACATTTTTTCAATCATTTACGTCTATGTCAAACAAATAGATAGCTATAATTTTTTTTATTATTTATTTGTTGTTATTTATTATTTGGTTTTGGCAAAAAAAAACAATGATTTAATTTTTCTATTTGTTTTTATTTATTGTTTGGATTTGGCAAAAAATAAAATAATAATTTTTTTATTTGATGTTATTAATTATTTGGGCTTGGATTTGGTAAAAAATAAAACAAAAATTAATAGAAAAATATTTGTATTTTTAATGGGTTTAAGTTTAAAAATTAAAATAAGTAGATGAAATGTATTAACAAAATGTTTTTATTGGTGATTATTTTTGCTGATGTGTCATATTTATAAAGCTTCAAAAAGTTTAGGTATTATTGTTGTGTTGATTTTCTCTTCGTAATTTTTTTTTGTCAACAACAATGATTTTCTCTTCATATTTTCTCTGGATTAGATAGAGGACATATTTGTGATTCGTTCAAAGTCATGGGTGTTTTCTACAATATTCGGAAAGATGATTAAACGATGAATTGACTTTGTTCTTCAAGTTTTTGGAATGTAAAATCAGCGATCGGCTTCCATGGCGATCTGCTTCATTCTCTATGCCTTCCTCACATTACTCTTCGCCGTATCACTGACTTTATCTCTCTCGGTGATCAACGCGAGAAAGCGCAGGAAAAGGGCGGTCGGATTCTTCCATCCGTACACGAACGACGGCGGCGGCGGCGAGAGAGTGCTCTGGTGCGCAGTTAAAGCCATCCAAGAGGAGACTCCCGATCTTGACTGTGTCGTCTTCACCGGTGATCATGACTCTTCTTCTGACAGCTTGGCTCGCCGCGCCGTCGATCGATTCGGTGTCCATCTTCTATTCCCTCCCAAGGTCCGATTACTCTCTCTGGACCTAATTTGCAGCAACTTCACTTTCCTCTTGCGTTTTCAATCCAAATTCGTACAAATCACATTCAGCTGAAGCTGATTCGTAATTCCTTTCCTATAGCATTGTATTGCATATAGAAACCTCTCAGTTTTAGGGGGCGGTTTTCGATTCTGGAAGTTGGAATTTTGATTTTAGTTTTGACGCAATTTCAATTTTTCGTCTTGTGTGTGTGTGTGTGGGTGGATCATCAGGTGATTCATCTCAACAAAAGGAAATGGATTGAAGAGAGCACTTACCCACATTTCACAATGATAGGTCAGAGTCTTGGCTCGGTTTATCTAGCGTGGGAAGCCTTGCGCAAGTTCACTCCTTTGTATTTCCTTGACACCAGTGGATATGCTTTCACGTATCCTCTTGCTCGCCTCTTTGGTTGCAAAGTTGTCTGCTACACTCATTACCCAACCATCAGTTTGGATATGATTTCTCGTGTCCGTCAAAGAAACTCCATGTATAACAACGACGCTTCAATCGCTAAGAGGTGGTTTCAGACCTTACAAAGTTTCTTCCTTTTTTTCGTTAGCTAAATGATATTTGTTTCTTTGATTGGTAGCAATTGGCTATCGACATGTAAAATAGTCTACTACAGAGCTTTTAGCTGGTTGTATGGGATGTTTGGCTCGTGCACTCATCTAGCTATGGTCAACTCTTCGTGGACAAAGTCCCATATCGAAGTGCTTTGGAGAATTCCTGAACGTATTAAACGGGTCTACCCACCTTGTGATACCTCAGGACTTCAGGTGTTTTAACCATCAGAAATCTCGAATCTTCATGATTTTTTTGTATGTCTTCTTTGGTATTTGTTTATAACAAATCTTGGGGTTAATAATGCACAGGCACTTCCTCTTGAAAGATCATCAGATCCTCCGATTTTCATATCTGTCGCTCAATTTCGTCCTGAGAAGGTGAGTGACACTTGTATATGACTTTTGAGAGTAGAGTAGTATAGTTTTTGATGGCTCACTTTCCAAAGATGTCAAAAGAGTTGTCCTGCTTACTCAATTACAGTCTTGTACCAGGCTCATATGCTTCAGCTCGAGGCCTTTTCACTAGCCTTGGAGAAGTTAGATGCGGACGTACCTCGGCCCAAACTCCAGTTTGTGGGAAGTTGTAGAAACGAATCAGATGAAGAACGGCTGCAGAAACTGAAAGACAGAGCAGTTGAGCTAAAAGTGGACGGGGACGTGGAGTTCTACAAAAACGCCATGTACAGGTGTTTGTTCAAAGCTCTTTTATGGCATTTTCTCTGTTCAAACTCGTGTCTCGGAGTTTCCATGATTCTTAGTTGTTGGCTTCGGATTTGCAGGGAACTAGTGGCACTGCTTGGAAATGCAGTTGCAGGAATGCATGGGATGATAGATGAACACTTTGGGATCAGTGTTGTTGAGTACATGGCTGCTGGTGCGATCCCAATAGGTCAGACTCTTGTAGATAGCGATTTTATCTCACAATGTCAGTTTCGCCTCAGCAAGTCCTTCTAATAATGGCTTCTCTTTTAACTTGTGCTGCAGCTCACAACTCGGCTGGACCCAAAATGGACATTGTGCTGGAAGAAGACGGACGAAGAACCGGGTTTCTTGCTGAGACGGTGGAGGAATACGCTGAAGCCATCCTTGAGATAGTGAAGATGAAAGAAACAGAGAGGCTTAAGATGGCTGAATCTGCTAGAAAACGAGCCACGAGGTTCTCTGAGCAACGGTTTTGTGAGGACTTCAAAACTGCGATTCGACCCGTTTTCACTGGTGCTCTCAAATGAAAGAAAAAAAAACTCTTAAACCCCTCCAAAATCTGCTTATGTAGCTTTTTTAAACGCAAAAGACTAGCTTAGGTCATATACCCTTTTTTATATTTTTCTTATAATTTTGTCTTTCTGGTTATTGGTCCCTTGTAACACTTTGCAGCAATTGCCTTTGCCTCGGCTAATCCGTTTTGGAGACGAATCATATACTATTGGTTCTGTTGTATGAAGGCTTTTTTTTTTAAGTCGTCAAAGGCTTTTTAAACCCTAGAAAAACATATTTGTACGCGGATAAAAAGGAAACTTGCATAAAAAGTTGTTTCGTGATAACCCTAACCATCAGTTTATTACTTCCCATGGCTGGCGATGGCGGAAACGGAAACGGAATCGGTGTGGACTCGATCAGCTCTCTGCCTGATGACATCCTCCACATTATCCTCTCTTCTATTCCGACCAAATTTGCCATCAGAACCTCCGTCTGGTCCAAACGATGGAGGCATGTATGGTCCGATACACCTTCTCTCTCCTTCGAATCGTGTGAGGATACTACGAGTGCTTATTCGGTAGACGAAACCCTAGCTCGCTACACCGCTCACAAGATGATGAGTTTCCATCTCTATACCTCCGTGATACTGGACGATGTTCCTTACATTAACAGGTGGATCGAGTTAGCCATGTCCCGAAACGTGGAGAGAATGTCGCTAGAGATACATGTTGATAATTATGGTTTTCCTGATCTCTTCTACATCAATTCCTCTGTCAAGCAACTCACCCTTAACTATTCAGACCTTTCTGATATGATGATTCCCCGTTGCTTCGTCTCTTGGACATCCCTTAAGAAGCTGTCTCTGAGGTGTTGCACGATCTCTGATGAGTTCTTTGCTAAGATTCTATCTGGTTGTCCGATTCTCGAAGGCCTAAAGTTGAATTTCTGCCATACACTAATGGTTATTGATCTCAGCAAATTGTTGCGTCTGAGAACATTAGAAATATATGAAAGCAATTTGGTTCGAGGGTCAACACAGATTGTGGCACCACATATCCATTGTCTCAATTTGATCACATACGCTCAGTCACCATCTACTTTAGTCGATGTCTCGTCTCTAACCGCAGCTAGTCTAGAGATCTGGTATCGCCCACATCAAACACAACTAAAGACTCATAAGCAAGTCATGGTCCTAAAGATCCTAGGGAAGTTACAGAATGTAGAGAGGCTTACTCTTGGGACAAACCTTCTTAAGGTATGGTTTGGATATTCTAGTCTAATATAATCCTTTTAACATTCTCTTAATGATCATTACGACTTCGGGTGAATGATATGTGTGTGCTTTTCGTTAGATTTTATCTCTTGCAGAGCTCCGTGGTGTTCTCTTTCCGAGGTTCAAGAATATCAAAGACTTGACGCTTGAAACAGTGGTCTCTCAATATGTAACTCCAGGCTTAGTAAGGGTGTTACATAACTCACCTGGATTGAAAACACTAACACTACACATAATGGATTCCAGCACATTACAGATAATAAATCCTAGCCGCATAGAGGTACTTACCATTAGCCATAATTATTTTCTTGAGTTTGGATTAATCAAAGAAACCATGTCCTTTCACTTTGAGTTTTGTAAAATCTGAGACGTTGACACTCTGTTTGCATACAGGATAAGTATCTTGACAAGTACTTGGATTTGCATGGCTTGGATTCGAACCAATGGTGGATCTTTCTCGACATTTTTCGCCAGAATCCAGAGTCAAAGCATGTGGCTTCACTCGTGGAACTTGTGCTTAAAACCACAAAGGCATTAGAAAAGATGGCCGTACGGTGGGAAGGTTGCCCTGATGGAAGAAGGTTTGAAGAGTTACTTGAGATGCTTTCGATTATTTCACACGACAACAATGTCTCAGTTGCATTAATAGACCATTTAAAGAGAAAACAGAGGAAAATGTCAACAAAGTGGGATTATAGGAAAGCCACAACATTGTATGATTGACCTTTGATGATGCCCCCATATATCCGATTTGATCTTTATTCAAGTTTTACGGTAAAGTGTGATGATCTGATGCTAATGAGTTCTAAAATAAGCCGTGAGAGTAGTCTAAATTTAGAAAGCTTACAAATAATAAACGACTGTATTGAAGTGTTCACCAACCTACGAGGTGGAGCAATAGAACAGTGTGTCTGCGATAACATTTCATCATAAAATTTCAGAATTTACGATATTCCTTTTTACTAACTAGATAAAAGTGAAAGTTATTATTCACCCAAACTTTCCTTTCAATGATCCAAAGTAAAAGAGAAAGAAGACAAGTCTTCATTGTCGGTAGTCAATAGTTGTTCTTTTGAGAAAGGCTTAAAAAGGTGGAATTTACGACGGAAAACAAAAGGAAACTAACAAAGCAATCATTTACCAAAATTGCAATATTACTTTATTTTTTATCTCACTGAACTTTCAACAGTTTTAGAGTTGTTGTTGTTTATGGAATATCTAGAAAACTTATTGTTTTAGAATTTTAAAAGTATTAATTCAAAGGTATATACTAAGTTGTTGTTAACTAAGTTATATATGTATATATGTTGTTTTGATCAACTTTAATTCACAATTTTCCATGATCAGTTTGAGTTGATAAAAATCTGCCCACATAACTGGACTATCAGTGGATGATAAGACGTACAATGTCAATGGCTTGATAAACTCGAATCTGAGTGCAATCTTAAAAAATGAATATGTGGTATGAAACTGCTGATTTGAAGTGCTACTTTTGGCCCTACATATCTTGATTTACGGCAAAATTATATATATTTGCAATTTAGATTTGAAAAATAGTAAGTTTTGGTGACTTACAACCACATCTATTGATTATAGAATAAAGGCTTCTCTCTTCCCGCATGTGAATATGTGACAAGAAGCGCCACCAAATCTAAGTTAAAGCTTGTTTTTTTCCTTTGATGCGCATAAAAGGTTTTTTTTCTCCAAATGACACGAAAAACAGGAAAAGTATAATTTTATATTTTTTCACATAACATATACGAATAGAGAAATTAACATGGTGTCTTTTATTTTTTCACATGGAAGGGATTATGTTAGTAGTAAAAATGATATAACAAATTAAAAAGTGCATTTTAGTTAAGTGGTCATATCTGTGATTTTTTAACTAAATATCTTTGGATGTCTTCTGTTCCTCGTAGACTTTCATCTAGCTATATCTCTTCACATTGTCTCATCAAAAATCATTGACTTACAACAACAATACCAAATCTCAGTATCTATTTCGCTTTTTCTTTTTACCTCTCAACCATAGGACGAACAAACACATATCTAGTAACTTTGATATTGAGTATGCAAAATAAAAATCATATAACCACAAATTGAGTATTTCGCGAAGGAAGGCATTGAGAAAGCGAGGGAAAATTGTTGGATGTGTATTATTTGTTCCTATCCAAACTCTGTTCATAAAAGTTTATATTAAGGGGAAAAAAATTGTAGACAAAATGATTGGAACATGAGAGGTGTGAGTGAGACCACCGATCCCGGTGAGATCTTTTTTACACAGAGAAAAATTAAAGATAAAAAAGCATTTCCCTCCAATGATTCTCACCGAAGATTAATCATTGTCAAATTCAACTTTTCTAATATTTCATATATTCGATTTTTTTTTTTTTTTTTGTCGACTTTATAACCAGTTGGTCTTTTTCCATATGATTAAAGTGGGTCGATATACCTATTTGATTTGAACGACTAAACTTTCAAACTACAAATCCCTATCTTATATTTGATCTCGAAAACAACTTGTTCATTTATTCCAAAACGATTTAATTATATATGTAACCAAAACTCTTACATTACTAGACCTGCTTGACTGCTTCATTTCATCCCATTCTATTACTCTTGTAATTTTTTTTGATCGATACGATTTGATCAACACGTATACAATTAGGATCCTTCAAGAAGTTTTTTTCGTACTCACGTTTAAATTGAGATTTGTAATCAAGTGCGTAGAAAACTCACTATGTAAACAAAAATCAAAGATATTATGAAAAATGGAATAGGAAAATGGTGAGTGTGGATAAAGATAAACCAAAGAATTTGTAAACTCCAAGAGTTTTGAGTGAAGTAGTTAATATTTTCAGCGAAATTTCAATCCAAATTTGCGGCTATGCAAGTATATGCAATTATTTGAAACAAAGAAAATAAAACACAGTAATTATAAATTTATATATATATATATATATAAAAGACCAATAAAAGTCTAGAACGAGTATCACACCAATCACCATCAACCTTAATTTCTTCGTTTCATTATTTAGACCGAACCCCAAACTTCGAACTCTCTCTATCTCACTCAGTTCCACTTACAACCTCAAAAACAAAAACAAAAAACAGAGCCTCTTTCAGTTCTGAGTTCCAGATTTTGCCACACGCAGGAAAAAATGGGGTATTATTATTTACTTAAATTAAAAAAAGGAGGATAAAATAAAAAGAGACAGTTATTTTATCTGTTTTCTCGGGGCGATGGAGAATTCGTACGACTCAGCAGCCAAGTGGTCTGATTCCAACAGTCCATATAATATGGTCTCATGGTCATTACAATCTGATTCCTCTGATTCTGATTTGAGCCGGTTTAATCTCGGCTTCTCTTCTTCCTCCTCCGGCAATTTCCCGGCCGATGAATTTGTCGGTGGGATCGAAAAAGCTGAGTCTCTTTCCAGAAGCCACCGTCTTGCGGAGAAGAGACGCCGTGATCGGATTAATTCTCACCTCTCCGCTCTCCGGAAACTTGTCCCCAATTCCGACAAGGTATGACTCTGAATTCTGACATTCACTGATTGAGACTCCGTCACGCAAAAGCAATACCAAAATGCTTTCGGTTTAGTCATAAATATCAATTTGAGTAAACCGATTTATTTTACCTGATTTCGGTTCTGGTACAGTTAGAGACAACACAAGTAATCTCTCTCCCACAATTCTTCATTTCTCAAATTATCAGCGAAATCGAAATTGATATGTTCCGGTTCAAGAATTTTCAATTTGATTAAACCGGTTTAGAACCTGACAATGTTCGGCATATGTGGTGGTTTTTTCAGTTACACAAGAGTTATATCACCGTAATGTTTCGGTTTAGTAATGAATTCGAATTTGAGTAAACGGGTTTCTTTTTTTAACTTTTGACTTTTATACAGTTGGACAAAGCAGCGCTCTTAGCAACAGTGATAGAACAAGTGAAGGAACTCAAACACAAAGCAACAGAATCTCCAATCTTCCAAGAACTTCCGACAGAAGCAGACGAAGTAACTGTGCAGCCCGAAACCATCTCCAGTGACGACTTCGAATCAGATTCTACTACAAACAGAATCATCTTCAAAGCTTCTTTCTGCTGCGAAGATCAACCCGAAGCAATCTCAGAGATCATTAGGGTTCTCACGAAGTTTCAGCTCGAAACAATCCAAGCTGAGATTATCTGTGTTGGAGGAAGAATGAGAATCAACTTCATCTTAAAAGATTGCTGCGGCAAAGAGACAACAAGTACGGCTGCATCAGCAAAAGCTTTGAAGCAATCTCTGTGCGCTGCGTTAAACCGAATCACGTCTTCTTCTTCGTCTGTTACTTCGGTTTGCAGGATCAGAAGCAAGAGACAGAGATGGTTCCTCTCTTCTCACTACTCGCAATGAATAATTTTCAAAAAAATAAAATTGTATAGCTATACCATGTACATATTAGACCACAAGCCCCATTATTTACTAAGGTTTTGTCAGCAATTTGGAGTAAATTGTTTGCTAGCTGTTCATAAGCATTATACAAGTTGGATTATCCTTAACCAAACAAAATAGCGATTATTTTGACTTGGAACGGGTACAATTTCTAATCGGGATTGGTTTAACAATCGGTTAAAAAAGTTGAATCCCGATTTTGAAATACAAACGCGATTTTCACAATTAGTGTTGTATAGGTCTTCGAGTCAACAAGATTTGTAAATTCCAAGATTGTATAATCTAAATCTGAGCTATTCCATAAGATCTAAGCCAAATGATACGAATAATCTTTAAACCACTATATTAGCCTCTGCAAGATGATAACATTACTGGTAAAAATCTGATGAGAAAGATAAAGCTTTAATATTAATTGAGGATCCATACAATCCAACAAAAATCTAAGCTCGGAAAACTTAATACTGAAACAAATTACGTTTTTTTTTAAAGGAGAAAAGCAGAAAAACAAGGAAGCAGATAGGAAAGCAAACTAGCAAAGTCTTCAAGAAGAATCTCTCTCTCTCTACTTAGATCGCTGTCTCATCTTTCGTCTCTTCCTCTTCAGCCTCCTCATACGCTTCTTCTTCCACTGCAAAACACGATTGAACAGAACTTAGCAGACTGATGAGAGACAAGAGAGATTGATAGACAAATGTAATGTATTGAACAAGATTTGTTAAGATCGATATACCTTGGCTCTCATGGCTCAGGAACTCCTTTTCTCAGAACCCTAATCGGCGATTTTTCACGGTTAAGGTAACAAGAGAGGAATGTCTGCGTAACTGTGAATATATACCCCTGGAAACCCTAGATAGAGATATACATGGCCCTTTTTGCTAAGCCCATATTATCGTTTGGGGCCTTTTTACGCTCTGAAGAAATTTCGAGGAGGAGGATAAATTAAAAGTTAATTTGTTTTGTTTGGTATAATATTTTTGGTTTTTAATTTTGGCCCATAGTTAAAATAAAAACGTTTGCATTTTCAAAACATCAGGAAGCTTCAATCATTAGGAATTTAGGATGGGAAAGGAAAGATAAATCACAATAAATTTCTTAGGGAGATTATTCTTAGATGTAGAATTTTAGCCAGAGACTGATCGAGAATATGGTAAACGCCGGATAAAATATGTTTTAACAAATGTTACAAATCCCTCCCCGCGGAATATTCACGCAAAAACATATCAAACGAGAACCTAACCGATCATTAAAAAATGAATATTTACCATTTAGCAAAAAAAAAAAAAACATATCAAACGACTCATATACAGATTCATACTCGAGTAAGGAGCAAACTTATATGAATATACAATTATTTTATTCGTCTTTTAAAACATTTTTTTTTTTACTAATTTAGCTACCGAACGATGTATTATTGTTTTACTTTTTATCATCGTTCAATTTTTTTTCACTTTGATGAAAACAAAAAATGTAACCATTATTTTTGTTGAATGTAGAGAAATAATAAAAGTACGTATTTGTTTTCAAAAAAAAAGGAGACAAAATCAAGTCCAAAGTGACCAACTGATGATGATAAGAGGTTCAAACAATAGGAATCTAATGGCTAACGATGAGTTGTAATGGCTAATATGAGGAGTTGGTGTGATGAGAAGCCAGATTACGAACTAAGCATCTTTTTATGTTCATATATGTAAGTTAATTGTTTGATACTCATCTACCGTAATTCTGTCACAAGAATTTCTACAAATTTTAAACAGTTTAAACTGATCACACTAATTTCTCTTAAAAAAACATATATGATACATGAACAAGAAACTCAATAGTTTACAATGAATCGTAGCCTCTCGAACAACACTGGTGCGGCTACAAGAAGTACGTAAAACATCTGTTGTTTATTACTACTAAAAGCAACATAATAGAGAACTATAGCTAGAGCTTGCGATATGCGAAAACTATTTATACATATAGGATCATTGATCAATTCTTACTATATTGATTGACTTAAATAATCGATGCATATATCTATCTTCTCAGCGATATGCATCCAGTGTCTTCTTGAAAACGTTTTCCCTCAAACTTTCTACCTTGATTCCCAGACAATTCAAACCTAAAGATAGATATATATATATATATATATAGAAAAATATTCGCGGAGAAAAAAAAACTCGCAGAGAAAAAAGGGATACTATTACCTCTGAAACTCAAAACCAATCCAAAATAATCATCCTATAAGGTACCCTATGAGGTGTTGAACCAATAAATCCTCATAAAACTTTCCACCATCTCCTCCTCTTCCACATCTATATACTTTATTGGAAACGTAATCTTCTTTACGAATTCCCTGAAAATAAAAAATCTCCAAAAATAATAAAATACCCTCCTATTAATTAATCTCTATATGGAAAAAAAAAAAAATCCTCCAAAATTTTGCATGCAAAGCTCTCCATGGAATGTAATCTCCTTGATTCCTTTCCACAATGAATCCTCAGAATCACCAATGCTCTTGAGTCTTGACCGACCTTTGGGGCTCCTCGTCGTATATAATATGATCTTCCACAGAAAAAATTAATAGAATTCCGATGGAAAAAAAGGTCTAAATCAAAAGTCAAGCAAAAAGGGATCAACAAAATCCCAAATATTTCCCCAATGACTATACTCGTCTTCTCCAACAAAAGGCCAAACCGTCGAAGATCCATCTCCAACCATATTATAACCCGGATCCATACCCATAGACGAACCAACCGGATCAACAACCGCCGTAGATATCGAAAGACTCGAACCAACCGAACCTGCTAGAGAGTTCAAATCATCCATCGAATTATTGTTATTACTATTACACCCATGTTCTTGCCCTAACGCCACCCCATGATGAAACGACGTCGAATTGGCTACCGGAACATCAGTGAGCTCCACATCACGGATCTTGCTATCGGTATTATTACTAGAGCGAAGATTCTGATACTGCTGGTGATGGAATTGTCCCACTTGCATCACCTGATTTTGTTGTTGTTGTTGTTGTTGTTGGTGAGGGAAAAGACCATAACTAGGGCATAACATAGAGGTCCCACCAGAAAGGAAGATGTTGTTGTTAAAAGGTAGGCCGTATGGACCAAAGGCGGAGGCTCCAGAGGCTGAGGGACGAGGGAGGAGAGGTCTTAGGGTTTGAGTGGAGGAAGAGGAAGAGGAAGGAGAAGTGGAAGCGGCGGAGACGGAGGATGAAGTGGAAGACGCAGAGGAAGGTGAGGAAGGGGATAAGTTGAGCTGAGCACGTGACCCATAGAGGAAAACGGCGGCTCGGTCGTAAGCACGTGCGGCGTCTTCGGCGGTGGCGAAAGTACCAAGCCACTTTCGGGTGCGTTTACGTGGTTCACGGATCTCGGCGACCCATTTGCCCCAGCTCCTTTGTCGAACGCCACGGTAACGGAACTTGGAGTTGTCGGGACCACCTTTGCCTTTGCGTTTGCGTTGTTGAGCGGAAGAGGTTGAGTCGGTGGTAGTGGTTGAATCGGTGGATTGAGGATTGTGGGTTAGGGTTTGTTGGATGTCATCGTCAAGATTATGTTGCTCTTGTTGTTGTTGTTGGGAAGCTAAAGGGTCCATAGATGAAGAAGAAGAAGAAGAAGAAGAAGAAGGAGAGGAGAGAGAGAGAGATTAAAGAAATTGGGAAAATCGGAGAGGACGAATCAAGAAGAAAGGGAGACTGATGGGTGTTTGAATGTCACGGTTGTGAATGGTGGATTAGGGCGGTGCTTCTTCTTTTTATATATACTTACACTCTCACTTCTTTCTTTTTTTTCTTACTTGCCCATTTATTTTCTTTTCAAGAAGTTATTTTTTGTTGTTGTGATTCATAAATAAAGTGAAGGAATTATTTTTTTTTAAATTATCGTTTACTACAAGTAGCCAGCAAATCATGAAAATAGTTTTGTGACTCTCGATTATATTTTTACGAATTATAATTTTTTTGAATGGTAATTATTTTTATCATATATGATTATTTTTTATAAAAATTGTGTTAATATATGTTTGCGAAGTTTTATCTAGGATTGCAACTTCATGGTCTTTTTCAGATAAGTTAGTACTACGATTTAGTAATACTTGGTTTATGTAAGTAAGAAAATTTACCAATCTACTAATTTTGTCGAAAATGTAAGTTACTCTTTATTTGGACTAGATGCCTAGATCCATTAGTTTACTTATGAAATGTGAGCCATTTCCAGTTATATATTAGCAAACAATGAAATGTCTTAACCATACCTAAATATTAAAATCTTCTAACAACAAGAAAATAATGAAAATCTGAAAATAATGTTTAAAGATATCGAGTTGATTACATACTCTTTCGAAAATTGAGAGATCGAGAAAATCTCTTTTATTTTTGTCTAATTTTTGCAATTAAATGGAAACTCTTATTATCGATTTCTTAGCAATGGCTATGATCGTTTTATTCTTTTTTACTACAATTTATACCTTAAAACATTTGGGATTACTTAAAGTTTTTTTTTTATATACACATTTTAAACAGTCATCTATTATATTTGGCAAGAGTATAACAACGAAAGAAACTTAAAAGCTTTTATTCACAACCTCAACTAATCAAATTCGTCAATAAAAGCATTAGGGCATCCTAAACTCAATTCAAAACACCTAAAATTATTCATATAACAATTGTTTCATTTTTAGTCATTCACCACAAAGCTTTTGTGAAAATGAAAACTAGATAAAATTAAATTTCCAATTATGATTTTTTTTAAAAAAACAGATACAGTTATTATAAACAAGTTTTTGATTAGATATTGTTTTGTAGACGACATAAAGCAATCGTTCCATCTAGTAACCCGATGACCATGCCAAGATAATTGTATATGTAATGTGGAAGGTCTTTTCCATAATAGTGTTGAATTATTTTTCAATAAATATTCAACATAGAAGACCATTGAAATTTATATTATCATTTGATTTGT